ACTCTGCCCTTACTTTGTCAAAGGAGCTGATTATATTGTACTTCTGGCTGCTCTGTAAACTGAAGGAGCTATGGGAGCTGTAGTGAGCTGAGAGGCTGCTCCAGATGTTTTTAATCAACTTAAACATATAACTTGTATGACTTATGATTTGCTGCTGCACAGTAACAAGGGGTGGAAACAGGCTATTTACTAATATTGATGTCTCTGTCCTCTTCTATATAGCCTGGAGTCAAAAGCACAAAATGTCAGAAATGCTTCAAATATGACATTTAGTATAGCCTTTTTTCTTGAAGATATATTTCAGAACAGCACCGCAGAATGACTCAAAAACAATTTGCCTAGCCCTAAGGAAGCACAAACATTTTCAATTAAATAATGGACAGAATGGGAAGGGTATACTTTGTCAAAAGTTCTTTCACTTTTATAATGAAAAGAGGGCTGCAGTTCTGTGCACTCTTACTTTGAGATACGGTAAGTTTCATTAAACAATAATTGCAATCTGAATCATGTCTCTTCAGAAGAAGTAAGTAGGACTTAATTCAATTGGATTTATTTCCAGGTAAATGGGATTAAGATTGCAACCTTAAAGATAAAGGGACCCCTGACCATTAGGTCCAGTCGCGGACGACTCTGGGGTGGTGGCGCTCATCTCGCTTTATTGGCCTAGGGAGCCAGCGTACAGCTTCCAAGTCATGGGGCCAGCATGACGAAGTCGCTTCTGGCAAACCAGAGCAGCGGTACCTATTTATCTACTTGTACTTCGTGCTTTCAAACTGCTAGGTTGGCAGGAGCAGGGACCAAGCAACCGGAGCTCACCCCGTTGCGGGGATTGGAACCACCAACCTTCTGATCAGCAAGTCCTAGGCTCTGTGGTTTAACCCACAGCGCGACCCACGTCCCTCAATGCACAATGAAGTTAAATAAAACAATGTTGATTTAAACATATTTATATGGCAATATTAAAGTCAGTCAAGAGGCTATCCTCAAACGTTTTCTTCAGCAACAGTCCCACTGACTTAAATTGGTTTATTCTAGGGCTACATATGCACCATACCTTTAAAGCACTTTCTCTCCCCCCACCTCCAAATAATCTTGGGACCTGTAGTTGCTGGGAAGTGTAGCTCTATGAAGGGTCAACTACAGTTCCCAGGATTCTGGGTGTGGGTATGTGCTTGGGAAATGGTTATTTTTATTTCCTGTAATTAATTTTTTTGTACTTCTAGCTGTGATCCTACTCTTTAATTTCTGATGCTTCTCTTTATTGTAATATTAATAAATAGCTTACCATGAACCTTTGAGTTTGAAGAAACAGGCCTGCTGTCATGGCATGTCATTCTAACCATATCTGTGTTAATTTAAATAGAACAAGATCACATTAAATCCATATATTTTGATTTAACTTGAATGTGAACAGGAATCCATGCATTCAAGATCTAACTGCAGGAATCTAGAGTGTCTTGCCATCTCTCCCAGCCGCCCCCCCCATCCTCACAGTTTTGGGACCAGTTCACAACTTGAAATGGATTAGCAATAGTGCATCCTTCCATTTTAAGAGGTGTGGATATGGAAGATAAAAGCCTCAAAATTTAGGTGATGTGCAGAGAGCCTATGTCCACCAGATTAGTCCGCAATATGTTGCACATCTGACAACTGGGCCCCAGTGCTGATGGGAATGTTAGACTGCCTTGTTCTGTTCTATCATGTCACTTTCTGCATTATTCACTCATAGATAGCAAATCCTTCAGGAAAACAAATGAGCTACTACATAATTATCAAAATAATTTAATGTGAGCTACAGAATAGAATTGCCCTTAAGAAATAACAACTGTGACCAACCAACCTCAAACCCAAGCATTTGGAAGCCTAAAATCTCAGCATTTTTATTTGCTTGACTTGTTTTTGCTTAATTAACATCTGGCAGTGAATGTCTATTAGCCAAACTCTGTGAAACTCATCAGCAGACAACAGCTCTGGCTGAAGCACTGCAATTGCTCCAGGAAACTCCACTTAAACTAACACTCAAACAATGTGTGGGAGACAGGTAATTAAAAGCAGGGGTGGGGGAAACTGGGAATAAGATAGTAGGTTTTCAGAAGAAGAGCACAAAGTTAACCACCTTCATTTTTTTCAGTATTGGTATTTCTGAAACAGACATTTTGTAATACAAACCTGAAAAGCTAACAGAGGCAGGTGTTAAATTTTATTATGCCTGGATTATGTTTCCCTGGAAGTAAGACCTGTGCAGTAGGTCTACCACAGGGGTGGGAACTTCCAGCCCAGGGCTAAACTTGGCCCACCAGAAGTCCCAATTTGGCTCATGAAGTAATTTTCTGTGGGATAACATTTGCTTGATGCAACCTCATATTAAGTTCCCATAAATAAATTGGAATGATTTCTCAATAAATCTAATCTACCCCTAAATAAGTCCAGATGAATGCTCAATGGATATATCATTTGGAAGCGACCTTAGTTTGTAAGCCTGATGACAGGGACATTCTCTAGCTCTCTCTTTTAAATTAATTAAAGCCAATTTGAGAGACAATAATTGTCTAAAAGTTGAGGTAAAAATATGATAAATAGAAAGTATGTAAATGATAAGCAGGCTACCAGACCATGGATTCTCCTGAATCTCCTCTGAGCCTGGTAATGTTGCTTGGGTATTGGGAGTGTGCATGGAGACAAATGCCTCATAACGTGTCTGATTACAGTGGTTGGAGAGTTAGGGAGCTAGCCTTTGATGCTTGCAATATGATGAGTTGGAGTGCTGGGAGCGCCCCTTCTTTTGCCTTGGCATCACATTGTTTAAGAGGCTGTGGAAGAGGGTAATGGGAGCATGTTACCCATATTCTTCTGGTCAGGATTAAACTTTTATATCCTACTTCCCAGATCTGTGCTTTATCCTTTTCTGAGCCAGGGCCAACACACTGACCAAGTTATAAATTTATGGCGTACATAGTTGGGGTGGTTTTTTTGGGGAGGGGGGGACAGATACAGCTTGTGGACCATAGGTTAGCCACTCCTGGTCTATCCTACGGAGCAAACCCCACAGCTGTGGCTGCCATTGTGTATCCTGGCCTCTCCCATTGGCTACTTGTCAAAGAGTGCTTTGCTTCCTATGTGGGACTTGAATCCTTGTCCTTGTTGCAGGCATCCCATCCATGAATCTCTGTGGATGCTGTTTTGTGCACCTCCTTCTATATCCTCTTTGTGGTTTGCTTGCAAAACAGTGGCCATGTGAGGAGCGTTAAGGGGATTTGAACCCATGTGTAGGAATGCCTGGGGACTGGCAGTTGTAGGGTCATTGAGGCTGTGCCCCAGGGTTGATAAAGTGGGGTGCTGTGGCATCACACCATCTTGTGTGTTGTGATACTGGGGTGTGCGCTGGGGGCATGTCTCCACCACCCCTGTGAATGAATAGGCTATGTGTAGTGTCACTGGCACAGTCTCAAAGTATTATTATACAGTAATTTGTCCTGTTTTTATGTGCTTGCTCTTTGAAGTACAGTGGTACCTCAGATTACAGACGCTTCAGGTTACAGATGCTTCAGGTTACAGACTTCGCTAACCCAGAAATAGTACCTCAGGTTAAGAACTTTGCTTCAGGATGAGAACAGAAATCGTGCGGCAGGTGCGGGAGGCCCCATTAACTAAAGTGGTACCTCAGGTTAAGAACAGTTTCAGGTTAAGAACAGACCTCCAGAACGAATTAAGTTCTTAACCCGAGGTACCACTGTATATTTACATGTTTTGTGGGTCTTATTGCTGGTTGTGTATATTATATAGGGACCACACTGCATATGGTACTGCAGTGTTAGTCAACATGATACACACCAGATTATGTTGACTCCCATTCCCACTAGTCCTGACCATCACAGCCAGTGGTCAGGGACGATGGAAACTGTAGTCTCAACAACATCTGAAGAGCACTATGTTGGCTACCCCTGTTGTACTGTATCCTTTGGCACGGGGAATCGCAAAACTATCATCTTCTATTCATCACAGAGTTCAGTGGGACTTTTTCTGAGGTAAATGCATAGGATTGCTGTCTCAGAGTCCGTGTTAAGTCTGAACTGGATAGAATGAATGAACTGATACATTCTCGTTCAGCAGTTTAGTGCTGGACTGGAGCCAACTTTCTGAAGACTTTTTATTTTTGTTTAAGACATGGTGACTTAAACGTATCAGCAACAGACCCGCCGTGGGATGTTAGTTATCTAGATGTTGCCATTTGTTGATGTCAGTTTTGTGACTGAAAGCCTCCTCCAGTTCCCTTTTTACGGAAGAGGGAAAACACTGAGGCGCGCGCCGTGGTTACCTATGAGAAATACGTAACCCTTGGGCGAGTGAGTTATTTTATCTGCAGCAGTACATACAGATCCCATTTAAGCTCCATTATACAGTGGTAACTCGGGTTACATACGCTTCAGGTTACAGACTCTGCTAACCCAGAAATAGTGCTTCAGGTTAAGAACTTTGCTTCAGGATGAGAACAGAAATCGTGCTCCGGTGGCGCGGCAGCAGCAGGAGGCCCCATTAGCTAAAGTGGTGCTTCAGGTTAAGAACAGTTTCAGGTTAAGTACGGACCTCCAGAACGAATTAAGTACTTAACCTGAGGTACCACTGTATATATTTTTCTCGAGTTAGGAGCGCGTAGTAAAGAAAACATAGTTTGCAAAAAGGCTGAGCGGCGCAAAGGAAAATCTATCTATCTATCTATCTATCTATCTATCTATCTATCAGGGTCTGCTGTTAAGACGCCACCTTCGCACCGCCGCTAGGCACCGCAGAACGTTCCGCGCCCGAAAGATGACCTCATCTCCTCCTCAGCTCCGCGTACCTGCAAACCCCGCCTCCCCGCCCACAGCCCAGACTCCCCCTTCCAAGGCAGAGAGGAACGCTCGGAGTCTGGTCGAGGAAGTCTCGTTTGTTTCCTTCTTGTCTCTCGCGTGGAGTGTGACGTCAGGGGACGCGCAGAACCAGGAAGCAGCTGCAGAGGCGACATGTGCGGGGGCTGTGTGAAGACCGAGTACCCGTCGCGGGTAAGGGGCGTGCGGAGGCAGGGGCGGGCAGAAGGCGCCCTCTCCTTAATGACGCCTCTCTCCGCAGGTTCACGAGAATGACCCGCCCCCAGCTTGCTCCAGATCAGCTTGGCACCCGCCACTCTATAGGCTGCCATGAAGCCATCGGGTGTTTCTTCCTTTATTGGCTTAATCTAAGGCGGGCCTCGCCTCTGGGCCCGTCGGATGTGCTGCTCCGTTAGATCTGGGCAGCTACAGTCCGCTCTCGCACACGGGGGTTTAGCGGGGTCTTCCAGGTCAAAAGGTGTGACTTGCAACCTCTACCCACTTCTTACAAAGTCAGGCCTGTTCCGCGCCCCCCTCCTCGGTGCTGCGCTGTTCCCACCCAGTGTCTTCACCTTGGTAATGATTTGTTCGCTTTTAATTGGGACATCCGATGCCCCAGGCAGCTGCAGGAAGTCAGATTCAGAGTAGGTGGGTGGATTTGCGTTGAGAACGACTAATCATATTTGTGCAGAATACTGAATGACGGTATTTTGGGTGGTGGCTGCACCCCAGTTTCCTGCAGGAAGGGTACAACCCTAGGTTAGCCTATCCAGCCGTGTGCCATCACCCCAGCCACAGGGCCAGTGGTCATGGATGATGGAAATTGTAGTCCAAAATGTCTGGAGAGTGCCAGTTTGAGAGAGCCTGGTTTAGAACTTTTGAAATTCCAGAAAAGTCTCGCCGCTGAACTCAGTAAGTGTCTAGAGTTGCGGTTTACAGGTGACACAGTGGTTTTAGGTTAAGGTTACCAGATTTTTTTCAATGAATCCGGGGACACTTTTCAACTTCCTACTAAATAGATCGATTTTGTCAGGGGAGTGATTTGTAAATCCGGGGACTGTCCCTGGGAAACGGGGACATCTGGTAACCTTATATTAGGTTATAGTCTATGAATATATTTACATATATTATGTTAGGATAATTGAGAATATGTTTGTAAAGTAATTCAGTATTACTAGCCCCATATGGTCTATGTGGATGGCTGGAGGGAAACAGACAGGCATTGGCACTGAAAGACAGTGGCTTGCCTGAGACCACTAAATGTTTGTGGTTAGCCTAAAACTAGAACTGGAGAGGCCCAGTCATGCTATTAACAACTTTTACATCCTCTGTTAGAGCAAAACTAGATTTTACACCTAGTATATAAATTGTGTCTGTTAAGTTTCCACCTTCATTGCTAATAGCAATGATGGGATTTATGTATGGAAATCTGTGTAGCCCTGAATCAAATCATCCCATTGCTGAATTTTTAAAAAGAAAAAAGCATTTTGTTCTAGTTGCAGAACTCCCATGTATTGCATAATTTGAAAATTAAATGAAGCGTTTATAAGAAGAGAGCATTGGTTTCAAAATAATAATTTTGTTCTTCTGAATGCCTTAGGGTAACACCTGCTTGGAGAACGGGTCCTATTTGATGAACTACGTGGGTTGCATTGAATGTAAAAAAAAGGATTTCGTGTTGATAACAAACAAAGTAGCAGAAGATGATGATGGAGAGGAAATTATCACTTATGATCGTAAGGAGGCTGAACTTTTACCAACTGTACAGACGTGCTCAGAGCTTAAGAGGCTCATTCCCAGAAGCCTGTGTGTTGAAAGCTGAATATGTTCAGAAGAAGCACTTTTTATGATGGTTACATTTTCAAATAGGTGGTAGTGATCCACTGTGACATGGTGCTCTCCAGGATACTTTTTGCAGCTGATGGAGGTAGTCATTTTCAGTTGTAAGCCTAAGTACGTGACCAGATTCTCTCGGAATTGTGGCTGCTACTGAAAGAAAACCTATATTCCCATTTCTTTTCATCTGGCTCTTGGGGAAATCTGTCTCTTGCAGTGCCATTCTGGCTACCAGCCCTCCTCTTATTTATTTCCTATAGCTTCCAAGAATGGTTTCTATCCCCATCTCTTTCACTATGCTTGAAAGCTGCTTATTTATTTTATTTCTTTATTGAATTTATATACTGCCCTATTCTCACTTGTCTTAGGACGATTCACAGAATAAAAATCAAAATATAAAACCACAAAATACATAATCAAAATAAAAACAACAACAACAACCCAATAACCCCCCCTTCAGTGAAATTGCTTGGAAATGTAATGCATGCAACTTTGGGTGATGATTGAATGAATGAACCAGTATTTCTCTTGTGTTACCTGGCTAGTGCCACTCTTTAGAAACCAAATCAGCCATCTTCAAGTCATGTAGAGATGTAAAATTTTCTAAATAAATTTGTCATAAAATTGTGATGGCAGTGAAAGATTTAAGTTGCGATTAGATTAATTACCTAAATGCAGAGGCTGTAAAAAGCAGCCGTGTTCAGCAGCTGTGGCAGTGAAAAGAAACGTGTTCTTTTGGAACATCATTCTAAGATTGGATTTATCTTCCTGGATTTTGCTACTTGACTATTCAAACAATTTTAAATGAGCAACCAAGTGTCAAACTGCGCTGCTTTCCCCTCCAACTTCTCGGTACACCTCTGTTGTTCCTACTCCCCTTTTTCGTAGCTTCTGCTGCTACAATGGCTGCTTCTAGCTGGATGGGCGTTGTTATAGTAGCTACATATGTGCAGCTTCTCTCCTGTCAGTTTGGACAGTGGTAGTGATAGAAAAAGCAAAGTGAACATAGTATGAGAAAGCATAAATAATGGATGTGCACCCCCACATGCTTATGTGTGTGGCAGGCCTAACAAATGTCTTCCTTTGGATTCCTGTCTAACTGGGTGAATATCTTTTTGAAACAAGGGGTTGATTCAGAGCATGAGCATAATTGGGGCCTAAGTGGTCCTGCTATCCAGGCTAATGATCTTTTCTAAATCTATTGGTTTTCCTTTCAGATGTATGTAAGAACTGTCACCATGTGATAGCCAGGCACGAATATACTTTCAGTGTAGTGGACGATTACCAGGTAAAACGCTTGCGACATTCATTAGTCTCCTGAAACTTGTTTGCTTGTTTTTGTGTTAAGCTTCTATGTCACTAAGATGCAAGAAGTATTGGGATCCAAGGTTGCAGTCCTGTGCATACATATCTGGGAGTATGCCTCATTGAACATACCAGGATGTATTTTGAATACATAAGCACAGAATTGTGTTGTGTATAGTTGTAATATAAAATTTCCAACTCTTTGGGTGGGGGGAAATCTAAAGACCATGTGTGATTTGCCTGATATGCTTCTGGGTTGTACTAGCTGCAGAATATGTTGCAGCTGTTACACTGCTTACAGGTATTCATTCTCTCTGTGTGGGTTTTAACAGTCTTTCATTTGAGAAATATGTCAAGGCACTATGAGGTTCATATTAAATGACAGACTATCCAATAGATACTACCAAACTTCTTTGTCAGTTATGTTTTGCATAGGGGGGGGTGTTGCTTTGCTGATAGCCTCTAATATAAAGATAACTCTTAATGTTTTACTCAGTGATGATAAGTGCTATTGCTGTCGCTGTCAACTGTATTTTTTCCTTTTTTTCTTTTGTTTGCTTATGTAAACAGTGTGTTTTCAAAATGTGTGCCGATGGCAGATGGCATAATTGCTTACATTCTGCATGATGTGCATAGCAGTATTTAGCATCTAATACAGACTTGCTTTTTAGAATCTCTGCTTTCATTATATATGCAGACATGCAAGTTTCTAGCCCTCAACCAGTTGAAAGAAAAGCAAGGGGGTAAAGTAGAAGGTTTTTTTCCTGTGCTGGCCCAGGCCCACTCTGCACTCACTCACCCACACTGAAAGCCAGGCTTTAGAAGAGTTGGTCAGCTTCTGAGCTGTATGTTCCTGCGTGTAACTTCCCAGACCGAACACAATGTTGTATCTCTGTCTCCCTCTGCTGGGCGGATATTGGATCTTTGTTAACATTCTCTCAGATAATTCATTAGTCCTTATGACTCATGCACTTGGTAGTTCTTATTAAATTTTCAACTAGATGGTTACACAACCCAGTACTACCTCCTGGGTCGCCACCCGTCCTGCTCCCAGTGACAGCCACCACAGTTTCCATTATAATAAAATCCTCTCACATAGGCATATTTCTCTCTTTTTCTTACATGAATTCACCAAAAGTAGATGATAAAAAGATATGATCAGAAGTGGTAAAGGTGGGCATAGTGGGAAGGATGCAGATTAAAGAGCACTGATTGTAAAGAGTCTTGGAAGATCTGGTGGGACCCATAAGGAGCTTCCATTGTGGCTCCTTGCTTTAAGTAAAAAGTCTTGTGTTCAGTTTCTGCAGTTATTCTGCATTGCCATGTCTATGTGCTGTCCATGGTTAAAAAACAAATTATAGAACTTTGGGTCAAGAACTGTTGAATTCTGCACTCTAGCTCTTGCAACAGTTAAGCAAATATGCATATACCGTATTTTTCACTCTATAAGACGCTCCAGACCATAAAGTGCACCTAGATTTTGGAGGAGGAAAACAAGAAAAAAAAATATTCTGAATCCCAGAAGCCAGAACAGCAAGAGGGATCTGGCTTCTGGGATAGCCTCTGGCTGTTCTGGCTTCTGGGATAGTTGCGCCAAGCCTCTTCAGGGCAGCGGGATGAAGGCTCCCCCTGCCCGAAGAGGCTGCGCGTGGCTAAGGCAGAAGCCAGGACAGCAAGCGGGATTGCCGCACAGCGATCCCAGTTGCTGCCCTGGCTTATGGAATAGCCGTGCGCAGCCTCTTCTGGGCAGCAGGATGAAGGCTCCCCCTGCCCGGAAGAGGCTGCACACGGCTAAGGCAGAAGCCAGGAGAGGCGCTTCGCTGAAGGGGCGCCGCGTAGCTCTCCCTCTCTGCGTAGCGCCCCTTAAGTGAAGCGGGAGGAGGAACAGAAGGAGCCCCTTCTGTTTCTCCTCCGGTTTCGCAGGACAGGTGCGTCACTGAAGAGCGCTGCACAGTTCTCCCTCTCTGCGCAGCGCCCCTTCAGTGAAGCAGGAGGAGGAACAGAAGGAGCCCCTTCTGTTCCTCCTCCCGCTTTGCAGGACAGGCTCGTCGCTGAAAGGACGCTTCGCAGTTCTCCCTCTCTGCACAGCGCCCTTCGCTCCATAAGACGCACTCACATTTCCCCTTACTTTTTAGGAGGAAAAAAGTGCGTCTTATGGAGCAAAAAATACGATACTTGCTTTTTTGTATACTTGGGTCTCTGGTATAATTCTGAGAAGGGACAGGGAAATATAGAAGCCTGCTTTTTTGTCTACTCTCCCCCTATTCTGGCATTGCCTGCAAATTTTAGAGATTGTATTTGTGACCATAAGGAGAAGAAACTCAACAGGTTTTAAAAAAATGAGATCTGAGGTTTTTTGGATGCTAAAGACTACACCCAGTACTTCATTTCATTTTCATAGTGTCGCGCTGGTTCTGAGCAGCTGCAATTGTACAGGCATGTCTTCACAATAAAAAAAGAAGAAGTATTGGCTCATGTAGAAGCAAGTTCTAACAAACATGGCTTCAATATGATGTGACATGGGCAAACTGCACATTAAAGGTCTTGGTTTGTAAAACAGCAGCATTCTTTGATGACCTGGAGACTTTCTATTGTAGTTTTCAACTAGGTAGATGCTAGATTAGCCTGATGGGGCCTGGCCCGTGTTATGGGCAGCAAGTGTTTTCTCTCACTCTCCCAATGTATGTTTTGTCTCTTGTTCTAGGAATACACCATGCTGTGCATGCTCTGTGGCAGGGCAGAAGATTCTATCAGTGTCTTGCCAGACGATCCTCATCTGATGACTCCATTGTTCTGAGCCTCTTGTTTTTAGCCGATTGTATCATGTTAATTTTGTAACAGCAAGTTATGAAACATGGGTTGGGGGGGGGATCCTGTTCAGTCCATGCAGAGTCAAGTGATATAACCCTCTTCCGTGTTTTTAAGTTACAAGCTGCTTACCTCCTCTCCACTATAGGTACATACTGCTTCCTAAACTTGTAGGTGATAAAGAAGCCAATTTCCTCTGTGCTGGCTTTAGGGCCTAATTTTTAAGACCCATTGTCAGCTGGCTTTGGTAGGAGAAACAAAAATAATAATTCTGAGAGGGGTTGTTCTGCAGTTGGCTTCATGCAGAAATGATAACATCATCTGAGAGATAATCGAAATTAATCCTCAGCAGGAAAGAAGGTTGCTGGGCAAGGACTGCCCAGATTATTTCCTTTTCAGTGTCAGGAAAAGTCTTTTGTCAGTGTTACATATTTAGTGAATTGGCTCAAGTATGGGAGGTGTTGGGTTCCTTTGGCCTTTCTGGTGTTGCTGTACTACAACTCCCATTATCTCTGGCCATTGGCCATGCTAGATGGGGCTGATGGGAGTTGTAGCTCAACAACATTTGGAGGGCCAAAGGTTCCCCACACTTAATACCTGAAGCGTGTTAGTGTGTTAGTTTAACAATTACAGTTCTGTCCTAAGTCAGTACCAGCCTGTGGTCCTTGTCTAGTTCTACCTGGCTTTGGTTGGGTTGTGAAATTAGGCGGGGAGTGGGGAGGATCTGGTGTGAGGCTGAGTAAAATGTGAAGTTGCTCTTCAGGAACAAAACCAAGTGCTGTAACTTTTCAGCCACTGCTGATAATTATTGAGTATCAGCCTCTGGATCCCCCATTTTGGAAGTGTAATGTACTATATATTTTGGACAGTTGTTTAGTTCGCTATGCGTTTTGACATTGAAGATACCAAAACCAAATTTTGCATGGTGGTTTCTGAGATCAAGGAGCAGGTTTTTGTCTATGTTTGAAAACTATTGGATGCCACTTTGAATCATGATAGTGGACTGAGCCTTTCGAAACTCTGCTCATTTTAACCACTGATTTCAAAGCAAGCAACTCTGGGGACAAAGGCTGCTAGTGCTTGATGAGATGGGTCTTTGGTGTGATCCAGCAACACAGTTCTTGCATTTGGAATTAAAGCTTTCTTTAAACCCATGGTGTTGGAACTATTTCTTTCCTAAATGGCTAACCGGACCCACTAGAAAATCGCAAGGGTACACTGACAAGCTTCATGGTGAAAATATTTTAGCCATCTTGTTGGACATCATAGTAGGTGCAATACAGCTTATGCTTCTGTCCTATTGAAATAAATGAGGCAAATGAGCCTGGGCTGCACCCATTGCGTGGGATTGAACCTTGTGCTATTAGGATTATCCCATCAGCACAAGCATTTTTTGCTTGCCAGATCAAACAATCCCCTCTCTTCTTTCCCTGTGTACTGTTCTGGTGGTTCTCCCAACCTCACAGTGCTGATTTTGGGGAAGGGAGGTGTAGAAGCCTTGTTGTGCTAGCAGGACTTCTTGTGCTGGCTCCTGCAAGCGCAACTTTTTTAAAAATCTGCCCCATTTTTTAATAAAGTGATACACTAGCCAGCACTTCCTTTAGCAGAATTGCACATTGCTCTCCTTGCTCTGAAGGAAACCCTCTGTTCTTGCCACTTAGTGTTTGTTTCTTGGACTTGTATTGATTTTAATTCCTGGAAGGCCTGACTAAATGGAGTCTGTAATGAGCTTCATAGATTTATTTATATTTTAGACTAAAAGGGGGGAGGGGTCTAACAGGACCTGACTCATTAGATGTCTGTGTTTCTTTCCTCTTGCACTTTAAGCACTTCAGGGGAAAGTCTTTGTATTGCAGCCAGTCAAAAATGTGGTAGCGGCGGGTCCCAGTCTCCTCATTCCTGCTGAAGGACTTGCCATGAAATACGGTGCTGTAAATACAGTAAACAGGCCTTGATATTCTGAAGTGCACGAAGAAAACTACAGCAGCCACCTCATTCAATTAACAGCGTAAGGGATGCATTGGAAATAACGACCCTGCAAAGAACAGGGGCTGTGTTGATGTGCAAAACGCCCATCCTTTCTTTGTGGTCCACAGCATGCTTTTATTATTGCTTTTTATGGTTCAACAATACCTGAAGAGCGTAGACTCTCCCAGGGTCATACAGGTGGACAGCGGCAGGACATGGCGAGCGTTGAATCTCCCTCTTCATCCATCTGGCACTGTGACTCCCGTTAAGAGCAGGCCTTGCTTTGAATGGAAGTCACGTCGCATTGTACAGCTGACCCAGTTTGCAAAAGCTGGCCTTGTTCCATACAGCATATTAAGATACCTGCAGAAAGCTGTATCGTGACGGGGGGGGGGCATCTCTACTTTGTTCTATCATTCCTTCTGCTCTCTCTAGTCAAAACTTTGCTAATGTGTCTCTTCGTGAGGGTGAAAGGACAGCCGCTGGAGCTGCATTAGGCTCCCCATGATCTTTAAGAGGAGTTTACTGAATAAGTGGAGCATGCATATAGAGACTGGGATTATAGTTTGTGATGTGGCAAGCCCAGGTGCAGGGAAGCAGGGCTTATCATTTAAAATGATCATAATGAATCTCAGCAATTAAATCTGTGCATCTCTGGCATACATCAGACTAGTCTCTCCTTAAGTAAAAGGCTTTTTGTCAAGACATACTCAGGTTTACCATTTCCTAACTCAGACGTCTCCTTTTGCACCTGCTTCGTGCCCTCTCAGTTCACCTTGACAGTTTTTGGAGTCATTCTGCACCCCACAATTCTGCTTTACCTTTGTGGCCAGCTCTCCCTGGCTGGTTGGACAGAGTGCCAGCGACGGGGAGTGCTGCAGTCTGCCACTGTCAGATGAAAGCTGGTGGTGGAGGAGGAGGAATGATAAACAGAACTGCAGACATTTCATCCGCCTGCAGAATTCATGAGACCAGGTCAGATTTTCTGCAGTGGGTGCCAGGTGCATGCCCCTCAAACCCAAATCCCAGATTGGGGCATTTTGCATTTTATTTGCCCTAGGTTAAACATAGAGTAAACTATGATATAAATGTTTTTATGAGATGGCAGAGGCTTCTGGATGTTTCCTGAGATGTGCATAAGAGTATGGTAAAGAGTAAAGCAGGTTCCAATGAGTTGGATGTGAGCAGGAAAAGCATATAAAGAAAAATAGCAGCGACGTAAATGGCTCACCTGAGTTCAGCTGACAGGACAAAAGCAGAAGCAGGAGGTTTGGTACCGCTGAAAGCGATATAATCAGAAGTGGAGGTGGTAGATTCCATAAAATTAGAATCTTAATTGCCTGATTTTTCCCTGGATTAGGAAGAGCTTCTTCCACTTGCATTGAGTATCAGAACTTAAGAAGAGCTTTCTGGATCGAGTCTAGCCTTCTGATCTCACAGTGCCAACCAGATGCTTATGGAAAGCCCGTAAGCAGGAGATGAGCACTAGAGCACTCTCCTCTCCTGCAGTTTCCAGCAACTGGTATTATGATTTACTTTGCTTAGTAGCAAAGCCCAATTTATTTGCGCTGCACTAGCAATATGTGTTAACAAAGCTGGGCATTTTAATACTTCCTGCATGGAGCTGGGGCAGCATGTACCTAAATTTTCTAACTAGGTATAGTCCCAATATCTTAAGACAAAGGGGCCTGATAGAATACTGCAAGTCATATTTGTTAAGTCTATACTTTCACGGGGGGAATGAATTGTAGCAGGGAATGCTTTTACCTCGCAGAGTTTAGGGTCATTTTTCAAGCCTCGTTGAATGGTTGGCGCCTTTGGGGGATGTGGAAGGACAGAAATATTAAGCTAATAAATGGCCCCCGGTGATTCTGCCTGGTCTTGTACACATACTGCTTTGTTTAAAGCCACGATTTATGGGAAATGGGAATAAAAAGGACATTGAAGGCCAGAAATAGGAAAGAGACGAGGTTTTTGGCTTTTTCAGCCTAGGAAGCAAAAGCAACCATTTTAGAGGTGTGTGATAAGAAAACAAGGAGGGATTCATCAACTTATTTATTGGGCTCGTGAAACAAGGAGTGCCCAGCAAGCAAGGGCCAGGGGATCAGCACCTTTACACCTTTCGGGCCCCCTCCGTTGAGCTTTAGGAGGGCACCGTCACTCAGTAAAAGTCTGATGTTGGCTCTGTCAGGAGCTAGGAGGAAGCACCTGATACACTCAGAAAGAAGGTGAGGGAGTTGGGGTGTGGGGGTGTTTCTACAGGTGGGCAGGGAGGAGACACCCATGATCACAGCGCAGTGAACGTCAAGCCATTCTTATGACCCGCCTTGCTCCATCAAGACACTTAGAATAATCCAGTGGTGGCTGGTGCCCATTGAGGCCAAACGCGGGGAGATCGACAGTAAGTGGGGCCAGGGCCAATGACAGGCAGAGCCCACTAACTCTAGTTTTGCCTCCTTCCTTCTGAGTTCTACAAGAGCAAAACGGAGAAGGAAGAGGAGGAAGCCACCTCCCAGGGCGTTTGTAAGAAATAAGGTGAGGGCAGGCAGAGGTTGCCCTAATGGACCAGTCTCCACTGGAATAATCTTGGGGATGCTTGTTCTCCTCTTATTTGGCAAGCTTCAGGAGGCGCTGGATGTCGGGCTCGATGTTGGTGGTGAGGAATCGGGGGCTGTAGCGCTTGAAAGGCTCGCCTTCGGGCCCCACCAGGAACTTCTCAAAGTTCCAGGAGATGTCATGGCGGTGCACCGGGCTCCAAATGATGAACTTCGGTTCCATCATGAAACAGGAAGGGTTGTCATCTGGGTAAGGAAGTTTGTCCTTCAAGTAGGCAAAGACAGAGTGGGTGTTCTTGCCGTTCACCTCGCATTTCTGGCAAAGGGTAAAGTTGGGTTCGAATCCGGACCCAGGCCGCACATACTTCAGGCTATTGAGGATCTCTTCATTCGTGCAGTTCTCCTGATGGAGAGAAGCAGGAAGCACAATGAGCATTGGGACAGGTCAAGCTCAGTCTATTCCCTGCTGCGCTTAGCAGCACCAGCAGAGCACTTTGGATGCAATCTTGCTTTGGTTCCTGCTAGGCTCAAATGCATGGCTGGTTTGACTTATGTGAAAGTGTCTTCCTTGTAGGGGCTGAAGCTCATACAAGAGGATATTGCACAACATTCTGGGGCTGGCTCCCTAGAACAGATGTGAGAAACAAGGACACTCATTGCTTTCAAGGCAAGAGTTTCATACATGTGTTTATAAGCAATAATTGGTTTTGAATCATCTTCATTTTGACCAGTGAGATGATTTTTCTGTTCTTTTAGCATATTGCAGTATCCCCCTCCCACAGACGCTACTAGACTCTAGAAGTCTTTCTGGAATTGTAGAATACTGACTCTAAAGATGGCTGGATTCTGTCAAGTGCTACGTGCAGTGAACCTTTTTTTTATTTTTAAAAGTCTTACGAACACATCTCCTGTTTTCAAACCTTCTTATATGGATCCTATCTGGGGTGGTGAGGAGTGTGGGTTGCATGTGTGAGAGAGAAGTGGCTTGCCCCTCTGCAGCATGAGGCCACCAGATGATTGGCCAAGAGTGACTGTGGCTCTTGGGGAAAAATAACTTGTTATCTCTATTCTAGGGTGTTAGGTTTCCACAAGTGGAAATAACTGTGGTGCATTTGTGGTTCAGTGCCAAGAATATTTTCTCCTTGGGTAGGCTGGCCAATGGCATTTGTTTTATATTCAGGTCCTTTGTGTTCAGTGTTTGGCACTGAGGAAGGAGCTGCCTGCTGGAGACAGCACAGAGACAGTTTGAGAGTGTGGATTGGCAATGACCTTAGGTCTTTCTCAGTTCTGTCATTCTACTCAGGGCTACCTATTTTAGGTTTGTCTGCCACTTTACAATTTATAGAACAATCCTGTGCCTGTTTACTCAGCAGGAACTCATTGTTCAGGGGGATTTACACTCAAGTAGCAGCAGCCTTGGCGAGACAAACAGTCCTGTTGCAAATTGCTCCCATGTCTGCAAACATCCTTACAAAATCCTCATAGCTGGCTCCTAGACTGATGAGAGCTACTTCTACCACCTCCTCTGCTGCCTGCAGTGAAAGGGACAAAGTCATGTGTTTAGTGTGCTAGCACAAAGCCCATGCATTATTGCTAGCAAAGTTTATCCCAGAACAAACAACTGGCGACAAGTAATTTCCTTTCTGGGCACCTGGCATGATGGGCAACAGAAATCTTCATATGGATTAAGGGCAAGCTCAGGAACTGATGCAAGTAGTGTCAGGATCACAAACGGTGACTGAATTAAACTCCTGACTGATCCCTAGTGAAAAAATAGATACCTATAACGAAGCAGCTCAAAAAAACTAAAAAGCTAAAGTAAAAAAATAATAATCAGTGTATCTAAGTTGATAGCAGAAGAAAGTATAAGTCAATATTTGGATAGTATACGCCTTCTTGAATCAAGCATCTCCCCCTCCTTTTTTTAAAGAAAATGGCCTCTAATATTTATAATGCAGAAAGATTGGAAATCTAAATATAACATAAGCAATTGTATGAGCTTTTGTTACTTTTTATTAGTTTTTATGATTGCATTTTTTGTAATAGTAAGTTTAAACTGTTTTTAACACCCCCCTGAGACTGTAGGGTGGATGGAGTGTCATAAATAAAATACCGTAATAATAGGAATAGTAAAAACAATGTAACTGGCGTAGATAATAATGGCTTTCTCTGGAATCAAGGAGTGATCCAAAGTTTCCTCTGGCAGAACTACATTTCCCTGAACCTTTAACAAACTACAGTTCCCAGGATTCTTTGGGAGAAGTCATGTGCTTTAAATGTATGCTGTGTACACAGACATTCTCTTAAAAATTTCTACATTTTTGTTCTAAATAGAGCCTTTCTGATGCCTTTAAAAGTGGCAATACTATAGGGTCGTAAATATGCTAAATTACATGTGCGTCTCTTAACAGAAGAGCCAGAATAAGTGTCAATTTATAGCAATTGAATTGTCTCTGAACAATGTATTTGAATTTTATTCACCTGGCACTTTGCTTTTCTCTTCTCCTGAGAATCCTGCAGGATTGAACAGTTATTCAGAAGTCACAGTCCAGGAATCTTTCGGATAAGTAAAATTATCCCTCCTACACAATACACATGCAGCTTGACCCTCCTGTGTGGGAGCAAAGCCCCATTAAGTTAATAGGGGCTGCAATCCCTCACTTCTCAAACAAGTGCACATAGGATCCACAAAGGAATGATGATAGGGTATTGAAGAGAATGGGCTTACTTGATGGGGGAGCTGTAGCTCAGTGGAAGAGCATGTGCTTTGCATGCAAAAGGTCCCAGGTTCAATCCCCGGCAGCTCCAGGTAGGGCTGGGAAACACCTGTCTAAAGGTTTGGACTGCCGCTGTGCCACCAGTCAGTGTCAGCAATACTGAGCCAGATGGTCTGACTTTGTATAAGGCTGAGAGATGGAGCCATCTTTTGCCAATAAAGGCTGGCCAAAGAGAGAATGAACCAGGTCACTTACCTGGTAGCCAAACTGGTTGCAAGGGAAACCCAGCACAACCAACCGTCGAGGGTATTTGCTCTGCAGCTGGTTCATCTGGGTGTAATCCCTCACCGTTGTGCCTCAGAGGGAGGCCACATTTTCTATCAAGACCACCCTCCCTCTGAAGTTGTTGAAATCCACCTTCTCCCCTTGGAGGTCGGTGGCGTTGAGATCGTAGAAAGATTTGGCTATGGGAGTCATGGCTGCAAGGACCACGGACAGCAGCAACAGGACAGCAGTGAGCCCCTTGCAGATACAGTGACTTGCTTAAAATGCTCCTCTGTGGGTTCATGCGATTGGCTGCACCCGGGTCCTGCCGGGATGGGCGGAAAGTGGAGCCATTGCCTGTTATCGATCCAGCTCTTTACTGATTTGGAACAAAAGGCGCAGGTCAGGCCACGGTGTGTTCCATTGCAAGCATGTAGCTGAGGAAGGATATCCAAGCCACGGTGATACTTAGGCCAGCTCTCAATAATTCATGTTGCTTAAGACAAAGAAGCTTGACTCGGAGAATGCCAGTGTGATCCTCAGGAGTAAGTCCCACTGTGCTCAGTTGAACTTATTCCCTTGGAAATGTGCTTAGCATTGCAGCCTGGGCTGGGAGGGCAAGAACTGAAAATGCAGCGGTTTGTTGCTTTTGTAGTAGCACTTTGGGATCATTAACAGAGGTCAGGACATAGTTAGGTCGGGCAATACTGTATAGGCTTGGTACTGCATAAGTTCATCCTGCAAATTTCTCTGTGGAGCCCAATGAAGGCACATTTGCAGTACGACATCAGAGCCGGAATTGGTGTGAAAAATTGGTGTGTTGTAAGAAATTGCTGCTGTTTTGAACCATTTATAGCAGGGCCCGAGAATTGTTTCCTGTTGAATCTGCAACAAAGTGTTGCTGCGTGGAGTGCTTCTCTTCTGGGTTCCAGACGCTCCATCTCTCCCACAGTTTTCCATCCCCGCAGCCCAACAGCCTATGAGCATTTCATGTCCACTGAGGTGTAGTGTGTGTGTTTTGAGTAGTGTCTGCGTTAAGAGCAGTGGTTCCCAATTAGCTAATTACTGAGGACCTCCTATTTTTCAAAAGCCAAAGCCACTGACCCTTTTGGAAATTTTGATAACTAGCGTAGCTAGGGGGCAGGGAATCCCGGGTGGCACTTACATTGGGGGTGGCATGCCAGATCCCAAGGTGAAGTGTGAAGTCCAGGCACCCCAGAGCCCGGTGCACTGCTCCCAAAAGCAGCACAGCCTAGGGCTGGGCTCTTAGTGCGCTGAGCTGCTGTGTCTCCCCCCCACCCATCCCCCAGCCTCCGAATGGCGGCTGAGAAGGATGCAACTGGCACGCACTGGCACCGGGAGCGGGGCTGGGCCTGCAGTGTGCCCAAGCCATGGCGTCTCCTGGGAGTGAAAAGGCAGCACGGGGCTGGCATCCGCCTGCCACCTCCCCCTCAGCTGCCCTCCAGCAGGAGGGCAACTGTGAGTGACTGCAGGGCATCAGAGCTGCCTGTTTTCGCAGGCAGTGGTGGGCTGGCGCATGCACACTGCCTCCTACTCAGCGGCCCTCCAGGTGGAGGGTGCTGTGAGGGACACAGTTCTGGCAGCTTGCCCCACCCCCCTGGGCGGCCTAGCTGCAGGGCATGCCCACCCACTCCAGGGGCTTGCTACGTTGCTTACTCTATGGTAGTTACCTCTGCAAAGCAATTTTTTTAACAAAATGTGGGATGATAGCCCCTAGTAAGCAGGGGATTTTGTTGTTGTTGTTTAGTCGTGTCCGATGCTTCGTGACCCCATGGACCAGAGCACGCCAGGCACTCCTGTCAAGTCTCCCTTCAGTGGAAGTACGGACTTGGCAAAGAACTCTTAACTTCTGGCTCCACCTAAACTCAAATCCCGCCCCCATTTACTATCCCTAGTACTTCAAGACTCCCATAAAAGTGCCTGGCTTAAAACCGTCTATCAAAAACTTCACTCTTGTGGCCTATCCCCACAACACCTACTCACTATGGGCCCTACTGAAGCAAACAGTCTAATTGGTCAATGTCTAAAAGATATCGAGCATCAGAACAACCTGGCCACTATAAGGAAATCCTGCCCTTGGTATGTTCATTTTCCACCTCTCCATTTTGATTCTCTGGCTCCATATCTGCACAAACTTATTATCCCAAAATACAGACGTGCTTTTACACTTGCAAGGCTGGATGTTTTGCCATCTGCGGTACTTGAGCGTCGATTCCAAAAGATCCCGTCTGAGAAACGTCTTTGCCCCTGTGGAGATGGTAGCATCGAAACAGCGGCACACGTCCTCCTGTCTTGTACTATCTACAAAGACCTGAGGAACGAGATCATCACCCCACTCTTACTAAACCATCCCAGGGCGCTCAACCACTGCCACAATGTCCTTTCTTCTAGCAGATCAAAATGAGCAGATAACATCAAAGGTTGCTAGGTTCATGGCAGGGGCAATCAGAATAAGGGCCACTAACTGATGGGTGAGTCAGGACTTTAAATTGTGCTCTTATATCAAACTTCCTTTTCTGCGTATACTGTAATGTTTTACTGTTGCTATGGCCATTGGCTAATGCGAATAAAGTTTTATCTTATCTTCCAGGCACTCCTGTCTTCCACTGCCTCCTCTAGAGGATTTTAGGTATACTAGAAAACAAACTGGGACGCGGGTGGTGCTGTGGGTTAAACCACAGAGCCTAGGACTTGCTGATCACAAGGTCGGCGGTTCGAATCCCCGTGACGGGGTGAGCTCCCATTGCTTGGTGCCTGCTCCTGCCAACCTAGCAGATCGAAAGCACATCAAAGTGCAAGTAGATAAATAGGTACTGCTCCAGCGGGAAGGTAAACGGCATTTTCCGTGCGCTGCTCTGGTTCGCCAGAAGCAGCTTAGTCATGCTGGCCACAAGACCCGGAAGCTGTACGCCTGCTCCCTCGGCCAATAAAGCGAGATGAGCGCTGCAACCCCAGAGTCGGCCACGACTGGACCTAATGGTCAGGGGTCCCTTTACCTTTACCTTAGAAAACAAACTAGGGCTGAGCAATATCTCATTTTCAACATTGTGACATATCAGCAGCTAAACACGGTGATATTCTGAAATATCCCAAGGTCTGAAATTGGAGATCAGACGTGGGGATGAGGGAAAGAGCATTCGTGGAGATCTGGAGGGTGGGGTGGATGCAGATCAGGCATGGGGGTGAGGGGAAGAACAACTGCAGAGATCGGATGGATGGGGGGAGGAGAGGAAGCAGAGTCACCTCCATCCACTGCATGGGTTGAGTGGGAGGGGATGGGGATGGGGGGGGATCAAGCTGCCACTGTGGCTGCTGCTTTCCTGCTGAGAAAAGCTGTTCCGCCTCAGTGCCAGGGGAAGGTAGTGCCATGGTGCCTTGAAGCGAGCGCAATCAGCTACCCTGTTTTCCCTCAGCATGAGGGAAGGCAGCTCAAATCAGCAGCAATATCATGCTAGCAGCGATATGTTGCTGTGAATTGCCAGGTCAAAATCGTTATCATGGTGCGATTTCAAAACCAATGTAACTGATTTGTAAGAAAGACTGTACAACCTGAAAAAAGAGACAAGGCATGTTCTTTTGTAAACCAAGAACATCTTTAATAAAAATATTTTTTTAATTAAAAAAAAAATCAATTTTGGCCAATATATTGAAACATCTCTCAGTGCTAAAACAGACCATAAAATTTGTGCTATTACCATGCAAAAATGACAAAAAAATAGTTGCGGGGAAGCAAGGGATGGGGCCATGGACCCCCTGGGTGCATTCTGCAGACCCCCAGGGGTCCCTGGACCGCTAATTGGGAACCACGTTTAAAGAAAGAAAAATCAACCAATCTTTTGGGAATAATTAAGCTGCATCCAAACATAAGTATTATAAGACTTTGTTGGTGAAGGGAGCACCATGCAGAGTGTCTGAAGCACGAAATGGCATCATTCTTGGAAGCCATGTGTCATGTCTTCTTTTTCTTTCTGAACCACCTCTCTGAGGTGTACTATTGAGATAGTCCATTTGATACAGTCTGCTGAAGATGTCTATGAAAGGGCCCCAGATAACAGTCACATTTGTCAGCCTTCCTGCAGCTGATGATACAGTTAATCACCACTCTCTCCCTATTCAAACACTAATGATGATGAAGAACCTGCGTTTTACAGATAGAACAAATACTAGGGGAGGAAGCAGCAGATTCTTTCTGAGCCTTTATGGCAAAAAGGAGCCATTGAGGTTGACAGCAAATTGGTCTCCCGCAAGGCAACAAACTGGCAACTGGGCTAGTGAATTGACCCAACTCGGTAAGGACTCCTAGCCTTTTCCTTGATGCTTATAATTACCACTCAGGATAACCATCTATCAAAAGTAAGAACTCTACATTTGAAAGGGTGTGCAAACTGCTGCTTTGGACATACTGAGGGCACACACAGGTGTATGTAGCAGTGTATGGTATATCATTCGGCTAAGCATAAAGGATAATAAAAAAAATTGTCAATTTAGCTATGCTAAATTATGCGAGCAAAGAACATTTCCTCACATATATTTCTTATGCAATTTGTATTGCTACAGGATTGAATAGATGAGCTGGGCTGGGGGAGGTTTCCAATTCTTTGATTGTAAAGAGAGGCTAATTGGGTGCTTCAGACCTGGCAGAGAAGATACCGCTTAGCAGATCCCCAGAGTTAGTGAATTGCAGGCCAATGGCTCTTAATGGCTGTCTGCATTAATGGTTGGCAGAGATCAAAATGGGTTGCTCTTTTCCTTTCCTTTTCCAGCTTTCTCTATGTAAAAGGACCCCTGACCCTTAAGTGTCAGGGGTGTCACTTGCTTACCTGGATGGGGAGGGAACAAGACGTTTGGGGCCATGCAGTTTCACCGCTGGGAACATCAGGTTGGCTGGTGGTCAACCCATAGCTCTGGCCTCACCATTGTCCCACCCATCCAGCCCCATCCAGGTAAGCAGCAACAACATCGGTGTCAGAAGGGGCAGTTTCACCCACCACAAACACAGCTGGGGTACAGTGAACTTCAGTATTTGTTGGAGTGGTTTAACACTGTATCTCCACCTATGCTCAACATGTATATTTTCAATTAAGAACAAGTATTATTACAAAACAATGGCATGCCTCCAGTGCCCTCATCCCAAAATGAGACCCGGCCCAGTTAAGAACAACTCCCCTGAAATGTCTCATGGTTCAATGAAGTAGGGGTGGCATTACAGTATTTATCATGTCTTGTGTCAACCTAGAATAGATGCAAACCTTTCCCATAATAGTTTTTTTATTGACTGCTGAGGTCTGTTCTGAGAATTATAGCAGTGTTTTGAAAGGAAAAAAGAAAAATTACTTCCACTGCTGCAATGCACGTCCCCTTTCCAAAAACAGCTTGATAATGAAAACCTCTAATGAGAATCCTGCTTCTCCTGCCACGAGGAGGAGCAGGCTGAATTATTAACAGCTGGATCAGATTCCCTGTAAGCTCAAGTAGAGGAAGCTGGGGCATGTAACCAAAGTACAGAGATCAGATATTTTTCTGTAGCAGAGGAGGGAAGGGATACAGGGCCACTCCACCAGCACAGCTCAGACACCAGCAACTCTTGGCTCCTTCCAGTAAAGTGTATCTATCCTAGCTGGCCCTTAGAAGAACGGGTACTTGAGCTTGCTTATTTCCTTTTCCCTCCTGATCAAGTTTCATTTTGTGTTGTGCCTTTTAGAGTGTAAGCCTGAGGGCAGGGATTGTCTTGTTTTTATGGATCTGCAAGATGCGCTCTGGGAGCTTATTACTATTTTGCTGATGAGCAGAACAATAATAAAAAAGAATATAGGATGGAGGACTTACCTTAATACAAGTTACCTCAATGCCTCAGCAAAGTAGTCTAAACATGAAAAGCACAAAGAGCTGTTTTGTCTGACTCCAAACAGACACATCAACCATGTGAAATCTCTATACTACAGACTATGAAACCAGATTCACACACCCCCTGCCTGAATTGAGTGCATCAAATAGGGCAGACAGCAATACAGGCTTACGGCCAGCTCAACATTCTTGTGTACACCTAGCTAAAACACAGCCTAAGAGCCTTGCTAGGTGAGGCCAAAGGCCCATCCTGTTCTCACACTAGCCAACCAGATGCCTATAGGAAGCCCATACACAGGTCCTGAGTGTGATGGGACTCTTTCCACTCGTGATTCCCTGCAGCTGGTATTCAGAGGCACAATGCCTCCACCAGAGGAGGTAGAACTTGATGTTCTGAACATCCACTGTCTAGCAGCAGATGTAGCTACTGTAGGAAAACCTACAACATGATTTCACTCTGTTGAGAGAATATGGGGTGTGGAGGAAACTCTGGATGACGACTTGTTTGCTCTTCCTTCCTCTAAATTTGTAGTGTTGCAGGATTTAAAGATAGAGGGAGATAGGGTTTAACAATATGCCACTATCCTGCAGCATCTGTTCGAAAACATCTAAGCTGTGGCCCTCCTTTGACCCACAACTTCCATCACCCCTGGAGACTATGAAGACTAGGGCCCAAAAGGTGTTCAGAAACATCTGGCAGACTACAGATTCCCCACCCAAGTAAATTGATGCAGATTAGCAGGCAGCTTGAGCTCTTGCAGTCTCCTTTTGAAGGAGGGATTTTATATTCCTTGCTACAGTACAAAAATAGCTGCAAATACATAAAATGTTCACTCCAGGACTCTGCCAATTCCAGGTGGTCCCATGTGGGCAGAACTAATCCTTGCTTGTTTCAATTTTTCTGGACAAAAGCTGGTTGCACTGATGCATGTGCCAAGCTACATCCGTTCTACCCCTGGTTTGCTTCTTTGGCTCCTTTCTTGTGCAACTGAGCCCGTTTGCAGCATAAATTAAACATAGCTCTATTCTGAATGTGTTCTCTACATAGGGAAGCATTTGCTGTTTGACCTCCTGGATTTCTCTCCAAGTGAGATTCTTAGCAGCAACACAGCTTCTTTGTTGCAGAGGACCGGGTTAGCCACCCAGCAAAGAACTAGAGCAGCCGCCAACCACTTTGAGAATCTTTATTTTTGTAAAGATCTTTCTTGTTTAAAATCATGAGTTACAATGACAGGCCATACAAGGAAACCCAGTCAAAGTGCAAAGTCCACAAATTACAGACACAGCAGAGGATTCAGAAAGTTCTAAGTTTGGCTGGATCCCATGACAAGTTTATATGCAACGGTTTCCGCTACAGACAGAATGATCTGTGACTCAACAGGACGGAGGCAGCCTCAGAATACTGGAGAGTGCTAGATTCCCAGACTCATCCTCCCTTCCCCAAGCACTGGCCTGAAACCAAGAAGCACTTTGTGGCCTCCTGAGAGCACTACTCCAATCTGCACAGAGAAAAATCAGCATTGATTAGGGAGCTTTTCTCGCACTGAAAGAGTTGTCTTAATGACCCAGAATGCACACTGTTAGTGTGGCTCATTTGGCTCAGTGTTGGGAGCCAGAGGCTTCGTCAACCACTTGTTTGCAAGTTCAACCCAGTTAAGAGGCCATTGCTGACTCTACACAATAAGGACTCCAGCTCCTGCCATAAGCAAGGCAAAGAGCTCCTCACCTGTTCCCCTTTCTGGTCTTGTGTGTTGTGAAGATTACATTGGAGTCTAGTAGTTTGTGTGTTATAGTTAACAGCATCAGCAGCCCAGCTTCTATTATATTGGTGGGATATGGTCTTAGATCCTAGGTGGAGCAAGCGGCGCCGATGTGATGCTGAATTGCAGCAGGCAAGGAAAAGCTACAGTGGGGACATCTTTGGGCTTTCTTTGGGACCTCCTAGCTTGCAGAGCCAGAGATACTGGGAAGCCTCCTGTGCTCATTTCAGGGACAGAATGACATCCCTCTCTTCAATCCTTTCAGACAGACCACCTTGAGGGCAGCTCTAGCAACAGAGTTTTAAAGAACTGGGTGCAAGAGACAGCCAGGAACCAGCTGAGACAACCACTCTCTGCAGGCAGCTAGCTAGCCACTGCTGTTGTTTTTTGTTTCCCAGTTGCACTGAGAAGATGCCGAGTGAGTTATTCCACGTTTCTCATCACATTTATGCCTTAGCATGGCAGTTCTGCATGCTGCCACAGGCCTTCCACACTGTAGGTTTAAGTGGTCATATAAAACCTGCTTTCTGCACTCACAGCATGCCCATTCACCTTGGGTGCAGTGCAATCCAGTCAGAAAACAGGAGCGGGGGCTGGGGGTGGGGAGAGAAGACAACACAGGCCACGTAGACTCTCTGTGCAAGGATTAGCCCTCAGTCTTCATTCCAGCCTCCTAACAAGCTAGGCAGACCAAAGCCAGCAAGGCCTCAACGAATCAGATCAACAGTTTGGGCTTACAAAAGAGGCAAAAAAGCTCTTCCTTTGCTGTGGCCCATCCATTTCCTTCAGTCTCTACATGCCTCCTCTCTCAGGGCAAAGATGCCTAGTTCCCCACCTGCACAAGTCCTCGTTTCTTTGCATTTTCACCTGTTCTTACAGAATTTGGGTCCTACTACACCATGGCTGGGAGGAAGCTTTGGTCCTCCAGGTGTTGTTTGATTCCAGCTCCCCTCATACCATCACAGCCGGCACGGCCCTATGGTCAGGCATGGTGGGAGCTGTAGTTCAAAAACTAAACAGGCTACCAGCTACGTGTGTCTCTAATTAGTGTCTACAATATCTCCAGCTTCACACTAGGTCTTGCAGGAAGCGGTCCCTTGTGGTCAAGCCTTTTCATGCCTCTTTCTTCCCAGACCCTGGGACTGGGGTCTTCCCAGGGGACTGTGGCTACAGGAGAGCTGCTCCTGCCAACAGCAGGCACTGTGTGTAGAACTCCACTGTTTCCAGTGGCTTGATACCTGTTCAAACCCACCCAGCACAAAGAAAGAGATAAAACTGGTGGTTTTGAGAGTGGAGCCTTTTTTGGAAATGCAAGGCACCCTTGCTTTCAGGACAAGCATCACTGTGCAGCCAACTTTATTCCCGCTACTATCCTTCCTCTCCTTCACTGGGTAAAAATATTTTTCATCTGCTCTGAGAGAGAAAGTCAACAACCAACTGGAGGAGGAAGAGGAAAAATGAGCAGGGAAATGTAGATCAGTCTGCTCTCTGGTATGACCTGGCTAGGGAAGGGCAGATCATCACATGGATATAAGAACCATTTTCTATCACTCAAATAGATCGTGCCTAAGCCCCACCCCCTCCATCAAAGGCAGCCTCTCTAGGCAGCAGGAGGACTTAACGCACCGCCATCCCACCCAGAAAGCCTCTGCTTGACACCCATCCTTTCTAGATCCGCAAATGTAGCCCATTGCTGGCATGTACGTAGGAATGGAAAGGAGTCTTCGCCTCCCCAAGGTGTTGGCACGCAGGGAGCAGCTACTCTGGAGCAGGCAGGCGCATATAGATTAGAATTACCATGACATACTGCCAAGTGTCTTTAGGCCTCCCCCGCCAAGCATGTCAAGGCGAGAGGGGGATGCTGGTACAACATGCAGGCAGGCAGGCTGGTTTCAGTTTGCTCGGATCAAGCCATGTTAAGCAGCACATGGCAAAAGAACCAAATAAATTGGATACCCTGGAATCTACCAGGCTGAGCCTCCAAGGAAATTCCTTCTGTGGAGGAACTTCTAAAAAGAGCCCACGAAAGGGTTGTGAGCAACTTCTTACAGGTTGGATCTCAAGAGTGAGAAGAAACAAACGAGGGAAGGCTCTATGCACAGATTACAGTGTGTTTCCATATCAGCGCTTTGGTGAATAGTTGGGAAAGTCATTCCAAGGGGGCTCTCAAAGCCAGTTCCGCACAGTTGACACAGATAGGGTGGGCTCTCTGCCTCCATTGGTGCAGGGATATAGGCTAAGCGGGTGCCTGATGTACCTGCACCACCAAAGATACCCAAGGGGAGCCAAGCGAAGATGCCCTACAAAATCTTCGAGTAAATAATAGTAGGCAAGGATTTTGCTTGGTGTGCAAGACAAGGCTCCAAGGAGTTACAAAATGGGAGCCTAGTTTGGCCTGGGAAGAAGCAAACATTAATTGCAACTGGTAAGGCGAGTCTGAATTTAAAGCCCCAAATTTCCATCATCCTACCCCTTTCCCAGCAGGGCTAGACTCTTGCTGCTCCCAGCAGCTTACACTTAGCAGGGCAAGAGATGCCACTGTGCACTTTGGAACAAGCCCCAATTTGGCGAGATGCCGTGGTGAGAGGTCTTTTTTAACAACAACCTCCAGGCAGCCAGGTATGTACAAGACACTGTATCCAATACAGCCGCAAAGCCCCAACCCTGCACAAAGCTGTGCAGGCATTAGGGCAGATGCTGAAATGGCAAGGCAATGTATGGGGGGCGGGGGGCGGATACAAACGGACAAGCCTTCAGCAGGCCTGCTATTGAGGGTGTGCAAGCAAACGGTCTGTCTGGAGGAGAGTGAATGAAGCGGGACATTCCTCCCTCCTTGAGCGCCCTGTTCTCAGAGGACAGGCCTAGTTGCACCCAGGCACAGAACCCAACTGGCTCAGCTGCCCCCTGGAAAAGGGCAAGGCTGCAGAGCACCTGGAGGTTGAGAGGCTGCTGAAGAGGCCTCGGCTGCTGCGATCGCCAACCACAGCTCTTCCGCAAAGGTGGCGGGGTGATGTTCTGCATATTGTGAGCCCCCCCGAAGAGAGATTTGGATCCAGGGAGTTTGGGGGAACAACAGAAATCACCAATCAAGGAGAAACACCAGGAAATCCAAAGAGGATCCAGCAGGGCAGAGAGTGGGCAGGCAGGCAGGCAGGCAACCAGAGACCAAAGAGATGGAGCCCTCTCTAGGTGGCAGCCTCTCTGCCTGCACTGGGGGACAGAAGAAAAGGAAGAGCACTGGGAGGCTTTCAGCACCAGCAGGTCTTGGGGGAGTGCTCTGTGCCCTCTGGCTTGCTTGCCTCTTCCTCCAGCTCAACCAGGTTCAGTTCATCAGCCGCATATGTGCGGAGTCCGTCTAGCTCCTTCTTGTGGGCCTGCAGGACCAGCTCTGTCAGACGAGTGAAAGACTGAAAGACATGAGGGTGGTTGTTTTTTAAAAAAGTGAGGTTTAGTACATAGCTTTAGATCAGCAAACAAGTCTACACAAGTTACTAGCCCACAATGTATTTACTAGTGTGCTTGGGTGCACATGTCTAAATGTTTTAGACATTTGAGGTAGATAAAAAAAAAAGACTACTTCTCAAACTTTCAGTTTGGTTTCCCACTTGATGGCAATTTTTATTTGCTACATGCAAGAGTCGACTTACAATCCAGTTTTAAGCAGGAGAGTTATGTGCGTGCTTAAGTATGTCCCACTGAGATCAACAGTGGGCTCCTGCTCCATCCATGTATGAGTTTTGACACTAACTGCTAACATTATCACACATAGGGGCGTATCCAATGGACCCCATTTTTGTAATTCTGCTGCCCACTGTAGCCCACTCCTGAGGGTTTAGAGACCATCCAGAACAGTTATGGGATATGGCACGAAAGGCTACAGTAGGTGTGTGTGTGTGTGAATCCAGATATACCACTGTACATAAGTGTAAGTACTTCTGAGGTTAAATAAAATATATATGTTACATTTGCAACAATATATAGTGCAACTTTGCTTTCTCTCCCAAAGATGAGTTGCCTACTGGCTGCTATGGTCAAAAACTACAGGTGAGCCCAAGGATTTTCCACCATGAACTCTCTTTTGTTCTGTGTCTCCACTTGCTCTGCAAAGGTGATACACTGGCTGCAAAGCATCAGACACCTGGAAGTTCCATATGCAGAATTCTTACCTCTTTGATGTTTACGTTGGTGCAGGCACTTGTTTCATAGAAATCCATGCCATACTCCTTGGCCAGCTGGAAGACAGAAGTTCCAACAGCTTTACATACAGGTATAATAGTGATTGTCAATAGATTGTACAGATAGATCTGAAGAAACTAGAACATTCTCACATCATCACCTCCAAGACTGAGAAGAAAGCTTGTATTATATTTTAAAAAACAGGCTAGGTAACATTTGAAGTTTCTGAATGGGGAAAAAGAGCACTGTTACAAGCATAGCGTGTCTCTCTGATTAACCAGGGCTGGAAAAACTAGTAGAATGAAGTCCAGCTCCAGACCCCAGTGCCATCTCTAATATAAACAGTGACCCGGGAACACTGTAAAACAGCTTGTCTATGCCAGAAGGAAACCAGCTTCCAGAACCCATTTCCACAAGTTCCTGGACGTTGACAAAATTTAACTGCTCCTTCCATCTAGTTTTCTAGATCAGACTCTGCCCTAGTTCACACCCACAGCGGATGAGGCAATCAACCTGTTCCTGACTCTACCAGACTATGTGGGGGTCTCACACAACTGCATGTGCTTCTGAACAACAACAACAGAAATTATCCTATAGCAAGAAGGGTTCCTGACAATGCCATTGTCTTATATAGAGGAATTTGGTTGGGGAGGTGTATGGGGCAAGATCCAAACATATGAGGCCCCCTTTGCTGTTTGAAGTGGTACAGTGTGGAACAAGTTGGCTTCAATCAAACATAGGTTCCTGAATAATGCCCTCCCCAGAGCCCAGTAAGTTTCCCACAAGGCACTGAAAATGGAGGATATGGGGGCTGCCACTACAGCCATATAAAAATGCCTGTGGTTAGTACAGCTGCCATGGAGACTGCCATTGACCAGGCCTTCGGTTAGCATTGCAGCCTGCCTGGCAAGTGGACACTTGTACGCCATACCATAACAAGGTTCTCTGGGCATCTCACAATTATTAATTACAAAAACCATTAAAAACATAAAACCATTTAAATAAAAAGCACAAACATAAATACAATGAAAGCAGAACTCACTGCACTGCCAAAATTAAAACAGATTTAAGAAACAGAGAGGCCCAGACCACATCGTTATTTACAAGGCCTGAGTGAACAGAAACAGCTCAGTAGCAGAACATCTGCTTTGCATATAGAAGGTTTGAGGTTCAATCCCTGGCGTCTTCAGGTAGGGCTATGGGGGGCCCTGTCTGAGAGCCCAGGCAGTGTAGATGGTCTGACCCACCTGGCACTGTCAGTTTTACTATACCATCTACTATGAGTGAGGCTTAGGTCTCAAAGGAGAACAACTAACAGCTACCCAAGAAGTTTACCTGGAGGCCTTGCTCTTTGCCTACTTGCCTCTTCTCCTCCTCGTCTGCTTTATTCCCAATGAGGATCTTCTGGACGCCATCTGGGGCATACTGGAGAGGAGGGAGAGACTTTAGCCCATCCCAATCAGCACAGATTAGAAGCAGCATAGTTAAAAGCCGAGCTGTACAGCACTGTTCAGACTTGGGATTGTCAAATGCACCATTCCTGTTGCCTTTTAACTGTTGCACAGGGCAGAGAATTTTCATAGCAAATGGCTTCTTCCACCACTGCAACACAAACATCTGGAAAATGGCATCGCCCAACACATTTCTGATCTTAACAAAGCAATTAAAAGAATCGCAGGATGGTCTTACAGAAAACAGGGCTTCCATAGACCAAAGCCAATCAAAGAAACAGGGCAGCTAGAAAATCCCCCCCCAAACCCAGGGGCCAACAGAGTTGATCGCACATGCCCAACAGCATCTCCTTCAGTCCAGACCTGTTCATCTCCCTGTTAAGTTCACTGCAAAAGCAGATTACTTCAGTGCCAGTTGTGGCAGAGTGTTAAGAGTCACCATGTCAAAATGTGCACCACCTTCACCAGCCCAGTGCCTCCAGGTGTTCTGGACCACAACTCTCATCAGCCCCAGGACTGGCTGAGGCTGATGAGAGTTGTAGTCTCAACACATTTAGAGGGCACCAACCTGGCAAGGGGTAACCTATAAAAATTCCCTAACAGTGTAAAGGCAGAATATATGTGCACAAGGACACAAAGTTAGCACCCTGGCAGTATCCAAGATGCCTCCATCAGTTATTCAACAGCAGTGTATTTTATTTATTATTATATTTATATACGTAGCCACCTATCAATAAATATTCACTGGATGGTTTACATGCAAAACAACATGCTAGTTATTTAAAAAAAATAAAGAACAGCCTTTTGTTGCAGCAGAGATGGCATAATACAGCTCAGATTTAAAACACGGTTAAGGTTTATTAGATGTTCTTCTAGTCCCTGCATAATCTTCTAGTTAGCACTTGCTAAATACTGAAGAGCTTACACAAGGTAAAAGTCCTTTTACAGGAAATAAGGACACCCCAAAAGTGTTATGCCTTTTTCAAGGACATCTGGACTGTCCGTTGAATTCCCAAGGCTATTTTAATCCTACAATCTCTAGATAAACCAAGCACCTAAGCCAAACGTGCTATTTCTCTGTTTGAAGAAGGCTTCTCAAGACAAGAGAGTGCATGTATATACACACACAGGCCTTGAGCAGGAGCAGTTCATCCGATTTTGCCATGGCAACTTCTCCCACACTGGGGCCAACAATCCCCAACAAAAGGGGGAAGAAGCAGGGAGACCTCCTTGCTTACCTCATCTACATCACTGGCCCATTTCATGATGTGCTGGTATGAGCGCTCACTGCTGATGTCGTACACCAAGAATATCCCCTGGGGAGAGAACCAGGTCAAGAAAACAGAATGGAGAAAAACGTGCAACATAAACCCAAAGGTGAAATGACTTCTACTTACAGGGAAGGGGTAGGGGTGTGTGTGTGTGTGTGTGTGTGTGTGTGTGTGTAATTGTTAATTTAATAGGACATTCCCTATGCACCCTCTGCCCAGGAATTATGCTGGAGGGTTGAAGAAGAGGAACTAGACATTTGGGGATTATTCTTTCTTCTGTCCTGTTAGATTCTGCATGCATCTGAGTGTAGGCCAAGCTCATTGTGAAACCTTCATGGCAGATGTGGCCTTTAACTACTACCGATAAACCAAAAGCATTTGTGTTTTGACAGTTGTTCCTACAAGATTGTTACAGAGCAGGCTGCCACCATACTAGATAACAGACAACTGTTTAATGAATATGTCAGTCTTTCCCCCTGGGGACCTGGCTAATCAGTCTGCATTCCCTGCAGAAATACAGCAGGCTTCTTTGGCTGCAGTTTTACTAAACACTCCTTATAAACTAGGCTTCATGTCTCAGAGATCTAGCACCACTATGGCTCAGGGCATCAAGCGACAGGCAACAGGTGACCTACAGGCAGTAGTTGGGGGGCACAACATTTACCGTATTTTTCCATCTATAAGACGAGGTTTTTTACCCAATTTTTTAGGTCTAAAAACATGGGCTGTCTTATCCACAGAATATAGCAAATAAATATATAAATAAATAAATAAATAACTTCCTCTAGCAGTTGCAGCTTCTGGTAGTGGCAAGCTGTGGGCCCTCTGTAGTCTGCTTGCCTCCTCTCACTCTGCCCGCCCTACAGCAGGGAGGGAGGCTGTAGGCAGTCCGTTTTTGCCGTGCAGTGTCTTCGCGCAGCTCCATTTGTGTGCGGGTGATGCAGTGTTACACAGGAGGAGCGCGGCAATTGAAGTAATATCCCCCCCAACCCGCCGTGCCTTTAACATCAGTGAAACATCGCGCCTTGCGTCCTTCTGTGTAACATTGCGCCGCCCGCACACAAATAGAGCTGCGCAAAGACAAAACAGGTCACACACGCAGCCTCCCCCACGCAGCCTCTGCCCCACGGGAAAGGCGTGGAGGGGAGAGATATCTTCGATCGCTGCAGCCAACTGGAGAGGCAGCGCCTTTCCCGTGGGGCATTATCAGTCTGCTTGCCTCCTCCCACTCTGCCCACCCTACAGGCAGAGGCTGCGTGGGGGAGGCTGCATGCAATCTGTGGATTTTTGGATTGCTTTCTCATGGGCCAACATCCCTGCATTTTATGCACCAAGATAGCATCAGTAACACTAAATTCCTAAAGTATGCAGCTTGTCTTCAGCGCTTGAGGCCATCTGACATCCCCGGCCCAGGACTGCTGGCTTGCTGCCTTTCAATTTAGCTGAGGTTTAATGTTGGGACCCTTTCTGTGTTCCAGTGCTAACCTTTTGTCAACATTAGCACCAAAATTGTGTGTGTCTCTGTGTCTGTCTCCAAGTAGGAACTTATGGTCTGGATTCAACTAAGTTGTTGCACTTGCAGAAGCTACTGCAACAAGATCCACTGGTGCAACAATACTACCCCTCCTCTCCCTGTGCCCCCCCCCCCCAAATTCTGCTTCGGAGGGTAGGGAAAACCCCTAGAATAGTGCATGGGTGAAAGGCAGGCGAGATTCAATTCAGCAGGACGATCTTTTTAGCACGATGTTTAATTCCACTCAATATCAAAAAATGGAGAGAATGTCCACCTCTGTCAGGTCACCTCCATGAATTTTGGTTACACTATGCTTGCATCTCTGGCAACAGATGAAGATGTCAGAGAAATAGCACCGAGGCCAATGCTGGGACAATTCCTGCAAAAGCCAGCTAGTCCTTCCCAGGTCTCTCCATGCTTTTTGTACTACTTCTAGTCTAGGAGAAAACAGTTTTACCTGGGCTCGCCTGTAGTACTGCTTCGTGATGGTCTGGTATCGCTCCTGACCTGCAGTGTCCCTGGAACAAAAGCAGGCGTCATTAGAGTTGCTCCAAGTTACACACAGACTGAGGGCCACACACTGCAATTTTTATCCACATGATCCATCTGGACTGCAGCAGAGTTGGCGCTCATATGGACAAGGGAATTATTATCATCAGCTACTGGGTTGTATCCAGCACTGCCCATGAGTGAGTGGAACAGACTTCTGCTTATGAAACAGGACTTCACCATCCTCTCCTCCCTGCTGCAAAATCAGCACTGGAGGATTGGGATAAGCTCCAGAGCAGATTTTGGCATGGGACAGGGGGGAAGGGGCTGCAAGGAGAGGAGAGGAAGGTGAAGTCCTGTTGTGCAAGCTGAGGTCTCCTTGTGCCCTGTTGGGATTCTGCTAATCGTTTCCAAAGTGATTAAAGAACAAAAGAGCCACTACCCACAGGCTTACAAACTAAGATCCAAGATGCAAGAGGAAAAAGGAAGAGGGAAATAAGAAAAGTTGGGCATCAGTTCTTTAAGAGTTACATAGTAGTTCTTAGAGTGACCAGCTGGAACAGAAATAGTTCAGGGAGAAGAGGAGCCAAATGGTAGCTGGCCTCAGCTGATGTAATGGACTGGGCCCTGTTATTCCAAATCACCCTCTGTATTATGCAAAGTGAGCGATGGGATAGCCAGGAGCAGTTCTCAACATTACACAAATTCCTCCTCCTCACCCCTGCTAAAGTAGCTGCCAAACACACTTCCTAACATGCAGCCTTGACTTTCTGCCACGTCAGAAGACAAGCCCAAACAGCAGATTTGTGCTAAACTGCAGTCAAGTCGTCATAAGGTATGACTAATTGTTGTTCTGCAGTATCATCTTATGACCGACTTGCTCTTTGATCCACAAATGGTCATCGTCACTAATATTGTCACAAGGCAATTTCCTTGCAGTACAGGGACCCAAGAACACACAGGATCACTTCAGCTATGGAGGTTTATGCAATTTGACTGCTCCCTGCTGGGCTGTTTTAAATCTACTCCTGTGAAGGCAATTGCATCTAGGGTCTTCCCAGAAAAGATATACTATATCATTTTCATGCTGACATACAACAAAGCATCCGTGTCCCATTTTTAAAAGACTTATTTTTGTTTTTAATTAGTTCTTTGAATGCTATCTAAGACCCCCACCCCAGTATTTCACACACACCCCTCCATTAGAAACCAACACCATAAAGTGGAAAACTTCCTGGGTCAGTGGTGCTGGAGTAACATTAACACTACCTAAAAGAAGTATGTTTTTTGAAATAACAACAATAATAGTTTTAAATGGCCTCTGTTGCATTTTAGGCATGGAGCTTTAATCCACACCCCAAAAAACAACCCCAGTCCCCATTCAGGCAACCACAGGAAGGCTACCCTACACAGATGGTATATAACAACCTGTTACATTACTGCCAAGGAACCCAAATGGCCTCTCCCTCTCAGTCCTACTGGACCTCTCTTTGCAGATGGTGTTCAATAACCACTTATTGATTCCCTGCTACTTTTGATAATTTACCAAGCACTTCATCTGTAGAGTGCTTTACACTCTCTCTGCATGTTCACTTTATGGCAATCTTGCTGGCTGAGTTACTTGCCATTCCCATTTTACAGATAAAAGAACTGAGGCTGAGAATGGACAACTCATCAAAGTTCTCACAATGTATTCACACCAAGGAACTCTCATCTGGTCTCCCAGATCCAGAGTTCAGCTCTCTGTCTGAAGATCTACATTGCAATAGCTAAAATCACTTACCAGATCTGTATTCGAACCTTAATGCCATCTACTTCTATAGTTTTCATTTTAAAATCGACTCCTGTGAATAACAAAAGCAAAAGATAAGTTACAAGGGCGACTCCATCCCTACCCAGTAGATTCTGCTGAGTGTAATTAGGTTATGTGATGTTTAGAACATATATATGGAGACCCACAAATATCCATGTAGGTGTTTCTCACGTGCAGCATCTTCCTTGGGCTTGATTCAACGGAGTCCCGTTGGAGAAGATTGTGCAAGTCCTTCCACTAGCGCAACACTGCTTCCCCCCGTCCAAAAATTGGCTCTTAGGGGGCTTGATAGATTCCCTCAGAAGAATGCTTGGGGAAAGGGAGAAGGGAGGGGGGAATCATTCCATCTGATGAACTGAAATGCTTGCACTGACGGAACCAATGCCATGGTGCTACATTGAATTTCTTCCCCCATATCTATCTTCTCTTCAGTCTACTGCACAACCACCCCACGATGTGAATATGCAAACAACATTCACACACACACACACACACACAATCTAAGAGTAGATCACCATTGTTAAGGAGCTGGATCCTCTCTTCTCTGTTGAACTCCTTCTCACCAGCAGCCCAACCTGTCTCTGGCCTTGCCATACAGCGCTGACAGTTCTTTTAAACTTTTGAGCAGTTGACATATTCATACAAACTCCATAACACTACAGCAGCTGAGTCAGTAGCTAGGCAGAGCTCATTTTAATCAACTCAAACTAGTGCTCTCACCAATCTCACAGAACTACGGGGTGAACACACCAAGCAGGCCTCTGGTTGAGGTCTCAGTGTGTGGGCAAGATGTCACAGGTACTGCCAGACAGCTCACAGCCTAAACCTTTTAGGGCTTCAAAGTTTAAAACCAGCCCTTTAAAATGGGTCTACAAAGCCAGTATACTTGCTATAATATAGATGTTGTTGACACTGACAACAGTATACCCATCAGAACTATGGCAACTGCTTTTTGGACCAGTTGACGTTTCTAGACACTATTTAAAGGCAGCCCCGTGCAGAGTGCCTTATCTGCGTCTAGTCTGGAAATAGATCACTGTGGCTAATTTTGTCCTCTGCAGAAATGGCCACCATTGGCATACCAGCTGAAACACACCCCTAGCTTAAGGTTACCAGATTTTTTTCAATGAATCCGAGGACACTTTTCAACTTCCTACTAAATAGATGGATTTTGTCAGGGGACTGATTTGTAAATCTGGGGACTGTCCCTGGGAAACAGGGATGCCTGAAACCTTACCCTAGCTACCGACACTACTTGGGCTTCACTATTCAGCACCCAAGCCAGCAGCATTTGCAATGCGGACTTGGGTCTTTTAGGGGAAGTGGAACCTCATATGGGGAATATCCCAGCCCACAGCACCTCCTCCATCTTGCCTGGATTTAACCTCTGCTTGTTCACCCTCATCCATCTCAGAATTGCCTCCAGGCACCAGTTTAGAGTTTCTAAAACCTGATATCGGAAGATGGAAAAGAAAGAGAGAGTTCCATGTCATCAACCTTTGGATGACTTCCCCCAGTAGCTTCATGCAACTCTTAAAATGCACGGAAGACAAAACAGAGCCCTGGGGCACCCTGAAAGCCATAGGGCACAGGGCAAGATTTGCCCAACATTATCACCCGAGAACTTCCATCATGGAACAACAAGAACAAAAGTATTAAGTGTCCACAAACTCCAATACCCAATAGTTGACCCAGAAGGATACTATGGTTGAAAGCTTTCCTGGCTTTCGATACTAACAGGGTAGCACTCCTTCCATCCTTCCTCAAGAGCACATCATCCACCAGGGTGACCAAGGCTATTTCCATCCCAGAGCTGGGTCTGGCCATTGGTGGGGCTGATGACAGTTGGAGTCCAACAACATATGGAGGGGGGCTGGCTGTCTACCTTTGGTCTAGGCCAATGTGGGTCATAAAGGAATAGTTTACTATACAATCTAATATATGTTGCCTTTGCATGCTCAGCCATGGTGTGTGTGTGTGTGTGTGTGTGTGTGTGTGTAAAGTAGTATAAAAACAGGACAAGAAAATCTGACTGGAGTAGGGAACATACCCGTGAAAGGAACCATGGGAAAGTACTAGTGAATTCACCTTCATTTTGTCAGAGGCTGGAGATCTAACCTTGGTAGGCTGTGCAGCTTCAACTTATCTGTGATCTGGTCTAGATTCTTTTGAAGCCTTTTCTCCTCATAGAAGAACAACAACCCAACTCCCCAGTTTTCTGCAGGAGAGCCAGCAAAAGCAGAAAGCACCAAAGACTCTGTGTGTTTCTTTGAAGTTTCTACTGTAGCCGCTTGCCCACACTGCTGAAGAAGCAGGTACCTTTCAGCAGCACAGGGGACTGCAAGATAAATGCCACCAAAGCTGCACACAGCTTCCTACGCAACCCATCTTTCCAAGGTGGTGTGCCACAGCGCGATAAAGCTTGGCTGACAAAACACCTCCGCAGTAATGCATATGCCCAAACCAAGCAGCGCCTACCTGCTGCCTTGCAATACTTCTCTTCTATTGCAGGGCAGGGTAGAGCTAATTGAGAGTACCAGCTTTATAAGCCTTGCATGAGGCCTTCTTCATGTTAGCTATAGCTTAAATAACTGCGGCAATCGAACCCAGAAGTGAATCCATAAGACAACAATTTTTAGATCTATGACCGGGCAGGTTAGAGGCAACAAAACAGGCAGTGGCCCAATGGGAGAGCAGGTACTTTGCATGGAAAAGGCCCCAGGTCCAATCGCTGGCATCTTCAGACATGGCTGAGGGAAGTGCCCCATCTGAAAGCCTGGAAAGGTGCTGCCTATCAGGGTAGAGAAGGGAAGACCAAGGTAGGTGGACCAGTGTGAGGCAGGTTCCTACATCTACCAGTGGTTGTTAACTATGAGAAATAAATGTTAAGAGGCAGTATAGTTCCAATTATCAGAAACTGATTGCAAACCAAATGGGACGGTGACCCTCATGCCTTGCTTATGAATTTCCTCCAGGAACCCAGCTAGCTTCTGTTGGGAGACAGGTTGCTGAACTAGATGGACACTTGGCCTGATCCTGCAAAACAAAGCCTTGCATTCTGCACAAAAAAAGCTCCCTGATCCAAGATTAAGTTTATTTTCTCCTCAGAAAATTGTGTAGCTTTCTGAGGGTGACTCACATATCGTGCACGATTCACCAAGCAGGAACAAGTTGAAAGTGATCCTTTGTACTCCGCAAGGCATTTTCTACTCGCTCTGTGGTCACAATGAGAACTTCATTAACTTAACGCAGATGAGGACTGTGTGCTTGCGTCACCGTGTGGGAGAACAGGACCGTTTTGGAAATGGTCCACTGCTGGAGAAAATATAAACTCAAGGAGGAACATATCCCATTACATAGCAATTCATACATACAAGCTACCTGGCTAAAACCGGCCATGGTCAACCTGAGTGGGTTTAAGCTCAAGCAGATCTAAGCAGCAGGTCACACGAAGAACAAGCTTTTCAAGAGAGGTGGCACTTCTGTTAACTCCACTCTTCCGCAACCCTCCTAATGTTCCATCTCAGGAGAATAGGGAAGTGGGGGCTGAAAACCCAACCTAGTGATAGTCTTCACTGCCTACTCACCTGAATGAAGACCACAATAATAATAATAATAATAATAATAATAATAATAATAATTTTTTAAAAATTATTTATACCCTGCTCTCCCCAGCCCTATAAAGCAGAGTGGGGGACCTGTGGCCCTCCAGATGTTGATGGACTACAACTCCTATTATTCCTTACCATTGCCATGTTGGCTGGGACTGATGGGAGTTGGAATTCTACAAATATCTGGTGGATCCACCCCTGCTAAAAGGAGGTAATCTCCCTGTGTGAACACCATTGTAAGTAGTGTATTTTGCTACAAGCCTACAGATGGGGTAGTTAGGGCACACCCTGGAAGTGGAAGTGGCTCGGCCATTCTTTGTTTACTACCATTGTTCCCATGGTACATTTGACGGCAGCAGCATTAGGCAGAAGGTAGGCCACGATCCACTTGGTAGACCTCTGGGTGTTTTGCAGTAGATCAGGAAGTGTTTCTCAATTGTTTGACGATAAAGGTAAAGGGACCCCTGACAACTAAAAGGCTTCCCTCACTAAATTAAAGGGCTTGAACAAAGAAACCTTGTGGGGAAACCAGGAATGGATTTTTGCCCTGGACTGAATATGTGCTTGATTCTTAATGTGTGTCTGCCTTCCTGAAGCACTATTTTACACTTGGCTTCAGTTGGTGACCCTCAGGATTCTACAAATTGTAATAAAGCTTAAAGCCTGCACACTGGCCAGATAAGTTACTGGAAGAATCAGTGAGTTATTGGAGGATATTAAGCAACTGGAGAAGCAGAAGAGAGGAGAGACTCTGTAACATATGGATGCAAATGCATATCACGAGTGAGGAATTGGGTGAAATTTGGAAAAGCATGCTTTACAAGAAATCATGGGACTAAGCAGAAAACCTTGCTTTCTTAGCACCAGAAGTTCCAAGAAAGCTTTTGAAAACCAGAGCTTTATTTCTGTATGGACAATTTTCCTTTTCATAAGTTTGCTAGTAACGATGGGTGCCAACTGCAAACAAATATTATGCAAGCTTGGCATTGTCAATGATTTTAGGTTGGTTTACTAAATACAAGAAATATAAACTTGCTAACTTAGACCACTCTCTAGAGCAAATGAACGTTTTCCAATGCAAACTGAAAATTTTCTCTTTAAATTACTCTTACAAATTACTCTTTATGATGATGTTGATGATGATGATGAAATTACTCTTTAAAAAATCCCAATTTATTTTTTTCTTGACTACTGACTACAAAAGCAATTAAACAGGAAGCAAAGGGAATTTCATCCTATTTCCTAAAATAGACCATGATAGGAAAGTAACTTACTGGCCAGAAAGCTAAATACTGGAATATGCAATTCTTCAGTGTATGGCAGGGATGGGAAACCTGTGTCCTCCACCCCAACGCTACTGAACTTCAACACCCATCAGTCCCAAACAGATGGGATGATGGAGGAAAATGGGAACTTCTCACTTTCCAGATCGATTCCATCATAAGCTTGCAAACTGACCAAATACTCAAATCTGAAATTAATAGCTTCAATACTAATGCCCAACCCTCTCCCCCCCGCACATGCATGTTGGCCTTACTTGCAAGTCCTATATCTGATATGGGCTACAGAGCTCCTTCAGATGGAGTTGTGTCAATATGGACATGCCCCAAAGCAGCTTTCTTCTCAAGCTGCCAGCCGCTGAATGCAAGCCTGAGGAATCGAGCCATAGCTGGGGAGCTTCAGGCCCGGAGCCCAAATGCAGCCAATCACACCTTTCTATATGGCACCTTCGCTCCCCAGGCCACACCCCTAACCCTCCTGGCTTCACACTTTCCTTGAATACTTTTGACTGCCTGGAATGTGTCCTTGAAAACCTGCATTGCCTTTTGCTTGCCTGGATGGAGGATAGAGAATGTGTGCACAAACTAACTTATTGTATAGATGTAAAATTTGCTTTCGTTGCTCCACCCACCTTGGCCTCTGGCCCCACCCACTGGCATGTGGCCCCTGGACAGTTGCCCAGAAGGGAATGTGGCCCTTGGACTGAAAAAAAAATGTTCCCCACCCCTGCTATAGGTTATGCATGCCTAGCACAATGGTTGAAACGAATGGTTTCTACAGGAAAACATCAACACATTGGCCTCAGCAGGCAAATTCAGAGGCAGGTGGGGAAGCTCAGCCACAGCCTTCTTTTACCACATTTCAGACAACGCTTCATTATCTCACCACCACCCAAAAAAATCCTGCACGATCTACAAGTTATTTTTGGACGTTCGCTACATTTCTAAAAATGAAAGGCACACTAGTAGTCACACTTTCTGAGATGAAAGCTTTGTGCCTAATTTCAGAACTGTGGGGCCTGACTGAGGTCATTCTCTGGGAACCTCCATTCACGTTTTAAAAGGTCCCTTTTTATTTACCGTGGTACCTCAGGTTACATACGCTTCAGGTTACAGACTCCGCTAACCCAGAAATAGTGCTTCAGGTTAAGAACTTTGCTTTAGGATGAGAACAGAAATTGCGCAGCGGCAGCAGGAGGCCCCATTAGCTAAAGTGGTGCTTCAGGTTAAGAACAGTTTCAGGTTAAGAACAGACCTCCAGTATGAATTAAGTACTTAACCTGAGGTACCACTGTAATGTGTTTCATGACCAACAGAGCTAACAGAAGAAGAGCCCTGCTGGATCAGGCCAAGGCCCATTTAGTCCAGCACTCTGTTTTCACAGTGGACAACCAGATGACCATAGGAAGCCAACAAGCAGGACCCGGGTGCAACAGCATTCTCCACACCTGCAGTTTCCGGCAACTGGTATCCAGAGGCACATTGCGTCCAACAGTGAAGGCAAACCATTGGAGCTAGTGTGGTGCAGCTGTCATGGCAGGGGTCCCCAACCTTTTGGGGCGCAAGGGAATATTCTGAAATCTAAGAAACTGTCAAATGCACAATAAAGTACCCATTTCACAGAAGAAAAACTGGTGATGCTCAGAACTGCCCCTCAACTGGCCAAAACACCTACACTCCCAATAAATAAAATGGGAGCGGGGGGGGGGGGGAGCAGGCAATGTCTTTCCCAACCAACTAAACCTCCTTGCAAAAGCAAAAAGAAACCACCCACAAATCTCTACTGCCTTGAGCTCATTGGAGAAAAGGTGGAATATAAATGCAAAATATAAAGGCCTGGTACTACAAACAGCTAAAACCCCAGTTTATCCTATCGTCTGCTCTTGGCCACTTCAGATATGCCCTGCACATCACTCAGTAAAACGGGGTACATCCAATGTTTAGTCTCTCTTAAGGATCTTTGCGTGTTATGTTCTGAGCTCACCAGCATGCTCCCACAAGTCACTCCTGTGTCTAAAAATAGAACGGGCTCATACAGTAGCTGCTTCCAGATTCTCAGCACACATATGTGCCTGCTAACACCCACAAAAAAGCAGATGCTCCAAAGAGACAGGCATATTCCACGTTATGGGTTTAGGCTCACGTAGGACTTATCAGAGGGCTGTTTTTTTAAGAGCCCATGAGGAACCGACTTTATTCCCTGGGACTAGCATAGCCACCACTGGGGATTTCGGAAAGCAAAACGGGTCTGCCTTCCCTCTGGCTTTCTCTCTTCCATCCTCTCCCCACCCCCATATGACTCATGGTGTTATGCCTACCTCATATTTTCGAACAATGACGTCGCATTTATTTTCACCTTTGAGGTGAGCTGGCATTACTGCATTTAGCAGCAGCAGCAGCAGCAACATGTACAGTGACCGGAGAGCCGGGCGGTTATTGAACAAAAACTAGCTCCCAACACAGGCAACGCAGGAGCCAAGGCCCGGTATTGGTGCAGCATCTAACAACAGGTAAACTGGAAGCAAAGGCACTGAAGGAGGGGGGACCGGGATTTCGGGGAGAAGGGGCGCTTTTCGCGATCCCTGCCTTAGTAAGGGGGTGTCAGCTTTGCTTCAGGGAGCCGGAGCCTCAGATCTGAATCGCCCGGGGCGATTCCCTCTCGGCGCTTGCTATGGGCAACTGTGCAGGTACACTCATCTTAATCCGTGCCAAAGACGCAGTGTCTTTACGCGCGATGCAACCCAGCCACCCCTCCCCTCCTCCCCAGTCCAGCAGCGAAGCCCCCAAGGCCGCAAATGTGACCCACGAGGTCTCTCTCCCTCCAGCCGGGCCCCCGATGATGCCCTACGAAGGAGTCGCCGCGGCTCCCTCTTGTTCGAGGGCGAATCTCGTCGGCCCTCCTCCGCCTTTGTCCCCGCTCCCGGTGGAGACGGAGGAAGAGGCCAGGCTGGCAGATCCCCCCCCCCCCGACTTCTCTTCCTTCCCCACCCGCCCTGGCGTACCGATGGTGGAGATGTGCGAAGGGTGGAACTCGTTGTCGGTGAAGCGGCACAGCAAGCAGGTCTTGCCCACGCCCGAGTCCCCGATGAGCAGCAGGCGAAAGAGCACGTCGTACTGCTTGGCCATGGCGGGCGCCGCTCCGGCTTCAGCCCCGCGCGGCACCCGCTGCCATCCCTGCTAAGCGCGCTCTCCTCCGCCCGCGGCGTCCGTGCGCGTCTGGGGAGAGGCAGCCCCAGCCGCAAGACCCGGCGGGCGAAGCGAGGTGGAAGGAGGGAGAACCGACGCCGACGCCTCGGCTGCTGAGATCCGCCGGGGGTGGATCTCCAGAAGAGCGGGAGAAATTGAAGGCGGCTGCTGCCGAGGCGCTGGCGCCGGGGAGGGAATCACTTCCCCGCTCTCGGAGCGCCAAGCAGGGAGGTCTGCAAAGGTGCTCCTACCGCTCCCTATTGGAGAGCGCAGGGGAAACAGGGGCGCGCAAGGCGGGCGCCTCGGACGCGCAGAGTCGGGACGCAGCAGCCGGCGCTTTTCGGGCGAAATTGCGCTCGCCAGCCAGCCGGCGTGCTCGCTTTGCACCACGTGCCTAACAACCAACAGAAGGGGCGGAGAAGAAGGGAAGGCGGCCCGCTCAAAAGAAGGCGAGCAGGCCAAGCCGCGGCGCCTGTTGCCGAAGCCGGGGCGTGACCCTGGAACATAGGCCGAGTAAGATGGGGTGAGAAGCTCGGGAGCGGGCGCAGAATCACGAGTTTCCATCGCAATCAGTGCCGGATTTACGTTTAAGCTAAACAAGTTATAGCTTAGGACCCCACTCTCTTGGGCCCCCCCAAAAAAATTAAAGAAAAAAAACACCTGGATGTACATTTCCAAAATATAAGATAAAAAACAAATAAAATAAAACCTACATACAGCAACAGTGTTTTGTGTTTTGTAGGCTCCTATGATGTAAGTGGGGATACGGGTGGCGCTGTGGGTTAAACCACAGAGCCTAGGACTTGCCAATCAGAAGGCTGGCGGTTCGAATCCCCGCGATGGGGTGAGCTCCCGTTGCTCGGTCCCTGCTCCTGCCAACCTAGCAGTTTGAAAGCACATCAAAGTGCAAGTAGATAAATAGGTACCACTCCGGTGGGAAGGTAAACGGTGTTTCCGTGCGCTGATCTGGTTCGCTAGAAGCGGCTTAGTCATGCTGGCCACATCACCTGGAAGTTGTACGCTGGCTCCCTCGGCCAATAAAGCGAGATGAGCTCCGCAACCCCAGAGTTGGCCACGACTGGACCTAATGGTCAGGGGTCCCTTTACCTTTACCTTATGATGTAAGTAATGGGACCCGCCTGCTAGCCTGCTCCCTAAAATATCACTGGTAATTATGTCAATATTAACATACTTCTTCTTAATTGTATTTCACCATTAATATACTTCTTAATTGTATTTCAGTTCCAACAATTACTTTGATAGAATACATATTTTGTTATGTGCAAATAGCTTCAGATACCTATTAGGTCCATAAATTACCATATAGCATATATTCAACACACAAAAGCAGTGACAATTTGTTGTTGACAAAGGACAGCTGGACATATAACGGGCCCCATTACCTTCAGTAGCTTAGGGTCTCATCAAACCTAAATCCAGCCCTGGTTGCCATGGATAACTAAAGAGAAATCCAGTTTGAAGGTATCGGGGATAAACGAGGGACCGAATTTCTCTGTGGTTATCCGCTCAGGATACACCTTGTTTGCATGAAATTAAGGTCAGAGAGCTCTGTAACTTCTCTTGTTCCCTGAACGCAGAAGGATTTTATAGGCATATTTGCTTGGGTAATTCTTTATTCACTCCCCATCCCCAAAAGACATACACACATGAAAGTTGAGGGGGTGGGAAATTGAGGGTTATATTTGAGGATTAGACAGAGTTCCTTAGGGCTGTGTTCAGAACTGGAGACTCAGCTCAGGAGAAAGGGCACTAATGGAGGGGGACTCTCTCAGTGGCTATGGGATGCCAGCTGTTCAGGGGGTAGGGTGGGAAAACAGGTGGATGGAATGGAAGATTGTGGAAGAGAGCATGGGCAGCTGACTGGAACCTGAACAGCAGCACTCCACACTGCAGTTCCAACTTGTAAAATTAGAATAATAGAATCATAGAGTTGGAAGAGACCACAAGGGCCATCGAGTCCAACCCCCTGCCAAGCAGGAAAATTATGATTGCCATAGAAATATGAGTGTTTGCCATGATGATGATGATAATATTTATTTATTTATTTATTTATTCATGCATTTATTCATACATACATACCCCACCCATCTGGCTGGGTTTTCTCAGCCACTCTGGGTGGCTTCCATCAAAATATTAAAAATACAATAAAACATCAAAAATTAAAAACTTCCCTAAACAGGGCTGCCATGTATGTCTGTGTGTGTGTGTTATATAATGAGTAGCATATAAACCACATACATACCCAGTTAAATGAAAGGTAACTTGCAATGGAGTGGGGAGAAGGAAGCATAAGCAGTTTGCTATGCCAAGACTATAATTTAGAAATCATTTTTTATAAACCCTATGGATTGTCAAATGTTAAATTGTGTCCTTCCTGAACGATTGATTTCCCTGCCCAAATCAATGGACAATCAATTATATAAGCAGTTACCCAAAGCTCTTGCTAGAAGAGATGGGAAATCCAACTTAATTTCACACTTACTCAAACTTAATCCAGTTGATCTCAACAGGATTTACGATCAGCAAGACAGCAGCCTTAAAATCTGTCCAACCCTGTAACTTGTGAATGTCAAGGAAACTAGTTGACATTTCATGCTTTAGGAAATGTAAATATTTTACGTACATTGAGCACCTTGAGAGGAAGGTCTGAGATTGGTTAGAACTGATGTCACCCGTTTTGCACCTTTGCTTTTGTTTGCTTCTTTTCTTCTCTTAAGTTTGCCCCAGGTCCCTAAACTGACAGATCTGGTTTGTCAGTATCTTAATTCTATGCATGCTACTTTCTTAGGACAAAAGGAGAAAGAAGCTTTGCTGTATGTGGCTAAAGTGCTATAGCCTGTTTGACTAGGGGTGTATGTAAATTATAATTCCCAGGCAATGCATGTGAATGTAACCCATTCTAAGCCATCATTCTGTTTGAATTTTATTTCTTTTGCTTCCTGATTGATCTCTGTGCCTGTGGTTGTTTTCCTGTTAAAAGCACTGAGTACTGAAATACTTTCCCTTAAAAGTACTGATTATGTTTATTTTCTGGCCTGGAGGTACACCCTGTGTGCATTCTAAGCAGGATGGGGTCTTCATGAAATGCGCCATACAACAGGTGTGTCCAAAGTCCATTTAATCTGGCAGTTTATTTCCTGGGGTAAAATCCTTAAAAAAGCTCAACAACAATAAAAAAATGGTTAACAACTTTGGTTGGCCCTTTGGTCGGCCCTCACGGCCCTTCACTTCATCAAATCTGGCCCTTTTTGAAAAAAGTTTGGGCACCACAGCATAGAACATCAAGGGGTGGGGAGAGAGTTAGGCACTGTGACAACGGAAAAAATAAATAATGACATAAAATGTGGAAAAGTGCAATGAACACTCTGGGTGGGGGCAGGGTTTTACAACACAGGTAAAGCCAAAGGACCGCTGGATGGTTAATTCCCGTCAAAGGCGACTATGGGATGCAGTGCTCATCTCCCTTTTCGGGCCGAGGGAGCCGGCGTTTGACAGACAGTTTTCCGGGTCATGTGGTATGCAGGACTACACAAAAGTAGGTCACATTGACTTCAGTGGGGTTTACTCCCAGAAAGTGTGAACAGAATTGTGGCCAAATTCAGCTGAAATGAGTGGGGTTTTCTTCTGAGTAAACAGGATTTTGCTACATATGTAATCCGCTAGATATGTGCTCTGCTAGCCAAGTATGAAGCTAGCAGCAGTGAATGATTGCTGATTTCAAGAGGATTCAGAATAAGCGTTGATAATCAACATATTTTCTCCCCTTGACAAGTTCTTCCCATCCTGAGCTACTCGTGGTATTACTCCCAAAGCAGCATCCTAAGGCAGAGGATCAAAGCTGCTAATCTACAAGTTACAGACTGAGAGCAGAGGCAGAGAAAAGGTGTGATGTTTTATCAAGGCTGCACAATACATAGCCTGATAAACACATTTCTCTGTTTGTCATAGATCAACTTCAAGGCAACAAGGCCCGCCTTTCTCAGTACATATTTGTAAGCAGATTAAAAGGCAAGCAAACTCAAAATGACATCATTGCATTACATGATGCAAGCAAGCAAGCAAGCACTGGCTTACTCCTTAAGAATAGAGTTATATATTGACAAAATTATGAGCATGGAGTCATTGAAAATTATGAGAATGGAGTCATTGAGTTGGCCGAAACTCTATGCACATGTATCTGTGAGTAAGCCCTATTGCAAACAACGGAGCTTACTTTAGAATAAGTATGTTTAGGATCTCACTAGTGCAAATACATCTCTCTTCTGCGTCTTAAGCTCCATAATGACTGACATGAGTGTTCCTTCTTTGAATCTGTCAGTACTCACGTTGGTTGCTATGGCAGATCTCTATGACAGTGACCTCACTTCTGCCAAAAGCAGGAGCGTTCTCTGAGCTGCTCAATGTACACAGGAAGACTTTTATATCTGTAGTTCAAGCAATATTGCATATGCATGAGCCCTCAGAAAATATACAGAGGATCAGCTCCATGTGACTAACAAGGTGCATGAGAACAAGCGACACCTTCCTTACATTGCTGTTCTATTTTGAATGAATCGTTTCAGATTGTTGACAGGGGAGGGAACGAAGCAGATGGAGACTGCATGACAGTTAATACCTGTAATGCTTAAGGAGACTAGCAGGCCAAGGACACACTTTTATCTCAAACATTACATAACTGGGAAAGTTTCAGCCACTCTGAGAAAACTATTAATGGGTCTATTTCAGATTATGCCACCAAACTTGAATGTAATCTGTTCACTTTGCTTACCGCATCTAGAACACTTGGTTCATCTTAGTCACCTCCTCTAGAAATGTAGACTATAGAAACAGAAAACATCAAGGCTCCTAAATGAAAACACTAAATAAATAAACTTGCATAGAAACACTAAAATAGTAATGATTATGATTACTGTTTTGCTTTCTACACTATCATTCAGTTTGCAGGCATGTAATAACAAACCTAAGGGATCTGGGTGGCGCTGTGGGTTAAACCACAGAGCCTAGGATTTGCCGAACAGAAGGTCGGCTGTTCGAATCTCCGTGACGGGGTGAGCTCCAGTTGCTCGGTCCCTGCTCCTGCCAACCTAGCAGTTCGAAAGCACATCAAAGTGCAAGTAGATAAATAGGTACCGCTCCGGCGGGAAGGTAAATGGCGTTTCCATGCGCTGCTCTGGTTCGCCAGAAGCGGCTTAGTCATGCTGGCCACATGACCCGGAAGCTGTACGCCGGCTCCCTCGGCCAGTAAAGCGAGATGAGCGCCACAACCCCAGAGTTGGTCACAACTGGACCTAATGGTCAGGGGTCCCTTTACCTTTACCTTTAATAACAAACCTGGCTGCGTGCTCACAGTCTGCACCTGCATTCGACATCCCTCTCATGTAATAGGCGCTTCTCATGACACAAAACATCAACATTAAAGATAGCATGAAAGGAAGTGTCTTATTTTAACACTGAATTGCTAAACGGGTTGGTCAAATTTTATGTTATGCTGTGAACAACAAACATGTCTGTCCAATACACATTGGTGCTGGCAGGGGGGATTTCTTAATTTTATTTTAAAATGGGGCAATTGTGTATAAACAAATAAATCTGCACAGCTACTTAGGCTCTTTTTTACCACTACTTTAAGCTACTGTACATTTCATAAGCTTTTTAAAACGTGGAATTTCACTATCGCTGATAAATGTGGAAGATATACGGTATTCTTTGTGTCAGGATGAGAAAATCTGTAAGTGCTGAATAATCTCAGCCAGAGGAATTTCTATAATTACTTCATATTCATTTACCATAGGGCAGCGAAGGCTATCAGTGTCAGTCAAAAGAAGGTGATATTATTTCAACTCCCAGCCTCTCAATACCAAGAATGTTAGTTACGCCATCCATTTTTACATAAAACAGTGAATATCGTTCAACTGAACAACATTCATTGCATTTCTAAGCTTCTTGTTAAAGCAAAGAGTTGGCAAGAGTTTGGCACCTGGTCTGTCCCATCCTTCTGCTCTTGCTTAAGGATATTTATATTCTCCAAGTTTGCGTTATCAGTCTAAAAATAGAACACCATCTCTTACAGATTTCAAAATAAATTATTTTACCTTAGTCTACACTTAGTCTACACTTTCCAATAAATTTTAGAATTTCCTCCTGCCCTGCTGCTCCGAAGTGCAGAGGTCACTGACAGGTAGGTGGCCCCACCCACCTGTCAAATTTGGCCCTTCAGGAGTGGGAAGATAAGAATCTGGCCCGCCAGCCAGAAAATGTTTCCCACCCCTGCTTTGAACTGTGGAGCAAAAGCTTCATAAACAGAACAAAACGTCTTTTGTTTTTCTTGAATTTCATGACAGCAGCCTGAATATGGACACCTTTAACTTGCTCAGCAATTTGGATCCACAACACATAAGATTCTTTTGGATTGCAGGTCTAAGGATTTATCCTCTGAGCCTTTCAAGAGGATATTTGGTCCAGTTGTGACCACTACTACACACTTCCCATTGATTGAATTGTACTTCCTGTGTCCCATTCTGTGACAGTTAGCTCATTACAACTCTAGATTATGCCCATGCTTCTTTTGGGAGCTGTTGTCTCTGTGAATAATTTCCTGTACTATTGGGTTTATTGCAGCATGGTAGAGGTCTGCACATCTAAAGGAAATTAAAATATTGATTTGTATTTTCGTTGTAAATATGGCTTGAGCAAGTACAGGAGACTAAAATGTCTACCTACTTTTTATGCAGACAGCAACACTTAAACAACATGTGTCTAATAAATAATATGGCTATTTCATCCTCAACACAGCGTTTTATTGGAGGAATTTAACAACAAACAATTTATAGTTGGGTAGAAGATAAACAAAAATGTTGATTTAAATATGATCTTCATGATTTAATGTATCTTAAGTGTACTCCTCACCATCTGTATGAACAAACTGGAGCACCATAAGATTTTCCTGGACTGTGCTTATATGTTACATTGAAAAGATAATTCTCACTCTAATACCATTAATCAGTTATATGTGGGGAGGGGTGGATTAGGGCTTTTGTTGTAGTAGTATGTGTTGTATATTTTAAAAACACACTAATTCAAACATTAAAAGAGGAAGAAAATATGTTGATTTAAATGCACCACTTGCTTTTCCATTTCTACTATTCTGCCTTGAAATCCTTGTACATCAATCAGTTTCTCACATGTCTGCAGCTATTTGCTCTGCCTGTTGGACTACAGTTCTGCAGAAGGCTTCAAATTGTTCTGAGGGGGATAATCAAATAGCCCTCATTCTTTGTTTTGCAGCAACCATGTCTGTGGTCTTTAGCATCTTCTTCAGTAACAGCCAAGAGCCTTGTGGCACCTTAAAGACTCACATTTGCATTATGACACAAGCTTTTGTGGAATAGTCACTAGCAGTGCTTTTTTTCTGGGGGGACGCAGGGGTATGCATACCCCTAAACATTTTGTGAATCTAAGTTTGGCCTCATTGAGGGGCAGTATTTCAATATGAGTAGGAAAAGGGGAGTACCCCTAAACATTTTTTTAGAAAAAAGCACTGGTCACTAGAGAACACTTCATGAGATACATGTAAGCATTACCCTAAGTTGCAGTTTCCTTCTGAATCTTGGAGAAGATGGGTTAAACTTATTTTGAAGCAATTTTTAAATTTCTCCACCTCTTTGTTTCTGCGTAGGTTCTCCTCCCAGGTTTTCTGAACTGAGAGCTTGATTTGGTGTCTCACATGAAGACCTTTATGTGCATCCCATGAAGACTGGTTCATTAGGGCAGATGGGGCACTGCGGTTGTAAAGCTTGCCTGTTCATAGAAAAAGGAAAATGCAGCTATTATAAAACTAATGCTGTCACACAAGCTGGCCTGCTCATGTTGAGAAATACAAAGATTTCAGTCCCTTCAGTTTCAGGAGAGGAAAAATTGGAGGCAGATTTTCTTAAATGAGAGAGATGAATGTCAGCCCACACACAATGCCTATTGGGGGGGAGGGCACACACAAAAAGAAACCAAGAACTAGCCTGAAGAAAGAGAACCACTCAGGGCCCTAGGCTCCACTCCAATGAACCCAGGTTGGAACCCTACTCCTTTGTCTGCCTCAGTTGTTATCAATCAGTTTCTCTCCAAGCGCACAATAATTCCTCTTTGTTGAGTAAAATCTCTCCTCCTTACATTTGAATGATCATAGCTAGTTTTAAATACAGTGGTACCTTAGGTTACTTACGCTTCAGGTTACAGACTCTGCTAACCCAGAAATAGTACCTCGGGTTAAGAACTTTGCTTCAGGATGAGAACAGAAATCATGCAGCAGCGGCACGGAGGCCCCATTAGCTAAAGTGGTGCTTCAGGTTAAGAACAGTTTCAGGTTAAGAACGGACTTCCGGAACGAATTAAGTTCTTAACCTGAGGTACCACTGTACTGGAAATGCAAGACAGGCATAAAAAGGGCAGAGCCATAGCTATAGGGGGACTAGCCAGGTTTTTTGTCCCAGGTGAAACCTCCAGAGGGGCGCCATTGAGGCTCCCAGCTTGTGATGTGTGTACGCAAATGCACATCGTGTGTGTGTATGCCAAACTGGGTCTTTGACGTGGGTGAAAATGAGCCTAGTTTCACCCCTGAAAAGGGATTATTTAGCACTCTAGCTGGATCCACAACTAATACTGAGCTGCCCAGAGTGGCTGGGGAAACCCTGCCAGATAGGTGGGGTATAAATTATTATTATTATTATTATTATTATTATTATTCCTGCTGATCTCTGCATTATTGCTCAAATCTGAAAGAACCTGTGCAATTTGGGGGGGGGGGGAGAGGAAACATACTAAAGTATACTTTTGAAGCCACTACAGCAAGGATGGGGTAACCTGCGACCAGGTATTGTTAGGCTCCTATTCCCATCAGCCCCAGCCAGCGTGGCCAACGGTCAGGGATAACAGGAGGGCAAAAAACTAGGAGACCACAAGTTCCCTAGGCCTACTGAAGTCGTGAGCAATGCAGCACTCTTTAACCCGCAAGGAGACTGGGAACAAAGCACAGTCATGGTAAGTAGGAGTTCAGTTTTCCATCTGGAGCCACCGGAGAGCAACTCTTCCCACACACCACCTGTCGACGCTGGAAAGGGAGAATTGCCTTACAACAAGCAGACTGCCTAGAGATTTCCAGGAGCTGTTGTCTGCTCAGCTCACGCCCTCACTCGCTAACTCAAGCAAAAGCGGGCTAAAAAGCAGGGCAAGTAACTTGGGAACCCACTTCCCCTTTAAATAAACTGGTCTGTGGAGAGGGAGGGGAACTCCCATTTCATGCCGCATGGACAGCTCTAGTGCCTGTAGTTAAACTGGTTTGAGGGATCCCTCTTGTGCTTCCCCCAGCCCTTAAGCAGGGCGCATTGCGTCAGAGAGAGAGGATTCCCACCTGGGATCACAGCGTCTAGCAGTCGCTTGCCGCATCTGAGGCACATTATGAGAGCTGAAACTGGCGGGTTAAAATAGGCGCCACGTGGGGGCGGCAGTGAGTTACCGACGCTGCCGCCGGCGCTTCCCAGCGCGTTTGGGCGAAGCTGCTACAGTCTATAGTAATAGAGCAGCGCGCTCGGACCTTTCTTGCCTTCAGCGAGCCGCCGTAGCCGGGCTTGAGCACACCGCCTCTCGGGCTGCCAGCCTCAGTCGCGCGGGCTGAGCGGCTCTGTGGGATCATGGCGGCCGCCGCTTCTACCCAGCCCGTCGCCGACAGGAGACGCTACCGGCGGGGCGGCACGGAAGCGGGCCGGGAGAGGCTGGAGGACGACGGAGTTCGGACCCTCACTTCAGCTGAGCAGGTGGGGCTGGGAGCCGCCCCCTCTTTCCAGGGAGAGGGACTACAACTCCCAGGGTGCACTTCGCGGGCGTGTGGCTTCAGGGGTCCGGTCTGTTTCTCTGCGCGGGCGGAGAGAGAACGATGCCCGGGTGGCCGCCCTGTAGATCCATTGTGTTCAGCACAGTGAGAATCTCCAGGGTTGTGGGGTGGGGCTTTTTTGAGGTATATTATCTTGTTAGATTTGGTTTAGCCTCTACTTCTCCATGTGCCGCCTTAAGTCCATTTCAGGTAGCCCATTGCGCATGGAAGCTGATGCATTAATATGCTTAAGTCGCTTCTGGAGGCTCGCCTAGTCCTCCTCTCCTATGTTTTTTGCCATTTGTCCGCTTCCCAACACACACGATGGAGTTCCTTGTCTGCACACGTTGGAGAACCGCTTTGCACCTCCTCTTTTGTTGTTTGAAACCTTGTTAGAGAGTAACTGTTTGTGGGGAAACAGGAGAAAAACGTGGGTGTGCTGCTGGTGTTCCTCGCAGTTTGTGAATTTGGACCCCACTTCAAAACTCGCCCTACCTTTGGGGAATCTATATATTGGGACAGACGGAGATTCAGGGTGGTTTTAATAGTGGTGTTTCCCCATCCCCTTCAGCCAAACTTCCCCACTTCCAGCTCACACTTATTTGTAGTTATAGGCACACATCCTATTCATATCCAGATCTTACTGTATCCCTGCAACTTTCAAGTCTGACTATTTGTATGCTAACAGAAGTGGTCTTAGAAAAGTACATTACTGTACCTATTTTTTAAAAAACACAAGCAAGGTAACAATGGTTATAAAGAGTGCTGGGTTCAAATGATAAGGGGTTGCATCCCACACCAGTTCCCTTTCCACTAGCTGCTGTCTCTCACCACCCTTCTTACCCAGTTCTGTCATGGACACTTTTATCAGGTTCCCTAATCGTGCAGACAGATCAAGTAATCACAACTAGAATCCCTTTGTGGTTCTTTCCTACGTAAGGTCAGAGACTGAATTGAGAGGTGCACAGTGACAATGATGTGCATGTCTGTGTCCTCCTACACAGTTTGGTGTTCCAGTACTTAAATTTAGAAATTCAGTGGTAGCGAAGAACACTGAATTTCTAAATTTAAGTACTGTGTAGGAGGACATTGCTTCCATAACCTTAAACAAAAAAGTTGTGAGGACTGATACATTTGGAACCAGGCAAAGCTTTAACATCTTTGGAGATAAAAGGGCTAGAATGTTAGTGCTTCCCAAGCTTTTCTATCTAGTTCTTTAACAATTCAGGCATAAGTATTTTGAGGAAAAGAGAAGTGGGTATTTTATACAACATCAATATTATAAGCCTTAGTGATTAAGCATTTATTCCTGCCAGTGCCTAATTACTGTGATGCTTAGTAACTTTATGCCTTTATAAAACCTGTTTGAAATTTGCATGGTAAGCAGTTCCTGACCCGCCTGGCTTCAGGTCTGATTACGGAGCATTGTTTGCAATGTTCAGGGGGAAGGTAGCCTTGGAACTATGTGACCTTTGAAAAGTCAATGTCATACTGTGGAGGATGATGCTTCTAAAACAGCAGATAATAGGAAGGCATCATCCTGATGTACATGTTTTGAGTGCTCATGAACAACAAGAGGTGAAGAGATAAAAGGCTTGAACTCATGGAGGAGCAAGGACATAGGCTTGGAATTCAGAGGTTGGGGGCAGAAGGGCTGCAATAAACTCAGGACTCTGAGAAAAGGACTCTTTGGTGATCAGCAAGTTACAAGGCTCCATAGGATAACAGTTCAAAGCATGCTAGCCCCAGGTCCTCCATCATATAATATGGTGTGTGTGTTTTTAAACACTGAACTAAATGTAAGGCTACATCTTTCTCAATATATAGTGAAACACTCAGCAGTTTTGTTGTATGTATGTTGCTGCTGTGGTATTTATTGAGTAACTGTGTTTAAGAAAGGGCAGGCAACAAACATAGCTGATTTACCAACAAACAAACATGGCTACCCCTGTGGAATCAATCAAAGGCGTCCTTTCAATCACATCACAATTTTGTTGTGTTAGTAAAACGTGTGGAGCAATTTACTGATATATTTTAAGCATTCAAGTCAAATTACCTGCTGAAAGGTCTCTGTAATTCAGTGATTATATCTGTGGTTTGTTCTCTGTGGAAGACATCTTAATTATTCACCAGGAGGGGATAAAGAGGGTTGAGCTTTAGTTAGTAGGGCATATCTATGACATATACAAGTTCTTCTCAGTTTCTGGAATTAATCAGTGAGAGGAAAGACCTCTACCTGCACTTGGGCTGACTGTTCTTCAATGCTGGTTGGACAGTCATCTGACTTTGTCTGAGGTGACCCATATTTTTAAGTGGAAAATGTGATAGGTATTGCTAGACCTGCTTCCTATGGTGATTGTGTGGTAAGACCTGCATATACTTTCCCTCAGAAATATAGATGGCAAAATGGTAGTAATCCAGTAGATTTTTATGTTCTTATGTTGTACACCACCTTGTTGCATATATTTTATGTAGTATTCAGCTCACAATATTCACCAAGCCCACTGGTAGACAGGACAGTTAAAAGTACCGTATTTTTCGCCCTATAGGACGCACTTTTTCCCCTCCAAAAATGAAGGGGAAATGTGCGTGCGTCCTATGGGGCGAATGCAGGCTTTCACTGAAGCCTGGAGAGCGAGAGGGGTCGGTGCGCAGGCTTCAGGAGAGCCCCAGCGCCAGCCCCCACAAGGTCGCCATCCCGCTGTCTCCCGAAGTGGTTTGGAGGCTGACGGCGGGGAGACCCTGCCGCCAGCCCCGCATGCTCCGGGGACAGCCGGGAGACGCAGCGCGTCTTCCCGCTGTCCCCGGACCTGGTCTGAAGGCGGACTGCGGGGAGAAGAGCGCTTCTCCCCGCTGCCGGCCCCACAAGCGCCTGGGGGGGAAATAATTTTTTTTTTCTTTATTTCCCCCCCCAAAAAAACTTGATGCGTCCTATGGGCCGGTGCGTCCTATGGGGCGAAAAATACGGTATTCCAAAGCTGGAAGTCTCAAACCACTTGTTCTGTTAACTTCATTAGGCTAAAGCCTGTCATTCATATTTCTGACATAATACCACTGGTTTTTTAATTGTGCAAAAGTTGGATGGCCAGGTATGCCCCTTCATAAGAATTGAGCTCTTTGGCTCAGGAAGACAGGCTATAGAACACAGAGATTTAACAAACTTACTTGTGTAAAATCAGAGCATAAATGGATAAGTAGTGTTGGATAGACACAGCTGAGTAGAGCACTAATAGTTATGATTTTCCTTTGGTTTGCTTGGTTGTGTAAAAGAATTATGCAGTAAATCATTTCCAGTTAAATCATGGAAATGACTATCCTAGAGTTTATAGGACTTAAATTATCCTTCTACTGGTTTTAATTAAGTCCTGTTAGTCATGGAAATACTTCATTCTTTGAAGTTCAACTGGCGGGACAATGAACAAATTATGATTATTTATAAATCTTGCTTAACCGATAGTGTCTGACCATCTTTTTCTTGATGGTCATGGTTTCTATAGCTGCAAAGCTGAGCGAAAGGAACTTATGTAAAGTTACTCAGTTGCTTAGTTCATTTGACCCCTTCCCTTCCAAATAGTACTCAATCCTTGAGAGAAGCTCTGAAATTGAGGGGAAGCCAACTGCCTTTCCTAAGGTTCTGGAAAGAAATTTGCTAAAGTCAAAGCATATGTGGCTGGCAAAATAGTTCTATGTATTAGAAACTGAATGCATTTGATGTGCTATACTAGGGTGCATTCAGAGGATACATTTAAGGCACATGAGTTCCCCCAAACAATCTGTGAACTGTAGTTAAAAGTGCTGTGAATTGTAGCTCCATGAGAGGTAAATCAGAGTTCTCAGGATTCTTTGCAGAGATGTCATTTGCTTTAAACGTGTTGTGTGGATGTAGTCTTGGATTTTGTGGCCTACTTCTGATTTTAGTTGCACTTGCCGCTTTCCACTGTTAAGACCAAAGCAGCTGAAATTACAGTCATCCAGTAAACATGATTACTAGTTGGACTTTCTTCCTTGCTGGAGGCCTGAGACATCCCTGAGGGGTGATTGCTGCTCATTATCTCTCCCTAGAATCTGACCTTTAATGGAGAAGGCAGCACTTTTCAAATCCGAGACAGTGAGAAAACATTAGATACCAGGGCAAAAGAGCAGGAAAATGTCAATTGAGGCTTTGTGGCCCCAATTAAGGTGAGCTGTGGAATAAGGATGTGAATGCCAATGTGGATTTCTTTGTTCATGGAGCCATAGAGTAGGAATACAGCATGAGCTGGTCAGAGACCTCACAGATTGCCCTTTTCTGTTGCTGAGCATTTAGTGCTGGCTTCAGCTTAGCCTAGCTGCTTTGATGCTATAGGCAAATTATTAAAACTAAGTGCGTTCATGCACACACCTTGCACTGATTCTTCAACTTCTAGTTCCTAGAACCTTTCCTCACCTATTACACCCAACCTTATGATGTGTTGAGCTTCTTCCTCTCTGTCTCACCTCTCTGTCTCCCCTCCGCCTCTCTCAGTGAGCCTGGTTTCTAATGACTTCCACTCCCCCATGCATGCTTCATAGCAGTTCCCTTTCTTTTGTTGGGAGCTGGAGCAGCAGCCTCTAAACACAACCCTATGGTTGTGTTTAAATACCCTGCTGCCATGCTTCTCTCCTTCTTGCACTTCTTCTCCATTGTTTGTGTTTCATTAAATAATTCATTTATTATATTTCTGTGCCTCTTTTCACTCACCCGAATCACAAAGCAGCCTACAAATACAGTGGTACCTTGGTTTTCGAACGTCTCTGTTGACGAACATTTCAGTTTACAAATGCCATAAACCTGGAAGTAAATGCTTCGGTTTTCGAACACACCTCAGAAGTTGAACATGCCATGCGGCTTCTGCTGAGTGCAAGCTGTCGGCTGTTGCATCCTCGGTTTTCGAATGTTTCAGAACTCGAACAGTCTTCTGGAACAGATTACGTTAAAAAACTGAGGTACCACTGTATTAGCATAGTAAAACATCCCAATTACAACATAAATCATACAAAATAATTTAACAAATCATCAGTAAAACAACCACCTTGCATGAAACACTATTAACAAAGCGACTTAAAAAACAGGCTAAACAGCACAACCACAAGAAAAGTTATAAGATTCACAAAGCATTTGCAGCACTCATAATCCACAACACAATGTGAACATTAACAAACTAACAACCAAAAACAAAACTGAGCACTGTTGAATTCACACACACTCTTTCTCCATCCCCATGACTCAGATTTCCACTCAGTTCATCAAAAGATGCAGTAACTGCGTTCTGAAGGCTTCTAGGCTCCGAGGGTTGGAGGGTGGGGCAAGGCAGGTGGAACAAGTCCTTGCCTTGTCAGCAGAAAGTCCCATCACCTTTAAGATGCTCCTTACTGAAATGGTGGTGTCTCACAAATAATATATCAATTCATAATGTCACTGTGTTGGCAGACAGTTATGGCAAAAGCAGCGGGAAAACTAAGCCAGAGCTTAGCTTAATATATATTAGCATGGCAGCAGTAAGTTATTAGCCTGCAAGTTTCTCATTCCACGGCGAAACGCCCTCCACTCACTGTTGCCAGTTACTCTCTTTCTCCATACATATATATTTATAGATGGAACAATGCACTAAAAATGACTCCATTCTATCCAAATGGAGTGCCTCGCAACAAGATTTTGCAAGTGTTGTATCCTCTGCTGCCTAAATATATATGTGATCTAATCTAATGTTTCCTATCATACCAACTATTGATTTTGCTCCCATGCATTCTGTTTGATGGTTCATTTCACTGAGGAGATGGATGGAGGGCTTCATTGTGTGTCTTGATTCTAGCTATGTGCTCTTACGGGTGCTAAAACCCTCAGTGATTCTTGGAAAGTGCTTGTCGTCAACTCTCCCCCGCCCCACCCCAAGGATCAGCCTGGGTTGTGCATATTGTACAGTGCTACATGGGTGGGATGTCCTGGGGGCAGAAGAGCCTTTTTGATTGTGTGCTGCATCACTGAACCACAGGCACATAGGAAGTTACCTTAGACCAGGTCAAACCACTGACCCATCTATCTCAGTGCTGCCTAACTTAATTTTGGACTAGAGTCTTTTTCCCGGTCATACCTGGAAATGCCCGGGATTGAACATGGGACATTCTGCCTTTCATCTGTGACCTTTCCTCACGGGCAGCAGTTGTGTAGATGTGATATACTAAAGGAGCTGTAGCTTGTTATTTGTTACCATCCACTTTTTTTACGAGCCTCTGTGTTGTTTTTTTAAAACTGGAGCAGCAGCAGCCCTCTTGAACTCTGACACCCTTTTAACAATTACTCACAGCTGCCGTAGACACTTTTCTTCTTGGCATGCCTTGCCATATTGCTCCATTTGTGCTGTGATGGTTCTTTCTTAATAGTTCTGTCTTCTGAGTGCAGAGGGGTTCTTGCATTCTGATTTTTACCTGTCGTGTTTTTATGTTTAAGAAAATATTTTGCTTTCCTGTTACGTATGCTGCATTAAATGTGTCCATCTCTAATGTTTTATTTTGATATTTTGTAATGTTTTGTCTTACCTGTTAATTTACATAGTAAATTGCTTTGGGACCTTTGAAAAAAGTGGTGTAGAAATTATTTTAATAATAATCCTAATAATAAATGCTAGCATATAGTGTTCTCTGCATCCTCCCCACCCATAGTTATTGTACCTCTTCTTTGTCCCTTTAACTTGTTGCAGACAAAAGTAGAAGATATAGTCCAAGAGGTCTTTGATGCTTATAAGACAAATCACCATGACACGCAGTAAGTTATTGTATCCATGCAATCTTTCCTCCACATGCTCGGTATTCTTGTTTGACTGCTGATTTATATACCCCATCCCACATTGCTCAGGAGGGCCCTCAACTTTCTGGAGAGGCTTTTGGGGAATGGGGTATGTGTGTAGGTAGCTGCAATAGTGAGGAAGTACTGGGTGACTTTCCTGTGAACTGCCTTCCTTTCTCTTAGGATTCAAGCAATGCCTTTATATAGAGTTGTGGTATACTCATATTTACAATACTTTAGATGGTTCTGGTCTTTCCATCGCAAAATGGATAGTGCTGAGCTGGCCCCCATGCCTGCTGGTTAGCATTGGAAGGAAAGCCTCGACTGGCACAAATGGGAGCTTTTCTTCCAATACACACAGCTAGGGTTGCCATATTTCAAAATCCAGACAGAAGAGTTGTTGAGCTTTTTTTTAGTTTTGCCCAAAGTTGAGCTTTTTTTGGCATATGACAAAAAAGTTTTCCAGACATATGGCAACCCTACCCACAGCAGATGCAGGAGTCTGATCCCCTTGCCAGGGGCCCGGTCCAAATTGGCTCCGTGCTCCTGCTGTTTACCTAATAAAAAGTAAATAAAAACCATACAATTGCTGTTGTGTGAATGATGTCACTTCTAGTTTGGCCTTTAATTTTGAAAAAGATGTCTCAGGAGGGACATGATCACAGGTTTATAAAATTATGAACAGCGGCTTCCTCTCTCTTCTCATCTTTGCTTAAATGTCTTGCGTGTTCTCCCTGATCCTCCCTGCTCCCATCTTTATCAGCTCCTCCTGGGGGCCTTTGCTCTACAGGTATCATTCTTCTAGGAATAACTTAAGAATACTTCCTCTGTCAATCCCATCTGCACTGTTTCCCTCCTGTCTCTCTCTGCACTATTACCATATGGACTTCAGATGAGATGCCCACTATCCTGGATGGTTTTAAAGGAGGGTTAAACAAACACACATGGCTGTAGAGCACTTACGTGGCTTTATGACTCTTTGATCATTTGTATATCTTTTGGTCTATCCTTCAGGTTTGTTTTGCAGCGAGAGAAACACTTCCACTACCTGAAGAGAGGGCTGAGACAACTGACAGATGCCTATGAGGTAATCCCTTCTGGCTGAAGGAGTTTGTACTGTTTCCTTCCTACTTATATTTTGTTAGTGGAAAAATATTTGATGGTGGGTTAACATGATTATGGCTCATTATCCTCCTTGCTTTTTCTACAGCTGAGGTTTCTTTAACTTTTCTCTGGAATCTGAGGTATCAAGGGACTTCTTTTTCCTGTCTCACTGAGGGGCACTTTTGTAGGCCATAGAAACACTGGCTGTGTTCCCGTTGACCTTGCTAAATCCATTTTCCAGGAGCCACTTCAGTTGTAGTGCTGGCTCCTCTGGGGTTGAAAGCTAAATATTTGTTACCCATGTCTTTTGCTCTGTCCATTTGGTGATAAATGAAAAGAGGTTCTCACGTTAGCTTGGGATTGTGCGACTAATGAAGCTATTCTTAAAGAGGTATGTAAATTCCCGTCATAAATTGGTGTCCTTTATCCTTCTAAACCTCTTACTTTCCAGTTCTGATTCGCCTTCTTTGCCCTCCTTTTGTTGGGGTGTAACAAATGCAGCTGTGTCAGTCATGGATTTTAACAGCTGTCGTTTTCTCTTCCAAGTGTCTAGATGCCAGCCGCCCATGGTTGTGCTACTGGATCTTGCACAGCCTTGAACTGCTTGAGGAACCCATCCCGGAATCTGTAACTTCAGAGTAAGATTTGTTTTATATTTCACTTCCGTTCCTGCAAACACTTTGCCATTTATTCTGAGCATTGTCATTACATAACTGCTGGGAGCGTTGTTGAGAAGCTCAAAAATTATGCAGGCGGCTTCTGTTGATGTCTCAGAAACCAAAGATGATCTTTGGGAAGAGCTTTGAATTATGGGTTTTCAGAGTTTCTCTTTTGTTAGCAAGCTATTTAGTAAAGTTGCCTATCTAGACATTTGGAGGTAAATTCAGAACTCAAAATTTAGAGAAATAAGGACTAAGTATAACCTGAAAAAACTTTCTGCTCAACTTTCTGATTTACAAATTATAGGAGAAATTAACTTCCAGAAGTTTTCCTTATCTTTGCACAGTGTGTGCCTCTCTGGGCTAACCTCCCAATGTCCCTGCATGATGCATAAGAGCATTTTTTTGAAATACAACAGTGCATTGTCTTTGCTCCAACAATGACCTCTCAATAGCTTTTTCCTCGAGTAGAAGCTTTTGGTGCATCTTGTGATCAGCAAAGATGGTGGCGGTAAGAGATCAGCTTCAGCCACTAGGAGAAAAAAACCCATTCCCTGCAGGGTTTGAAAATCTGTGTCTGCAAAAGAGTGGTGGTGGTCAGCAGAGAGAAGGTTTTTTTGCATTTGAAAGAAGTATTGGTTGCAAATTGCTTTTCAAAGAAGAGAAGTTTTGCAATTTGTAAGGAGAAAGAGGGAAAATTAGTAAGCTTGAGTTGCTTTCTGCAGCCAAGGTCTGATGTGTATAATGAATGGAAAAGCAGGATTCTTACTGGATTGTAGTGGAGACAGTCATTTTCACCCAGGAGGAGTTGGGTTGAGAAGAATTTGAGTTGCACAATTTTGGGAAATGTTGAGAAAACCTTGTTTTGTGGGGGGCGGGATTGGAATGAATTTTGGGGGGGAAATTGTAATATTTTAAATACTTTTTAGCACCCTTTACAGATTTAAAGCCACTTTGTTACTTTAGGAACATAAAATGTGTTATGTATAACTTGGTTATACATTAAATTATCCTTAGTTCAGATCCGTATCCGGGAGCTACTGTTGCCTCGAAATATAACCATTACAGAAAGGAGTTTCGTTCCTTTAATCAGCATGTCCAGAAGGCACTCTGGATGCTGTTTTGCAGTGTTGTTGCCACCTACAACAAGATTTGTTGTAGATGAGTAGATTTGCACTTTCTGTGGCCTGCCCCCCTTGGTCTGGGGCTGGATGTGTTGCATTTCAATGTGTGACTACTGCAATTGCATTGCAAAAATTTCCATATACACATATATTGTGTGTACGTTGATCTTAAATTAAAGACTTATTGTGGGGGGTGTTGTTCTCAGTGTTATTTGCTTCTTAATAAGTAAAATGTAAATTACAGTATGTCATTAAACAATGCCCCCAAATCAATATTTTAAGGGTGGGGAGAGACAAACCCTTCTTTGATCGCACAGACCTTCCATGTAGGCAGCTTCTGTCCCAAAATAGATCGGGGGAGAGCCTGGGAAAGGGCGCCTGTAACAGACCTTTGTGTATATTGGGATTAAAACAATAACAAACAATGGAATAGCATGGCAAAAGCGGAGGAGAATGCTTTTTCTGCTGTTGAGATTCAGCTAGATGGCTCTGGTGAGAGAGAACCTTCCATAGAGTCCAAGGGGTCCTTCGTTCGAGTGCAAGGCCTTCCTCGCTTTCTGCTGATATTTTCCTCTCCCGCTGCAGTTCTCCTGTACCTCATCCCACTTGTGATTATTGGGAGCAACTTCTGGTGTGTTGGGGGATGTATGTGGACACGGCTGCCAAGGGAAGTGCGAGAGCCTCATTATTTGACTGGAGTCCAGCTTCTCCAGATCCAACCCAATTCATTTAGTGTCCGAGTTGTACATTTGCTTCAATTTCCCCCTTCCTTCTGCGCAATGTGGCAATGGACTGTAGTGCCACTGGCGCGGTCAAACACTGCTGCTAGTATAAGAGGTGCAGTCCTTATTTCTTAGCCCGGGAAGGCCCTGTGCTGCTTGTTTTGTGTTGAAATGCTTCTTACTTATAAAAACTAAGCTTGTCCTTGGTCTTTCCTCTGTGCCTAGTGTGTGCCAGTTCCTGAGCCGCTGTCAGAGCCCCAGCGGAGGCTTTGGAGGGGGACCAAACCAGTACCCACATCTTGCTCCAACGTACGCAGCCGTCAATGCTCTCTGCATTATTGGGACTGAAGAGGCATACAGTGTTATCAACAGGTAAAATCGTAGGAGGGACCCCCTCCCCTCTGCTCAGATCCAAGATGTTAGGTGAAGCCTGAAGCATTCTTGACCAACGTCTGCCAGCACAGTCCCCCTCTTCAGCCTTCCTACTTGCTGAAGAAGAAAGGTTAGCTGGTAAGCTGGACTGGTGGCCCTTTTCCAACACAGCCTTTGCCACAATGTGCTGCTTGGTGTCTACATCCACCACACTGCCTCCCGTCCACTTGTTGGTAGCTTCCTTTGCTTTGAATCAAGGAGAGCAAAGCTCTTCCTGGCGCTCAGGCCTTTCTTGCACTCTGTCAGGGAACTGCCATCAGTGTCCGAGGGAGAGAGCAAGCTCCAAAGGGATCCCGGAGAGCGTCCCGGGAGTGGGAGAGGCAGCCCGTCTTCTGGGGAAGAGAATCAGCGTAGCTCCAGTGGAGAAGGGGGGCAGATGGGGGAATCGGCGAGGCGGTCCCATGACTCCTTGCCGGGGACCAGCGGGGAGAGGAAGGGTCCTCCGCTGCCTACGCCCTCCTTGCGCAGAAGGCTTCCGCGCAGGGAGAGTAGGAGGAGACTTGGCGTCAAAGAGCTTCTTTGCTGGAAGAAGTTTAAGAAACGCCCACTGACGGATTCTGCCAGGGATTGAGACAGTCACGGGCGAGTGGCTGCCTGGACAGAAAAGGTTCACTCAGGCAACCCAGCCAGAGGTTGGGACAAGCTTACGCACGAGCAACCCCTAGAACCATTGCACACTCCAGGGCTAGAGAAGGGTTAGCTCCATATTTAGAAAAAATAAATCGAGGCGGTTAGTCCAGGTTCATGTTTTTAACCAGGGTTCTGCGGAACCTTTGGAGTCCACTTTCATCGCTAGGCATTCCAACGTACACCTCAGGCACATCACTTTCCCATCCTGCACCAGCCAGGCGTCCCCACTCAAAGAGTGAGAGTGACCACAAGTCACACGCAGCCTGATCTAGTCCCATAGTGCATCATGTGACACCAGTGGTGAAATGGTCAAAATCAGTCTCTCTCTGGGAGCTGTGGGTCCAAACATGGAGGTTGTGTGAGATGATGTATTTCTTTTATTTAGGCTTGTACAGCAGGGCAATGGAATAGCAGGTTTTACCTTAACATGAAAACACCGTGGTGGGGACAAAGTCAGAAGAGGTTGTGGAACCTGCTTTTTCGGAGGGAAAGTTGGTGGGGGGCTCTTATTGGTAGGGAGAGGGGGCTGGGTTGCCATAGGATATCATGACATGTTGGAGGGGTTCCTCAGCCAGCAAAGCCCTGAAAACCCCTGGCCTAGATGATCCTGAAGCGTATTTTCATTCATGTGGGTTGGCTCTTCCAGCATCTCAGTTGTTTTCCCCCTCTTAATAGGGATAAATGTTCTCTATTGTTTTTTCAGAGAGAAGCTTCTGGACTATTTGTATTCCCTGAAGCAGCCTGATGGCTCCTTCATCATGCACATAGGGGGAGAGGTGGATGTCAGGTGTGTTGGAAATGTTTCAAGTATTTCTTTCATGTGATGCTCAGCAGCAGCTTTGGGTTCTGATGAAATTTTTGTAGCAATGGTGTTCGTAGAGAGTTTTGTCTTAGCACAGCAAGCATTAATCCTGTTTTGTAATAGTGTAGCTAAACTTCAGTGGAGGAATAAGATGCTGGCTTCTAATGTTAGGAAGATTATGGGAGCCATTATTTGCTTCTTTCAGCTGTAAGTGATGTTAAATATTCCTGGCTTGTCCCTCTAGGGGGCAGGAAAAGGCAGTCCTTGGCTGCAGTTCAAGAGAAGTGCTTGCATGTGGAAAGAATGGCAGACATGGCCAGTTAGTTTTGGTGCAGCAGATTCTAAAGCTGAAGAAGAAAATCTTTTTCAACTTGTACAGTGGCTTGCTGTTACAAACCATTTTAAATGAAGCTCTGGCTCTTCTTTCAGGGAAGAATGTAACCTTTATTTTTCTTCCCCTGGGATTTCAATGAATAATGTTGTGAGCAAGGCTTTTTCTGTCTTAATTAACAATATTGAAATCCGCTCAGTATCTTTCCATGGCTACTAATATAAATCTAGGATACCAGTCCCTTGGTACATCAAGGAAGGAAAGAAGAGAGTTTGGATTTGATATCCCGCCTTTCACTCCCTTTAAGGAGTCTCAAAGCGGCTAACAATCTCCTTTTCCCTTCCTCCCCCACAACAAACACACTGTGAGGTGAGTGGGGCTAAGACACTTCAAAGAAGTGTGACTGGCCCAAGGTCACCCAGCAGCTGCATGTGGAGGAGCGGAGATGCGAACCCAGTTCCCCAGATTACGAGACTACCGCTCTTAACCACTACACCATACTGGCTCTGAAATGGATGCACTGGGGTAAACTCTTCTGAATTTAGCTCCTGGTGTACCTTCCATTCTAATAGCCTCATCCAGAGTAATTTTATTTTAAAACAAACAAAACATGGTCTCTCTCTCCCTCTTTCTCTCCCTCCCTCTCCTCCCACCCTCACCAACAAGTTGATTGAGTACATTGAGCAAATGCCTTCTCAGGGTTGCTCAGATATTAAAACCAAGTCTTGAGTATACAATGACTTAACTTCCAAGTACTCTCTTTGTGACATTTCCACGGTCATGGCTGGGTGGATTATGCAGTTTAATATGACTGGTGTCTCCCTGACAGCAGTAGCTCAGCTTGCATCATTCTTATCCATGTGTAGAAGTTAAATAGTCTCATATTTAAATCTCAGGAGTGCGTATTGTGCTGCATCAGTGGCCTCGCTTACCAACATCATCACACCAACTCTCTTTGAAGGGACAGCGGACTGGATAGCAAGGTAGGAAAACACTTAGCTCTTGTTTGGCCTTGGACACCCAGTGCTTCTTTGGTTGCCAAGTTTGAGTGTACAGTGGTGCCCCGCAAGACGAATGCCTCGCAAGACGGAAAACCTGCTAGACGAAAGGGTTTTCCGTTTTGGAGGTGCTTCGCAAAATGAATTTCCTATGGGCTTGCTTCGCAAGACGAAAATGTCTTGCGAGTTCCTGTGGGTTTTTTTTCCTTCCCCCCCTTTTTCCCAAGCCGCTAAGCTGCTTATCAGCTGATCTGCTAAGCCGCTTAACAGCTGATCGCTAAGCCTCTTATCAGCTGATCCGCTAAGCCGCTTAACAGCTGATCCATTAAGCCACAAAGCCGCTTATCAGCTGATCCGCTAAGCCGCTAAGCCGCTTATCAGCTGATCCGCTAAGCCGCTAATAGCGATAATCCGCTAAACCGCTAATGGGCTTGCTTCGCAAGACGAAAAAACCGCAAGACGAAGAGACTCGTGGAACGGATTCTTTTCGTCTTGCGAGGCACCACTGTAGTTACCTACCCAGCAGCAGGAGTCTAGAGAATGAGCAGGAAGATAATTGTTGTATTGTGGACAAGAAAACATATCCTGTGTTTTTTTCCTCCTGTTTTTGTGTTTTGCTTTTGAATTAGATGTCAGAACTGGGAGGGTGGGATCGGTGGCGTCCCTGGCATGGAGGCCCACGGAGGGTACACTTTCTGTGGACTGGCAGCGCTGGTCATTCTGAAAAGTGAGCACGTCTTGAATCTGAAAAGCTTATTGGTAAGTAACCATTTGCCAGCCTGGTTCTAATTCTCTCTGTGCTGCTGTTTCAACATTCACTATGGCTCAGATCCAGAGCTCCCATGAGCACACCACTGTTCATGGGCGGAGAAGTGAATTTTAGCATTCCCCGTAAAGCTGCTTCAGAGCGTCAGGGGACCATGCAGAGCAGAACTGCGGGCGGCACAGAGTAATCAGTGAAAATCCCTTGCCTCTTCTTCTGCAAATGAAGGAACCCGTTTCCTTTGTGGAAGAGGCACTCTAGATGGAGCCTTATCAGTGCAGAAGGCACTGTCATAGCCATCACAATGCCAAAACATAAAATCCCACTGGATTTCAGTATCTAGGATTGGGATTCCCCCTTTGCCCTGCCCCTTCCATTCTTATGCTCTCCCTAAAAGTGTCTGTCTGTACATTCACAGCACATATTCATAATTATTCCCTTGAGCTCTGCATTAATTGATTAAAAGGAAACATGTACCATTTCTAACATTATTTCATAATATCGTGAAACCCCATTTTGTCTGTAACTGTCTTTAAATACGGTCATCCCCCACTGATGCGTGATTAGCTTGCATGTAACCATGCATACGTGCAGCACCGGGAAATAAAGAAATAATTTGATTCAAACCTGAAATGGCAGGATCTCAGGGCCATTCATACGATAGAAACATGATCTCTTGATGTTCACCAACGTGCAGTAATTTCTCATTTCTAGTTTTATTGGTTTGCTTGGTTGCTTGTTTTCTCATTTAGTTTAATTATCAAAAACCCCTTCATATTTTCCGTGGCAACCTGGGCATGTTAGGTTTTGCTGCAGGAAACACATGAAGCATGAAGGGGACGGGGGGACGGGTGTGTGCCCTCCGACTGTGCTAGGGGACTGCAGTTGCCTGTGGCTCCCTCCATTGGTATATCCGCTGGGTGTAGCAGGTCCTGTGGCTGCACTGAGCAATAGTGATGTTTGCTTTTTCTCCCTGCTAGCACTGGGTTACAAGCCGCCAGATGCGTTTTGAAGGAGGGTTTCAGGGCCGTTGTAACAAGCTGGTAGATGGCTGCTACTCATTCTGGCAGGCTGGCTTGCTGCCTCTCTTACATCGAGCCCTGCATGCCAAAGGTGAGTCTGAGCACTGCAAGCTGGTCCACCATTCCCCAGGTATGCTGCCCCTCTCACTTGCTTCCTCTCACCCCCAAACTGTTAGATGTGGAGTGTTTCGTTTGAGGAGCCTAGCATGAGCAAAAGACACAATATGTGCTTCACTGCAGCATTTGTATTCTCTGTCCTTGTGGAAACTAAAAAAAACCAACAACCTCCCTTTCAATGTTACAGTAGAACCGGCATCAACATGTCATAGGATTGAAAATAACAAAGCTGTTGGGGGACCCATGAAAAATGTCATTGTATCAAAGAGTGCCAGTGCCATTCTTCCTCAGTACTTGCCCTCCACCCCCCCCCAAATGTCCCTCATTCACCTGCTTTTTCCATGTTTACCTCCCCGCACCTTCACAGCCAAACTTTCCAACTCCCCTTCACTTAACTACTGTCCTTGCAGAGATTTTGCGAAGCTGATGGTGTTTCCTGCTTGGCAGGGGGTTGGACTCGATGGCCCTTGTGGTCTCTTCCAACTCTATGATTCTATGATTCTATGATGGGCAGCTGATGTGACAGTTGCACTCTGAGAGGAAAAAGGGACCCAAGCAATAACTGCACTTTAATGCACAACCGTCACCCTAAACTGGGGTGGGGTTTTGGGGGGAGGGGGGTTCCTGGGAGGGTGATTTATGAGCAAAAGGGGTGGATGCCCTCCTTTCTTGCCTCTCTCTCCACTAGATGCAAGAGGGCAATGTAATAGGTGAAATTTAAAAATATATATATTATAATGCACAATTGCTCCACAAAACTCTCTGCTTACAGATGTATCAGGGTATACCGTAGTTTTTGCTCTATAAGACTCACTTTTTCCCTCCTAAAAAGTAAGGGGAAATGTGTGTGCGTCTTATGGAGCGAATGCAGACTGCATAGCTATCCCAGAAGTCAGAACAGCAAGAGGGATTGCTGCTTTCACTGCACAGCGATCCTTCTTGCTGTTCTGGCTTCTGAGATTCAGAATATTTTTTTTCTTGTTTTCCTCCTCCAAAAACTAGGTGCGTCTTGTGGTCTGGTGCATCTTATAGAGCGAAAAATACGGTAATTTAATTTTAAAAGGACCTACTCATCTATGGAAAAATTGGGTTGTGGTTAGTTACTAAGCAGTATATTCATGGCATCCATATGTACAAGGAAATCTCCAACACTTTCCTCACTTATTGAACGTACGGTGCTAGCTTGATGCTCTGTGATTTTAAAACTTCCCGAAATCTCTGGATGTGGCCAGTGTCAGAGGACCAGTCTGAAGTGATGTGGGGCATGATAGTTTGTTTATAAGCAAATCTGTGCAGGGTTACCGGTTCCTTTGGCATACCAGCCCAGCATGTACCTAAATATCCTTGTTGCGCTATCACTGTAGGAGCTGGCAACAGTTTAAAAGTGACAATAGCAGGGAGCAGGGGTTATGTTGCTTTTAAAAGAAAAATGAAAGCACACTCTGCAACCTTCTTCTGTTGGACCTCAGAGCTGGAATACTAGCCAGATGAACAATTTTGCACGATGTAGGAGACAGTTTCAACACGCAGAGAGGAGAGTTCTATTCGCAGGATGCAATGAATTTCTATTATTAGGTTAACTGCCTCAGATGAACTCTGCCAGCACATGCTCCTTGCGTGCTTCCCTTCCACCTTTCCTTGTTGCATCCCCTCCACAAGCTGCTGCTTGTTATCTGCTTGCTGTCCTTGCTTTCTCTCATTAGATTAAGGAACAAGGAAATGACTGCCCGATAGCGAAAATGGAAGGCTTCTGTGTGGACAAGGCCCAAAAGTGGGTGGCCATAGCTCCGCCCTTGCGAAGCGGAAGAAGGAAGGGAGTGCAGTCTTCCATTTGGTGTCTTCCTGTTGGCCTGCTCTTTCTCCAGTGGAAGTGTTAGCCTCTTACTGGGGTTTTTGTTCCTTTTAGGTGACTCTGCCCTCAGTATGACACACTGGATGTTTGACCAGGAAGCGCTTCAAGAGTACATCCTACTATGCTGCCAGTGCCCTGCCGGGGGCCTCTTGGACAAGCCGGGCAAGTGAGTGTTGGTCACCCCAACTGAGAAAATTTCAACTTGTGACTCAGCATACAGCAGGAATACTCATGACTGGGATTAAATTTACAAGCGGTTTTTTAAACAACAGAAGTACAGGGGTACCTTGGTTCCCGAACTCAATCCGTTCTGGAAGTCCTTTCGACTTCCAAAACGTTCACAAACCAAGGCGCGGCTTCTGATTGGCTGATTGGCCCCGGAAACAATGCCGACAGCTGAAACGGACGTTCGGCTTCCAAAAAAGTTCGCAAGCCGGAACACTTACTTCCAGGTTTGCGGCGTTTGGGAGCCGATTTGTTCGGGAATCAAGGTACCACTGTACTATAAGGTGAAAGAATATCACAAAGAAGACGACTATGGGAAACTAATCTGGCACCCAACTTGGGGCTTTGCGTACCCTGCACTGAAACAAATGGAGATTTTGTCCCAGAGGGTGGCTATGTGGAACAGTTGGGCTTCCAGTTTCTCACTCACCTCAACCTTGTGTATGTTTCTACTGCCAGGTTCCGGGATTTTTACCATACCTGCTATTGCCTCAGTGGGCTGTCGATAGCACAGCATTTTGGCAGCGGGGACCTTCTCCATGAAGTAGTGCTAGGAGTGCCAGAGAACCGCCTGGTAAGCTATGCCAGGATGTGGCTGCGTGTGTGTGTGTGTTTTGTGTGTGTCTTAGGAATGAACCCAAGTAAAAGTAACACAGACAAGGAAGGTGCCGCTCCGATCCATCCCAAGTCTGTTCTATCACATTTCCCATATTTCATCAATATTTTTTTAAGGAAATCTAATGAAAATTGCATTTATCTACGTGTTTAAATATGGAAATTGTCAGAAAATTTGTTATTTCTGACCATATTTTCTCTCAAAATGTACACCTTTGAACAATTTTCTCCTAAAACACCAATGCTTTTATATTGGTATTTAAGCAGAGACGTGCATAACAAAGCTGGGAGAACTGCAGAATCCAAAGGATAACTATGTTCTGATCTGCATCTTAGTCCAAGTGGTGCAGAACAAGTTAGTTCATAACAGAATTTCCAATCACATACTTTTGAATAGGTAGAAAGTAAGCTAGTGCTTTTGAGGATGCCATTCGGCTGCAAGTAAATCCTGTCTGCAACTCATAATCCTGGAGACACTAGTGAAAGTTCAGTATGTGTGTTACAGCGGTGAATTGATTTCATTCACTTTTTTTGCCATCTCACTGGGCACTGGTAATGGCAGCCTTCACTGGTGCCATACCCTGGCATGAAGGCTGATTTCAGACACTCTGGCTAGTGAGATAGGGCAGGGACTCTGAATCCCCTCCCTTCCCTTCCCTTCCCTTCCCTTCCCTTCCCTTCCCTTCCCTTCCCACAGCCATGTTAAAAAGGTCTTCAGACAGGGCTGCCCCTGCTACTGAGGAAGGCAGGTGGTGACATTCCACAGCCAACAGGCCTCAAGATCCTGTTGCCTCGGCATCTTCATAGGCCTGCCTCTTAAAGATTAGGGTAGAAACATCTCAAATTTGGTGTGTGGTAGTTTTGGGTTTCCTTTATATTTTAACTCTTCACATCAGGAAAGTGTGCCAGATATTTGGCATAAACCTTCCCTCTCTGTGACAGCCCCTGCTCCATATCCAAAGGCAGAAAAGGATACCACACAGTGGTTAGACTGTGAACCACCCTGAGACCTCCAGCTATAGGGCAGTATATAAATTCAATAAATCATCATCATCATCATCAGATGGGACCAGAAATGGTGTTTACAGTGTGTGTGTGCGTGGTGGATCTGAGTAGCGAACTTGCCACACCAAATAGTTGTTTGTTGTTGCAAGTTGCATGGTGGCTATGGATGCTTAATTTCACAGCGTTTGAGATAACAGGGCTTGACAGGTTAGGAGGAAGGAGTGAAGTTTGGGATAGAGAACAATGTGTATAAGGCAGAATAGGAAGCATAATGAAAGAGGGGTGCTTGCTGAGGCTCTTGTGTCTTTCTGCGTAGGCAGTGTGAGCTCCAGATATGATTTCCTTTGGCCTGTGAGCTTTCAACAGGAATAGCCTTCCCGTTCCCTTCTATGACCCTCCATCCCAAGCCAGATTCTCCTGCTGTGTGGTATGCGTCAAGTATGATTACAGCCTTGAACTATGAACTTTGCTTCTCATTGTGCATTCCTTATTCCTCTCATGGGGAAATGTCCCTCTTGCACTGGGAACATTTCGAAGAGAAGCATTTTCTCTTTTTTTCTTAATTTTTTAAATTTTTTATTAAATGTTACAGAAAAGAAAAAAGAAATAGGAACAATACATAACTGAACATAAAAACATTTATCTACACAATTTTCCAGAATGCAGACTAGAAAAGAAGATGAAAAAATAAAAGAAACAAACAAAAAAATAAATAATGAAGAGAAATAATTCCAAATTCATACTTCAAATATTACAATATATAAATCCTAGTTACAATATTATAAAAGATTCCACCACATTCACCACACGTCTCTTGGTTATCTAATTCACCTTTACATCTGTTCTTCAGTCACTTCCTTTCCTTAAGTTCTTTCATAGTCCATCTAATCTTTGTATTCTCTGTATTCTTCACAACGTTAGTCTAAGCACAACCAAACTTTCGTGTTTGATCCCTGTTTGTGTAAATATTCATTTGAGCATTCCCATTGTTTCTGTACCATAGTTTTAGATTTATGCGTTATTATATCTGTCAATTTTGCTAACTCCAGATATTCACATAGTTTACTGAACCATTCTCTTTTTGTTGGGATGTTATTTCCTTTCCAGTAACTGGCCACCAACATTCTCGCTGCTGTTGTTGCGTATAGGAATATTTTAATTTTATCTTTGGGGATATCCTTACTCAAAATTCCTAATAAGTATGTGTCAGGGAACGGACATCGGAGCTAGAGGTGGAGGGAAGGCTCTCTAATGATGCTGGAGAAGGGCCCAGCAGGGAGAGAGGCAGCTCAGCAGATGGGGAAGCAATTCAGTGCAACACCAGGAATAAGGAGGGGCAGATGGGGGAATCGGCGAGAGGGCTCCCAGACTCTTCACCGGACACCAGCGGGAGAGCACTGGTCCTCCGCTACCCACGCCCTCCCTGCGCAGAAGACTTCCGCGCAGAGAAAGTAGGAGGAGACTGGGTGTCAAACAACTTTTATGTTGGAAAAGGTTTAAGAAACGCCCACTGACGGATTCTGCTAGCGACTGAGGCAGCCACGAATTGAAGGGCTGTCCAGACAGAAAGGTTTAACAAGGCAACATAGCCAGGAGAGGCGGCAACTTACGCACGAGCAACCCCATACCATTATAGTATGCTTCTGCCCTTTTGTTATATGAAACCTTTATTAATTTTTTTATTTCTTCATGGATCATTTCCCAGAATTTTTTGATCTCTGAACATATCCACCACATATGGTATAGAGTGCCCTTCATCTTATTGCATCTCCAACATTTATTACTAATCAATCTATTCATTTTTGCTAGTCTGTCTGGTGCCATATACCATCTGTGGTGCATCTTCATATAATTCTCTTATTGAATTGCAGGCCATAAAATTTATGTTTCCCCCCAAAAACTTTTTCCAATCTTCCGAATCAGTTGTATATTCTAGATCCTGTTCCCACTTTAGCAGCATTTTCTTGTGAGATTGCCCCAGTGCTGGTATGATGATGATGATGCAGTGAATGTCTCCTCAGAGAGGCTTGAACAAGGCCAGCTCCAGGTTTGGGAGGTGGGGCTTGGCAAGATGCCCTTTCTGTGGAACCACCCCTTTCCTTTGTTGTGTCGCTGCAACAGCTGGTAGGCAGGCAGTGATAAGGAACAATCCTTACCTCCAGCTAGATGGGAGGGCAGGGAGCCAGGGTTTTTGTGGTTCCTTGCTGCTGTTGCTGCTTGCCCACTTGAGAGGCTGGCAAGCAAGTGGTGGCACAATGGGAAGGAGCCCGGGGTTGGTGCTGAGGCCTTGGCAACTGCTCAAGGATAATGACCCCTTCAAAGTTGAAAATATGTGGATAACATCTAGTAAACTCTCAAAAGCTACAGCGGAGCTGATGAAAACTTCTTTCAGTGGTCAGGATGCTGGGCTTCGGACTCCTGTAGCTCCATACATATTGCCATGAAATATGTCCTTAAATAACTTGCTTTCATTAACTTACCTAAGTTGACAGACTTGGCTTCTCTTGCTATGGAACTGGTGAGAGTAGACACAGTTTCACCTTTAATTCCTGTTTGTTTCCTTCCCTCCAACAGCAGCCTACGCACCCTGTGTACAACATCTCCCCCGACAAAGTGGTGCAAGCCGTGATGCACTTCCTCAAGAAGCCTGTTCCAAGTACAAAGGAGGAGCCTGTTGCTAATTGAGGGGGGGGGGGAGCCTGCTGCCCGGGTAGACACCGTGCAGTGCCTTGTCCTGCCATTCAACGCATGGCACTGCAAGTCGTCTTGGCCATTGTGGGGGGGGGCCTGGCCCTGGAGCTAACTTTTTGATTATTTTCAAACTGGGCTCAACTTTTGTGTGTGCATCTTTTGAGAGAGTTCTGCTAGCCATACCAAAACCTGATCAGTTTTCAGGACCTAGTAGCAGATTGGCTGTGTGGTGGCATACGGTTAGACATGCTGGCTGCTCATTTGCGTGGGACACACTCTCACCTTGCAAGCAGGAGCAGTTTTGGTTTTGAAACAATGCAGCATGTTAGTATCTTAAGCATCTGGCAAACCAGTTCTGTTGTTTCATTTGCACTATGCTAAGTATCTTGGGGGTGGTGGGGCCAGCTTCCTAATAGGCTGATTACTGGCCTAGCCAGAGTTGGTGCCCTGATCCCATACCCTTACAGGCAATATATTCTGTCCATTTATACTCCCTGAAGCTATTCCAAGTACTGCTAACCAAGACATGGGACTCTGGCTTTAAAATGTAAGCATATTCTGAGTCAATAGTGTGCACATCAACACTGTATTAGTTGTGTGTCGGCTGCTGGAGCACATCCCAGGGGTGCTGTCTTGGATACCCGCCTTGTGTTAAGCTCTTTTCCATTATATAAAGTGGTGTTGAAGGTCTCACTCTGCATCGAGCAAAAAAGAGGCCATTGGCAAGATTCTGTGCAAAATCCTTCCCCTCCCTTGCATATTGGTACTAGCCTGCCTAGTGGCAGGACTGACAATGTAATAATGTTTGTGCATTTTATTAAACATAAACTAATTCCTTTCTTATTATCTGTCCAGTTGTGACCATTCATAAAACTTTTTGATGCAATTGTATTTAAGGTTTTAATTTGTATTTCTGCTAGGAGGGCCCTTTGGTGCTCATCTGCATGTTTGGGAAGGAAATCACAACATTTTCCTTTGGGGACTGTACAGTTTGCAATGCTTTCTCAAGGCATGCTTATTCGCGCTTACTTCTAACCAGTGTCTTAAAGCCGCACAACACTTCTGTTGAAGCTAAGCAGCCCTGATACTGAACCCTTCCTGGAAACTATATGTAAACTGACCTCTTGGAGGAATTATGGCGTCAAAGAGGTAAACAATCCTAGCCTTTCGTAAGCAGAGCAGACTAATACATAACCTGTAGAACCGCTGTCATCCTTAATGAGTACCATAGTAGCCTCAGCAACAGGGCTTGAGATTTTAGCTCCATGCAAGTAACCGTGTGCGGTGAGAGTGGGGCTGTGTGCTTGCCCTGTGGTTGTCCCCTTGCATGGAGGGGAAGTCTGAAGCAGGGAAGGAAGCTTGTTGAATGGTCACAGGCTGTTCCTCTCAGCTGTAACCCTGAATACCCAGGGCGGCAGCTCTCACCGAGACAGCCTATATGTGATCAAACATGCTTCAAACCTCCCCACAACATGTAGATAGCATGGGGCAGGGTGATATTGCTTGGAGATATAACGGCTGGAAATTATAATTTACTTTTCAAGCAGCTGCTATTTGTCTCTTAATCTTGGGATGAATATAGACAACTGTTAAGTGGTATCGCCACTGGAGGAAGGCGGGAACAACATATTGGAAGGTATTTTTCCTTTGTTTGCTCCTGGCTCCTCTTTCTGCTCTCTTCCTCTCCTGGCTCCTTTTCCCTCCTCCCGGCTTCCATTTTCAGCCTTTGGGAGGCTGGTACATTCCACTGACATTTCTCTCTTTCTTTGGCACACCTGTACCTTGAGCTGCCAAGCCAGGCCAGGCCCTGCTAAAATAAACACAACTTTGCAACCATCCTAAGCACATGTATAAAAGCAGCTTTGTGGGCCAAACTGGTACTTTGGGAGGAGAATTAAAGTGTGTTTAAACTGCTGAATGAAAATTGCCAGTAGCTTGCAAAATTGCTAGTAGGATTGTGTGTTACGTGCTTTGATTCCATGCAAACACAGAAAAGCTTTAGAATTTGGTATTGGGTGCACACGTGAAGGCTGCAAGGATAGGTGTAAAATGGCTGGGCAATGCTTGGTGATATTTCTTAAGGCAGAGGGATACTAAGAGAATTTCAGGACATCAAGTGAATTTAAAGCTTTAGCAGCATGTGTTCCTACCTCTGATGCCTGAAAGTGGCATAAATTACAGCTGGAGGTGTTAGACGCACTGATTTGAGCAATACACTACAAGAGTGTTCACAATCCAGCTTTCTGGACTCTGAATTTGAGTTTCTTTGGTGCAAAACTCAGCCCTGCCTACCTCTTCTCTTGAAGGGATCATGGCTTCTTCATTAAGTCTTCAAAATTTTGACCAATCTGAAGAGAAGACGCTGCAAGCTGCTTCCATGAGGGTGGGGGGAAGGCACTGAACAATGTAACTTCCTAGGTAGTAGTGAAAAGGGTGCTTAGGAGGCAGGGTTGTTAAAAGCAACTTCATTCCCCTTGTGGGAAATGTGATTTCCAGGGAGATGTTTATGCATATATAGCAAAGGTATGCTCTTATTGAAGAACTGCTGACTAGATAGCAATTACTAGAGCAGTGTTGCCATCCACTGCAAATTAGGGTAATAATAGGTTTAATTGGTAGAAAGCTGTAGAACAGGAATGGGAAACCTGTATGTATCCTCCCAAATGTTGAACTACAACTCCCATTATCCTTAACCATTGGCTGTGCTGGCTGGGGCTGATGGGAGCCCAACAACAGGAGCGGGTCACAAGTTCCCCATCCCTGTTGCAAATGTGGCAAAGGGCAACTGGCTGCTGTATAGGTAGCTTTGCACAATCAGCAATAGTGGGGTGGACTATAACCACAGCCATAAAGCAGCACTGATCTTTCTGTTCGGCAAAGCTGAACAGCGGTGTCTTCTTACCATTCCTTAATGAAGAAACTTGTAACATATTTTCACTGCATTTCAAGATGGCTAAACTTACATATGCAAGATGCTGTGCATGTCACAGGAACTTTTAAAATGGGATTGTCCCCATCTGCACTTTGAAAAAGTACAGCCTCCTCTCTAGTGTAGCTTTTGGTCAGAGACTAGCCTGCATTCTAGGTTAGAACCTAAGGGACTTTTTGAGAGCCTTGAGTTCTACATGGTTTAAAGGGTGGGGGGGCGCCTTAAAACCAAGTCAAGAGCGAGCCAGAGAATTCTGCCTGTAAAAAAAACATTAACCTTCCTTGTATGGCTGAGGTCACAGGGCGTTAAAGCTGGTGTTCTGCTGATCTGATTGTTACAGATCAAGGCCAGTTTCCAGCTACCAATGAGTTGAGCTGCAAGAGGAAGTGCTTCCTGGATCCCTCTTCCTGCTTAACTATTGTTCTAGATGCCCCACCCCCACCCCTCTTGCATACGCCATCAGTAGTGTGTGCAGAGGTGGTGACACTGCTGCCCTGCAGCCAAAAGCCTGTCATCTTCTGAATTTCAAGAGGTGAGAAACTGCTAGCACCCATTTTGTGGCTTTTAGAACTGCACCAACGAGCCAGATGTTGTACCTTGTACAAAGCTTGTGTATGTCCAAAAACTGAGCAAAATCCCAGTGATGCCTCCTGCACTCCCTGTGCATGTGGGGCTGTTGCTGAGAGTGCTGCCGCCCAAGAGGAGGAAGCCCACAGGACCAGAAATGTTGCAATATTTCACACTGAAACTAGGAAGCAACTCTTGCCATTTCCTGTTACATTTGTGTGTGTGACACAGGACCACTTTAGCCACCTGCTTGTTTTTTTATCAGCATCTTTCTGCAAAGGTGTCTACTCGTTTGGCCCAAAAGAACCATTCTGAGATAGCACCATTCACAAATAAGACCTCCATCTTTCTTAATGTCATTATGTGACAAGCTGCAGCTGCATAGATGGAAAAACAAAGGGAAACAACCATTCTCTCCCCACCCCATTGGTTTTAGGGTAGTATGTGCAATTGAAAACATGTAGCAGAGGCAATCTTTCTTATCCTACTAGCAAAGCTCTTCCTTTATTTGATCAACTTACTAAAAGTACAGAATCACTTTACAGTAACTCCCCTGTATCAGCATATTGGAGAAGTGCAAGATTTGGAGATCTTAAATAAATGTTGAGTTTGCCTGTGAAGCCTTGCTCATAATTCTATTTCAACAGGTTAAGCCTTTTCTCATGTGGGAATAGAAATTCTTCTGTCTCTAACATCAGAAAAGTGGAAGCAAAACTGCCAAGAGGCATACCCGCCCCTATCGGTTTCCACAAAGACACCAGTACCACTCAAAAGGATAAAATACTTTTTTATTTATAGTCTTATAGTAAAGGGAAGCCTTAACTTGCAAGACAATTCTTGGGCAGTATGTACAACATACTTCAGTTCATGGAATAGACTCACACCTGGACAGAGACCAAGCTACACTTGTATACACTAAATTCAGAAAACGTCACAAACAAGAGTGGGAAGAAGACAAAAATATAAGGTCACACACACCGACACACACACACACACACACGCATATGCACACTCATGCACATGTGCGTGCACATGCACACATACACACAGTGGCCTTTGCTCACTCACAGCCTGTGCCCATTTAAGTCATTATGGGGTAACTGGCCCATTTGCCAGAGGGCAGGAGGTCCACACTTTGATGCAGTTATTAGTACCAAGTAACAAAGCTTGTGGTGTGTATTTACATTATAAAAGCTGGCTCTAATTCTGAGAAATTCATTAAGAGGGAAGAACTGATCATGGTATGATGTAGCTTCACGTCACCAATGTCCGCAGCAAGAGGAGGAATCTGATCGGATTGAGTTTCCATAGTAGGAAATAAATACCAATTAATCACTTGCCAAAGTACAAAAAGGAAATCCATCTCCCTGCTTCACCCTGAATCCTGCACCATCCCTTCAGGAAACTAGGGACATGCACTCGCATGGATCTGCATGATTCCCTTCCCCCACCAAGATCCTTCAGGGGACATTTGGCTTTGTTGTCATAAATAAACATATTTTGATGAGACAGTGACTGGTACGGCTCTAGTGAAAGGATGGAGGGGTCATTGTCACCACAGAGTCCAGGCAACCATAGACTCATGAGTTCATCGAATGGCCTGGGCATTCCTGACACTAGAACTTGCAGCCATCAGGCAGGACAAGACAAAACTACATCCTGCTCCAAGCTATGGCCGGTGTCTTCCAGAAGGTAAGCTGCCAAGCCAAGGGGTTGGGTTAACTCAAAAGGGGCCACATAGGGGCAAGGAACAGGGGAAGCTGCAGTCCGAGAGCCTCTACTAAAGAAAAAAAAGGAAAGTCCTTAAGCAGCCAGCGAGTGTCTAATGGCAGCAGGAACAGGGGCCTCTTCTAGCTGGCCTCCATACGAAGCTTCTTCCGGCTCTGTGGCTCTTCCAGCTCAGACTCTGAACTGGAGTCGGAGCCTCCATCAAAGGCGGAGATGGTACTGCCCTTGGGATTGGTGTAGAGGCTGTTGTCTGAAGAGGAATAGTTGGCCTGCAGCTGAGCACTTGACCTTGCCTTCTCCAGGGCACGAACTAAAAGGCAAGAACAAGCATATGGAAATAGGCTGGGGAAAAGTAGGCGTTGCACATAACATGAACATGCTCTCATGTTGGTGATCTTAACACTTGGCTGACAGAATGTTATTGATTGGCACACCCTGCTTTTTAAAAACTAAATGTAGTTAAGGTAGTATAAATACAATTTTAAAAATCAAAATTAAAAAGAAAGATTCCCAAATAACTTTCAGTTCTGTAACTAAGATTGGTACCTCTAAAGATGTTAAGGCCCAAACTGGGGGAAGATTGAGAAAGTTTTGGAAATATACCACTTTTTCCTAAGGTCTGATAAAAAAAAAACAGTCATAAGTTTGGGGAATATTATGTGAAATAAATTATATTTTTTCAGAAAGATTAGTGAAAGTATGTTAATTGCATTATGGGGAAATTCATTTGTGTTCTCCCTCTCTTTTCTGTTTGTATCATAGGACTGAACCCAACTAAGTTCTACTCAGAGTAAACCCACTGAAATTAATGGACCTAAGTTAGCCATGCACAATAATTCCAGTTTTTGCCATACTGTTGACAGCTCAGCCCATGGCCCATATGTGTGTCCTAGCCAGGACATTCTGGCACTTTAACTCATCAATGCACAAGAGAGAGCCTTCTGGTTACACACAGAATGTAGAACTCTCTGTCTTGGGAAGTTTGGTTCCATTTTTAAAATTATTCTGCTACCCATCAAAAAAATTCATTTTTTTAGCAAGCTTTCAACTTGCCTGCAAATTAGCAATGGCTGTTGGTTCACTGGCTCTTTAATTGTTTGTATGTTGCTCTTTTACTCAACTGTTTCCATAACTGAATTTTGATTGTATATTTAGTTTTGGTTATATAAGCTGCCTTGTGTTTCCTTTTGGAACAGGAGAAGTGGAGTAAAAAAAATCTAACAAATGCCTGCTGCACTCTGAAATGAACCAGTGTAGTTCAGTGCTAGACTATGAATCTTCCATCAACACACCTTTGCAATTAACTATTATTGGGTTGTTTTATGCCCCCTGTTCCCGGTTTCAGAAGCAGAGGTGCAGTGGAGTTGGGCTTTAAGGTTTGATAAATCCTCTGTGTGTGTGTGGGTGGGTGGGTGCATGTGTGTGTGTGTGTGTGTGTGTGTGTACGCACGCATGCACACCCACACACATCCAGCACTATGAAACTTGCTACTTATACTTCTGCCTAGTGGTAACCATTAGTCCTCCCTTGTGAGCACCAACATACCAGTCTGCTTTAAATATGTCTTAATTATTCGGCTTGAGAAAACTTTGTATGCTTCAGAACAGGAACATGCCACTCACTTACACTGTTCCATCAAACGATCCCACCATAATCACCATCCTGGCATAAACTGTACATCTTAGGCAAGGGAGAAAGACTCCTCAGAGCAAACCCCAATCCTTGGGCTGTTTTGAATGACTGTATTCAATGGCTTCATTGCCAATGTGCAAAACTTTGGATCTTCTCACTCCAACCACAGCCTTACTTCATGAGTTCCTGATCACTGGACACCTTACAGCAGTCTCCCCCAACTTGGTTTCCTTCAGGTTTCTTGGACTAACTCCCATCAGCCCCAGCCAGCAAAGATATGCAGTCTGGGAGTTGTAGACCAAGACATCTTGAAGGCACCAGGTTGGGGAAGCTTCCCTGGCAGAGAAACACGGATAGCAGAGGGTTTTGTTGAGAGGTGGCACAGTATCCTTACCCATAAGATGGCATATGGAGTGCCCTAATGCAGCCTCACTCACCTTGCTGCTCCAGCAGGGCGTTCTGGCGCTTTAAGTCATCAATGTCCTGCTGGTGTGTGTGGTTTTTCCGACGCATGTACTGGATGTACTCTGTGGCTTTATCTAGGATTTGGGCCCGGGATGCCTGTTGCAATAGTAGGAAAAAACACACACCAGATAAAGTCCTAGTTCACGTAGGCAGCAAGTCTGATATTCCCTTCTGCAGGGAGGCTAAAGAACTGATTCCTCAGCCCAGTCCACATTTGACTTAGGTTCAATCTTGAAGTCCATGTAATACTTGCAAAAAGTTCAGCACTAGAGAAAGCAGCTTTGAGACTCAGAATATGTTAACTGTTTTCCAATCCCACGATACTGAGCTCCTGAATCAATTGTACTAATGACACCTGTTCCCAGTACTAAAGCAACAGCAGATGGAGCAATCAATGAAACTCCTACAGGGAGCTATAGACTTGGATCATTCCCCATGCCAGCAATTCTGCAAACAAATCCTTCTGCTCACAAGAACTCTTTCAGCAAAGTAGAGTCTTCCAACTGCTATTCAGTATCCGCAGAACAATCTGCTGTTTTCCTCCATAGAGATAAAGCAAAATGCAAATTATTCCCACATTATTGGCATCTGAGCATAATGTTCCCTGACCATCAAAACAGACACTCAGATCACTTAACAGCAAAATTCAACACTGTACTACCAAATCTTTGCTCACATTGTGGGACCCCTTGTCCTCCATCTTCTGAATGGATCCGGAGGGTCCTCCCCCAGCCCCCAAAGAAGATTTTGGGGCATGTAGGTGGAAGGAGAGGTACAGGAACGGGAAGGCCCATTGCATGAGCAAAAGTCCTCTCTACTCTTGTATGGACACCACTGGATATCATCCTAAAACAATAATGCAGTGCTCTGCTGCACCTATACTTCTCCTGGCTTACATTTTCGCTCAGCAACTGGGACTGCAAAATGCTGGCCATCTAACTCAGCAGCAGCCTGAAGCTATACAAGGCAATTGCTTACCTGCTCTCATAAGAACTCAGGTTCGTAAAACATTCTTGGAATGTTTTTCAAAGCTGCTTGTAGACTATATATGCATGTATATTTTTAATGCAGTACTCATATTTATACTGAAGTTACTGATTGGAAGCCTCAAGTGGGATGAGAAATAAGAAAAAGGGCTGCTGATGGCTTCAACTGCAGACTGGAAAGAAAAGGAAGGAAGGAGAACCTAGTCTGAAGGCATTTTTGAGGGAAGGCTCTCTCCATTACTGGATGCTGCTGGATCAGACAAACCTGCTCTATGGAAGGTCAAGGAGGCAGGCTGTACTGTCCAAAGGACTGGTTGGAACTGCTTTGTTTTGATGGGCTTCAATTTCCCCTTGTAAGCAGGACTAAAATTATATCATGTGTGCTTTATCTGAAGATGTTTTATGAAAGACATCATGGCTCTCATTAAAATATGTGAAGCTCAAACCTGAATAAGCAGCTATGGCAGATTTTAGAGGGCCAGGATCCCTTGCACAGAAAGTTGCATCTATTTTACGAGATTTGTATACTGCTTAATTGTAATAACCTCTAAGTGGTCTACAGATTTGGACAGCAATACTTGAGCTCGGTTACGTATTCAGTAGCTTCACATTGTTCCTGAATGGAAGCAGCAGGGCTGGCAAAGCACACCCCCATCACCTGTAAAAAACTGTTTATTAAAGAAAGAAAACAAAAAGCAGGCCTATTTTAAAGCATCATTGTTAGCTAAACAGCTGCATAACACAAAAACAATGCTGATATGCAGTTAAGTTTTAGTTTCATTTTCAAATTGCAAACATTTAAAGAAGGAGGATATTTATGGTGGTGCAATAAGATGGCAGACAAGAGGCAATAATACACTTATTTGTATTTAATTTTTGAATAGTCACATTTGTATTTGCCAACAGATATTCCTGTTTTTAACATTTTCTTCTGGTTTTTATAACAGGAACACACATCTCTAAGCTAAAGAATAATGCAATCACAGGGAAACATAGTTAGGCAGGCATAAGCTCTGTGGTTGGGTTTTTTTTAAAAAGGTTTCATTTCTGATGTGGCAACAATGTCAACATTCTTTCTCTGTTTTAAAAAGGATCTGTTCTAAAAGGTTGACAGTATTCTACATTGCCATCATGGCTGGACAGTGTTGTATGCCAAAACAAAAACCACTAGTTCTATACTGTCCACATAACTTTGTTGTCAATTTAGCTATAGTCTACTCTTCAGAATTATACCTGGTACTTGCCACTGTCAAACTATTTCCCCTCTGGGACTTTCATCGTGTGAGTTCTGTGAACAACCCTGCTTATATGTAGATCTTGCCCAGCTTCACTATGTTCTCATCCTGCCACTAAATGTACTGTCCCTCTCTACCAGTGCTCCAGGAACATTTGGTCGTACATGAATGTATCATAAAATGTGCAGCATATATAGACCCACATTTATCATTTTCTTTCTTAATATTTCCTGACACTATGTATAACCTGGCAAAAGTTATGTCCCACTGAGTTTGGTGGACAAATTACGTGTGTCCTTAACCCTCTCATTAAAGTTAATGGGACTTGGAAATACCTTTTTTTACTGGAATTTGCCCATTTCTTCTTCTATTGATGGCTGCAGCATTTCTTCAGAATGCAATTAAGGTTGGGCAAGACAGTCTCTACAATTAGCAAATGAGAAACAGCAGCAAATATGTCACTTTTAGTAATTAATCCAAGTGACTCTACTTCCCCCAGCACCTGCATGCATCAACTTGGTACTTTATGGTTCATGGTCCCAGTATAATGAAACATTTCTTCATTGTCCAGCCTGCCCTACTAAGTTAATTTTGCTTGCAAAAATGCCACTCTCCAAGCCAGCCAGAAGATCTTGGTTTGACTTTCACTATGTGGCTCTGTTTCATCCCCCATATTGCAGAGGTGGGGTTGGGTGGTGGGGGCTATACCAACTGTTGTAAATATGAAATTTTGATAATGCATATGAAGTGCTTTAAACACTTGAAAGCAATATGTAAATATTATTATTATTGCTACACAGTACAAATTTTAATGCAATTTGCTTTTTAATTCTCAACATGTGGGGGGGGACACACTGCATGTGCCATTTTCTCATTTCTTTCTAATGAACTCCTGTTGTCAACATGAAAAGCATATTCTGCTAGAGGTGTTTATGAATTCTAACCTGGGAGACAATAAGCTCCCATTATTGTTTATTTGATTGTTAGCGTATGTAACCTGAATTGTATGTAACCTGAGGTACCACTGTATAGGTTCCAACATATGTACAGTGTGTGAGATATTCCCTTCAACTGTTTATCTAATTTGCAAATAAACCCAAACCCCAAATGTTTAGTAGGCTTTGTACCAGAATGTGGATGTGCATTAGAAAATACAGTCAGATGTTCATCAAATAAATTGGAACTAAAGTGTTTAAGTGGTAAAATACCACTGCTAGGGTTCAACAATAGGCTTATGTCATTTTTATGTATTAAACAGAAACTGGTGTTGACCCCATGCTGTCACTGCATCCCAGATATGCAGAACAATATAAGCAGCATGGCTTTCAAATATTTTGAACTCCAATGGAGTTGACATCATCATAAAGAAACCCTGCCAATCAATCTCCCCAAACAGGGCATAAAATTCCAGGCGCTTTACTCAGAAGCTTGCACTAACCTCAAAGGGGAATTCAAAAAGCAGAAAAGCAGGCCACATATTTTAACTAACATTTATTTATTTATTATTTAGAAACATTTATAGGCCACCTTTATGAGTCAAAGTCACAACAATTTAGGCTGTGTACATGCCATACATTTGAAGCACATGACTTTGAATCCCCAAAGAATGCTGGCAACTGTAACTCTGGGAGGGATAAACTACAGTTCCCAGCAATTGGGTGGGGAATCCTGTATTTTAAATTTACTGTGTGTACATAGCCTTATAAAGTAACACATTAAATACAGAAATGTATCCAACATTAGTCATACTTAAGAGTAAACCCACTGAAATTCACGAACATGACCAATAGGGCTGAGAGATGTCTGTTTTTCAAAATGACATATCACCAGATAAGCATTACGATACACCATGGGTAGGCAAACTAAGGCCCGGGGTCCAGATCTGGCCCAATCGCCTTCTAAATCCGGCCTGTGGACGGTCTGGGAATCAGCATGTTTTTACATGAGTAGAATGTGTGCTTTTATTTAAAATGCATCTCTGGGTTATTTGTGGGGCATAGGAATTAGTTCATTTCCCCCCAAAAAATATAGACTGGCCCCCCGCAAGGTCTGAGGGAAGGTCTGCTGAAAAAGTTTGCTGACCCCTGTGATACACCGATATATCACAATGTCTGAAATAAGGATGGAACTATGTAGAAGTGAATGGGGTAACGGATACATTTAGTTACCTTTAACATACTGTTGCAACTGTTATTTTATAGTACAAAGCAACAAGGGGCGGCAGACCTCATGAGAGAAGCAATGACAGGCTTCACAATTTTCCCCACATCACAATTTTTTACATAGCACACACACGCATCGTGATTTGTGATATATCGCCAAGTCCAATATTATGAAACTTTTAACATAATGTGGACTTCCAACCAATTTTGGACAACGTATCGATAAATCGCCCAGCCCTAACAACCAATGTAGACCAATTAATTTCAGTGGGTCTCCTCCAAGTAAAAGTTAAGTTGGATACTACAGTAAAATAATAAAATACCATAAAAACAGACTATACCACAGCATTAATAAAAACCTGAGTTCTGGCAGCTTTGCCTACATGACCTGAGTACTAAGTGGGTGTGTCTTGACAATGTCTAGGACAGTGTCATCAGAGGTGACTGCGCTTAAAAAATGTTGCCTATCAAGCTCAGTACCTTGTACTGAGCTTCTGCAGAAAACCCTGTAGGTATTGTAACCACTGGTAATTAACAGAGCACAATTTCCTCATTCCTTTCTAGAACAGCCACTTTACCACTAAGGAAAGCTAAAAGTTACCTGCTAGCATTATTTATTCATTACCTGCAAGTATAGAGAAGAAAGGCAAGGAAGTCAACCTTCACACATTCTCTGCACACCTAGGGCTAATTCACACAATCTCTCTACTCATGGGTGTTTGCTCGTTCTCAAGACTGAAGGATGCCCGTCTCAACTGTTTGTCACAAGCCTAAACTGAAAGTCTATACGCCAATATTTCTAAGCGCAGATTGAGGGGCGGTCATGTGCTCATGGCAAATAACTGAAAACACCCCTACACCAAAAGCAAATTTCAATGTGGGTAAGGCAAACACAGATGACTAATCACAAGCTGAGAGCCAATGAAATGTTCCTGTATCACCCTCATAAAGGAAGAGGTAGATGGATCAGGAAGAAGCACCATTTCTTCAGGCCTGTGAAGCCACGTGGTAAAAGACTTTCCATTATTTAGAAATGCTTGATGGAAGGGTAAGTTACTTCTCACAACAATATTTCATCTTCATTTTACTATTAGCTTTTTGAAGCAGCAGAAACATTTCTATATGCAAACTCTTTGGGACCTTCGCAGAAGTACCTTCTAAGCTGTATTGGCACTGGCTCCTTCCTGCTCAGAAACTTAAGGCAAAATGGGACTGGGATGCAATTCCTTTGTGATTAACAGACAGAACCCAGGGGAAGATCATCACTTCTCTCAATAAACTCACCTTCTCTCCCTGAAGTGATGGCACAGAGTCCCGCAGGCTATGGAAACTGTCCTTAATGTGGTCCCTACGTTTGCGCTCCAGTGCATTGTGGTGAGCACGTTTGTCAGCCTAAGACAGACAAAACATAGAACAAGTATTAGAATCATCACTGTCCCAGTGGGCAACAAGGCATGTGGCTGCCGCTGAACACTAGCCCGCTAGATTACGGTGCACAGAACAAAAAGGAATGGTATTTTGAATCAAAACTCTGCTAAGAGAGGGAAAGAAACAAAGGGTCAGCAAAAGAAGCATTCAAGGCTGTTCAAGTCCAGAGCAAGCACACAAAACAAGTATGATTAGTAAAGAGGAGGGTGGGCTTTTGCCCTGCAGCAAGTTCCTTGATCAAACTCATCTGCACATGATTGTTCAGAAAGACCTTTGTGACACCTCCTGGACTAGAGATTATCTATCCCCAAAGAGAGCACTAAGATTTCAAAATATGCTCCATGATTCGCTAAGGACGGGAGTCAGAAGACCGTTCCCAGTAACAAGAATTTCTGGGGACTGCACTACAGAGAGACTTCAAGTGCAATTGCCAAAGCACTGCAGGAAACATGGAATATCACCTTATCTGTTCATAGTAAAAAAGAAAAGATAGGACTACTTTGTTTCACTATAGCACCGCAGCTGAACATTTAAAATTCAATGCCATTCAAAATCCAAAGCTAGGTCCTTGATTGAAAAAACTGACTTCAACACCTGGATTATTTTTATGTAGGAGCTCCATGTTGATAGAATGCCATTCAAATTTCACAGTAGAAGCAGCTGAAGGATGTGAATACAGCTGCAAGTCTATCAAAGACTGCTCAGAGGATTTCTGGGAGAAAATATATTTCCAGAGTAGCACCATCTACTGACACATGCAAGATCAGCTACCCTAGTCCTCAACTCCCACCATGTACCTAGGACTCACTTATTACAACCCAGATCCAATAATTCCCAATAGCCATTCTCTACCATAAAATAGAAGATCATTGTCATTAGGCCCTTTGAAGTGAGCTGTTTGTCAAAAAAACACCCCCAAACCCCAACCTTATTGCCTATCCCTCACCAGAATGGACACCACACCACTAATGGTCTATGCCATTTAAAGTCAAATATAGTGCAACAGAAGATGCTGCTTTAAGTGTCACACCTGAATTTATCATTAAAATCTCACACGTTTAAGTCATTTTTTTCCTTCAGGAAAAAGACTCATTTCTGTTTAATTTAATCCCTCTCTAATTATGAAGACTGATTATAGAAAAATATGGTGTGTCGGGAAATGCAGTGTTTTCACAGTGTGCTTTTCGGATAGCTTTTTGAAGTAGCTTTAAAATACATTTAAAGTATTTCTGAAGCACATCACATTTACGCCCTCTCTGGCTTCCTCTTCCTCTTTTCTGGACTGACTGATACCTTTTGTTCTCAATGCCTTTTAAAGGCAATTCCGGTGGCACACTGAACTCAAACTATGATTAATGGAACCCCACCTTTCAAATGTCAAGGCAGTCTCCAGTCACACAGGTTTGGCAATGATCCCACACCCAGCTCCAGACGCAGAAATTGTCTGCCAGATGTAAACAGGCACTCTGGGTGTGGCTGGACCCCAAACCCAAAGCACAAAGAACTTTTTTCTGTCTGTCATAGTTCCCTTTAGGTCACCTTGTTAGAGGAAGAGCTTGACAAACAAGGAGTGGTCCAATCTTTTCCTCCGACACAGGTCACTACAAGGTTCAGAACTTTGGGGTGGCAAAGTAGGAGACACACAGGTCACTTGGATCTGCCAGACAGTTACTACTTTAAAAAGGAAAGGAAAGGAAGAACAAATTCAAGGGATACCGATGATATTTGTTGTCAGCCCATCTACAGTTATTAAACTGTGTGCATCAAGAGTGCAAGTGGCAAGCTAGCTATGGTGAAAAGGCAGACTAAATTCCAAGTTCACATACACGATCTTCAGAGATCTCAAGTCAAGAACTGGCCAGCAGCAAAATGCTTCAAGGTTAGCCAAAGAAGAAAGTGACTCAAATCATACCAATACGTAGAAAGAAAGAAAAATCATCATCCTGAAAAAGGACTAGGACCCAAACTCACTACTGTCCTATGGTGTTACTTAAGGCCACGCCAGAAAACAAAATGTGCAATTTAATTAAGGTATTGAGTAATGTGAAAAAACACACCAAATTGTTGTAAGTGTAAGTCCCTATGTTAATAATGTGCCAAATGATGCAATTTAAGGAGATGATCTTCCATAGCTTCTAGCTTTGCAGACATCTGAAAAGTTAATGCAAAGCAGTTGCATATGTATAAAGTGCTGCCCAAATGACCTTAAGGAGATCAGGAAAGTAGAGGAAACTAGAAGAGCCTCAAATCTGCTCACACTAGTTGCCAAGTGGCTGCACTGGCCTCTAAGATTACATAAGAAGCCATGAATATGACCATGGTAAAAATAGGGTAAAGAAAAATATACTGGTGATATTATCTGCATCCAGAGGAATAAAATAGAGAAGGTATAACTCTACCTGACACACTGCACTGTAGTCAAGTTACCACAGAATGACCAAAGTGCTAGTTGCAGACACTTTCCCATACAGGAGCTAATTTTGAGGTAGTAATGATTACTAATAATGATTACTGGTTGCATCTATAACACCACTTTCTTACAACCAGTTCAGCAAATAGCCACAGAATCTTCCCATGGACCACAGTAGTTGTAACTATTTCCAGTTGGCCATGTGTGTGCTTATAACAAGAATCTACTTCAGTGTAATAACTAGGATTTTAGTTATTTTAAAGAATTTTATAAAAGCCTAAATGAATAGACATAAAAAAGGTTGCAAAATAGCTGGAGAGTGCCCAACACAGAGTCATAAACAAATATGATAGAAGGCCACTGCCTAATTGTCCACAGTTCATGGGGTAGTACTGCTAAAATTATTAGTGCCACTAACAAATGTTAATGCCAGTCACAGCAGCGCTGAGATATTCTAAAATTTATGTTATCACATGTCCATTCAGGCAATTTTATTGCATGCTGAGCAGTGTTAGAAATTAGGCAGGTGCATTTTGCTACTGGTGCAGGTCCAATTGTGACCATGTGGAGATACAGTGGTGCCCCGCAAGACGAATGCCTCGCAAGACGGAAAAACCGCTAGACGAAAGGGTTTTCCGTTTTGAAGTTGCTTCGCAGGACGAATTTCCCTATGGGCTTGCTTCGCAAGACGAAAATGTCTTGCGAGTCTAGAGATTTTTTTTTCGCTTTCCCCCCCCTTTATCTAATCTGCTAAGCCTTTAATAGCCTTTAATAGCCTTTTAGCAGCTAATCCCCTAAGCCTTTAATAGCCGCTAAACCGCTAATAGCGCTAATAGCGCTAATCCGTCAATGGGCTTGCTTCGCAAGACGAAAAAACCGCTAGACGAAGACTCTCGCGGAACGGATTAATTTCGTCTTGCGAGGCACCACTGTATCCAGATGCCAGGTTGGTGACTGACATCTCCATCTGGTTGGCTTCTCCAGCTTTCTCACGCAGGTAAGCAAAAGAGCTTATTTATTGCATTTATATCCCACCTTTTTCTCCAAGGAGTGCATGATTCACCCCCCTCATCAATTCATCCCTACAACAACCGTGAGAATCAAAGAATTGTAAAGTTGGAAGGGATCCTGAGGATCATATAGTCCAACCCCCCTGCAATGCAGGAATATACAGCTGTTCCATATGGGGATCAAACCTGCAGCTCTGGTATTATCAGCACCATCCTCTAACCAACTGGTGAGGTAGGTTAGGAGGCTGTGACTGGTCCAAGGTTACATAGTGAGCTTTACGATTGAGTGGCGATTTGAACCCTGATCTCCTAGGTCCTAGTCCAACATTCCAACCATTACACCTAGGGTACTTCTACTATGGGGCAGCTATATAAATTAAGTAGGTAAATAAATATGCAGAAAGCAAAATGTCACTTAGAGAAGGATCCGAAATATTTTTATTGAAACTTGAATTTGTTTTATTCTGGATTGTTGTATTTGACGTTTTAGTGTGCTGTAAACTGCTTTGAGTTTTTTTCTTTAAAATACAAAGCGGTATAGAAATGAAATGAAGAAGAAGAAATTCCCGGGGGGGGGGCAGGGGGAAATGGTGCCGAGACATTGAGTTGTGGTGACTGTAACCTAGGTTTAATGTGCCATCTGGCTTATATATGTGAGTTTCTAACACTGATGCTGATCTCAAAAGCCAGTTCAACTAGCTAATTTCACCAAGCAGGTATGTATTGCCATATTTAGGAGTGTTATAATAATTTAAAGGCAAACTATAAAAACATTGACCACTGAAAATATAACCCTGCTCCCCATTTCATAGCTGGTACATTTCATTGGTAGTTCTAGGGAATTCTAAGGAACCTAGAAAACCAAGGTGATGCAGGTGAGCTATCCTTTTCCTATTAAGAGAAGCCCAATAGCACAACTATGGCCAAGGTGACACAAATACCATTGGTTGTGGTATGCTAAACATCACGTTTCCTCAAATCACTTCGTAACAACAGGCCCAGTTAACAGTGGATATAGCACCTGGCCCTACTGTGATGTACTACTGGCAATAATTCAAAGCAAGTGAATTGCATTTAGGAAAGACTGCCAAATCTAATCCAATGAGTTCTGGCTGGCACATGCCAGACTAAATGCCGAATAAGGATAGCAAGAAAACACTAGCCTCCATTCATCAGAGTACGGTGGCCCACTGCCATGCCACTCTCCATTACTACCTCATCAGCTACTTTCAAAACCATTGGACTGTCCAGGAAAATATCAGCTCCTGGCAAGGAAAGAGGGCTGAGAAGAGGGAGGAAACCAATATTCTTCTGTCTTAATAGAGTCTGACAGTTAGAACTGTGTGTAATGTACATGAACTCATGGATATGAACCCATTCAAACCAGAAAAGAAACAGTGGAATTTAGCTCTGAAAACCCAATCTTGGTTTTATAACTTGCCAGGAGTCAGGCAGCTGAATATGAAAGAGGGATCTTAGTCTTTTATTCAGGTAGGTATGTTAAGACATATCATGAGTTTGACAGCAACTAGGCCCACATTGAACCAAATGCTGGGGAAAGTCCTTTGAAATCTAGCCCTAATGCTGCACATTGAAGGCTCCGTCTTTGGCAGCTGAAAATAGGTATTTATCATATCACAATGGGCATTTGGTAGCCTCGCAACATTATGCTTTATCTCAACCTGAAGAGACAGTTCTCAAAAGAAGCAACTCTTACAGGCATCCACAGCAGCACAACAGGCTTTGAACCACATGTGACAATTGTGGCACACAGTAATTTTACCCTAGTCTTCTAAGTAGACAAGACTCAAACCATGGGTAGGCAAACTAAGGCCCGGGGGCCGGATCCGGCCCAATCTCCTTCTAAATCCGGCCCGCAAACGGTCCGGGAATCAGCGTGTTTTTACATGAGTAGAATGTGTCCTTGTATTTAAAATGCAGCTCTGGGTTATTTGTGAGGCATAGGAATTCATTCATACATTTTTTTCAAAATACAGTCCGGCTCCCCACAAGGTCTGAGGGACAGTGGACCGGCCTCCTGCTGAAAAAGTTTGTTGACCCCTACATCAAACAGTCACCCATCCAAAAACTTACAGATTAACATAGCAAGCTGGATGTGACTTCAGTTTGTATTCCATGTTGCCCTAAAACAGAACTCTTTGGTCTTTACAACAGGGTGGGCTAGCCTATGGCCTTTGAGATGTTGCTTAAGTCCAACCCACATCAGCCAGAGCAAGCATAACCAATGCTCAGGAATGATGGGAGATACCGTGCAACAACAGTGGAGGTCTACTTCTGCTTTCTAGTGCCCCAATTACCCCCATAAAATATAAAATGCTAGAGGCAATATAGGTAGCCACTAGGGCTGGGCAATGTATCAATACATGGTCCAAAATCAGTTCAAAGTACTCAGATAATGCAGGCAAAGCTGCAAGAACTCAGGTTTTTATGAATGCTGTGGTATAGTCAGTTTTTATGGTATTTTATTATTTCACTGTTGTATCCAACTTAACTTTTACTTAGAGTAGCCCCACTGAAATTAATTGGCCTAAGTTGATCATTAGGGCTAGGCGATGCATCAGTAAATTGTCCAAAATTGGTTGGAAGTCAACATTGTGGTAACAGGTTCATAATATTCGGCATGGTGATATATCACGAATTATGATGTGTGCATGTGCTTCTGCAGGAAGTTCCTGCAGCCAATCAGAAGCTGCGTAAGCCCCGCTGGATGTCCGGGTTCCAAAAGAACGTTCGCAAACCGGAACAATCACTTTCAGGTTTGCAGGGCTTGGGAGCCAAAACGCCTGAGTCCCAGGGTGTTTGGGATCCAAGGTACAACTGTACTATAAAATAACAGTTGTAATAATATGTTAAAAGTAAATAAAAATGTATCTGTTTTAGACTCCTGGGTAGTAGCAGTTGCCAGAGCATTAACCCATTCACATCTACAATAGTTTCATCCTTATTTCAGACATTGCTCAGCCCTACTAGCTACTGAAAGCATGTTTCTCAGAAACATGACTTTTGGGGACAATACTCCCAAATTTCTATATAGAATGGCAGCCACAAGCCTATGCTCATCTCACGCAATTGGCAAATATTTAGCACTCTCCTTCACATACTGGCATTCACAATACAACAGAGAAGTGCCTTTGAATTTGTAGTCATCACAAATTAAATTATGTAGGCTTCCAGGTGGAAAAATCAAAATTAGAAACAGAATTGTTAGAACCCAAAACTAAGATTTTGTCAAAGATGTATAACTTGCTGTTGAAATGGAATACTCAGGATGAAACAGTGAAATCTGCTATGATTAAATGGGCACAAGATGTTGGATATAACATAATGATGGCTGACTGGGAACAGTTATGGACCACAGGTATGAAGTTTACGGCATGCAATGCCTTAAGAGAGAATATTATGAAAATGATATACAGGTGGTACATGACCCCAGTCAAGCTTGCAAAAATCTACCATTTGCCCGATTTATTATTTATTATGTTGGAAATGTAAGGAAACTGAAGGTACATTCTTTCACCTTTGGTGGACGTGCCCAAGGATTAAGGCTTTCTGGGAGATGATATATAATGAATTGAAAAAGGTATTTAAATATACCTTCTTGAAGAAACCAGAGGCCTTTCTCCTGGGCATAGTCGGCCAATCGGTGTTAAAGAAGGACAGAACTTTTTTTATGTATGCCACAACAGCAGCAAGAATACTCATTGCAAAGTATTGGAAGACACAAGATCTACCCACTCTGGAAGAATGGCAGATGAAGGTGATGGACTATATGGAATTGGCGGAAATGACTGGCAGAATCCGAGACCAGGGAGAAGAGTCGGTGGAAGAAGATTGGAAGAAATTTAAAGACTATTTACAGAAATATTGCAAAATTAACGAATGTTAGAATGATGTTGGATTGAAGTTAAGTGGTTTCTAGCTGTAATGGTATAAAAGAATATGAAAGAATTGGATTTTTAATAGGTAAAAATTTAATGCTATAATATATTAAGATTAAGGATCAGGATAAAATAAGGAGGGAAAGGAATTGCTGAACTAATAAATTGAACTGGAATACAAAAAAGGGAGGTATGAGGAGGTCCGGGAAACAAGCAAATGAAAGATAAGTGACAAAAAGATGGAATTGTTTTTAACTGTTTTTTATTTTGTATTTTTTCTTTTTCATTATGTAATATTGTGAAAACTTTAATAAATATTTATTAAAAAAAAACAAATTACATTATGTAGCTATGTTACAAAACTCAAATAAAAGTTGTTCTCCTAAAATATAATGAGTAGTCCAAGTACACTGAGTGAATTCTATCATGGTGCTCACCCACCATAAGAATCAAAAGGTTCAATATCTCACAGGAACATTGCTGCCATATACCAAGTTAGACCATTGTCCCATCTAACTCAATATTGTCTATACTGACTGGCAGTGGTCTATCAGAGTGGGGTCTATCCCATCCCTACATGGAGATGCTGGGGATTGAACCTGGAACACTCTGCATGTAAAGCACATTCTCTACTCCTAAGCTACAGCCCCTTTCCCCTCAAAAAATGCACCACAGTTAGAAAGTCAATTTGCAAAAATGGGAGGACTTGAAACAAAACAATCCAACTACAGGTAGCCGGAAGGGTTCCAGCACACACACCACACCATAAACGCAACACACATCCTTGAGGTATATGAAGTGCTTTTAATGCAAGTGAAGTGCTACCTGTTAGTTGCTCCCCCCCCCAACACAACTGGTTTCTCAACACCTGCAACTGCTCATTACGAACATGAATTTGCCAGAATAAAACAAAATAGACATTTTCATTAACGATCAATAAATTTAATGTAACCATTCACACAAAATTTGGAAAACATAATGCTGATTTTTCTCACCCATTCAGCTTTAGTCAACTCCCTAGCAGCTCTCTGTGAAACATCACCCACTGGCCTTCAATCCAGTCATATTTTAAAGAAAATTTCAATAGCTTAAAATTCTTCTGTAGACCTACTGTTCCTAGGAATATCCACCAGAAAGTAAGTAGAAATAATTTTGCTTCTTTCTTTAGCAACATGAATTTCAGTGGTTTCATATTTCACCATGGAAACAGAATTCTTTTTCTAAGGTATGTTTTCCTGTTTAGCACAACAAGGAGGAAAAGCGTCTTACACCTTGATTTGTTAATCTGAGTGAATATTAAGCTGGACCTCTGTACATTCTCTAAAGCCAGGCAATTTGAACTGGACAGGCATGTACAACAGCAACTAAGTTATTTTTCTCACGGTGGATCAGTATTCATTATTAAAAACCAGATTTTATATAACATCCTTTAAAATGGAATCCTAATTTAATACAAATGTTAAGCTCTACACTTACAATCTCTTAAAACTAAATCATGGCAATCTCTTAAACACATTTACTGTTAAAAAGAATGCTTTTCTATTTAAAGATGCATAGAAGAATACATATAAGGGGAAATATGTATTTTGGCAAAAAACAAAGAAACCTGATACCAATCAATATAAATACATGACTTTTTTGTGGCATCCTAAGGGGCACAGGTTTGTATGGTTCCAGCATAGGAGTTACTCCTGTTTATGGAAGGAATTGAAATTTACTGGATGCTCCTGCTGGAAGGTGGGGTCACAAAGCCCCGTCCCACCAATCCTCTGGAGGAGCTTTTCAGGGGAACAGAGGAAGTTGCAGGAAGTAAGAGCCTCCCCATCCTTCTCCTAATGGGAGTTTTCAAATTATTGATATTTTTGACAATCAGCATGGACATTCACTTTTTAGTGAAGTCTCCTTTCCCCCCAATAACTAATGTTTAATGGAGCAGGTGCATATTTGCAGCCAACCTGCACTGCATGGCTGAAGGTTTTGGATTATACTGCTGGTTTGTATAAAAGCTGTGTTTAGCTGCAAGTCAATATGCTTTGCTATAGAAACTAGTCAGTATGTATGTGCAGTAGACATGTGGTTTTCAAATAGGAAACTTGACTTAAGTTTGACATTTTTTCTTTACACTTTAATTAGAAATCAATCCACCCTTTTTCTAAAATGCTGACTATACATTAAACACTGCTCTCCTTTGCACACTCAACAAGCAAAGTTACTTAATTAAATTCTTATAGAGGCTGTAGTATACCAGCATCCACAAGTTTCTAGTGCTACAATACACTACAAGAAACTTTCCAACAGGCAAAGGCAATGCAGAAAAACCCTATTACTGGCTGTTCTGCATGGTCACAAACAAAGCTGTGCATCATAGTGTAGATTTCAAGAATAAGAAGGCTTTAAACCTGAAATTCGCTTTTACTATAAATTGCTTGGGATGCTAGAAAGCACATCCAAGTAGCATACACACACACACACACACACACACACACACACATTAAATATTCAACAACTGAGTCAGAGTAAGCTGCTTTGTGGAAGTTTTCTGTAGAGGCCAGCATTTCCACTATAATCCACTAAGGAGATTAAACACCAAAATAAGAGAATTCCCAGCTTCTCGCTCATTAAATCCCCTGGCAGCAGCAGCAGGAGGGGGCTCTTCCACAACCCTCTTGGAACCTTCAGCATGAAGCATCCTGCAAGCAGAAAACCCTTCGAAGCCCCAAAGAGGCCTTTCAAAGACAGCGCACTTTGCTGCCCTGAAAGATAAGGCTACAGACCAGGGATATCCATTTTAAGACACCCACCCCCGACTATTTGTGGATGTCTTTTCTCTAAAGCCCCTGCTCCTCCAGACAGCGTGTCTTCGTCTCTTCCAGACTCCCATGGAAATAAATAGTGCTACATGCTTTCTGCCAATGTAGGCAATTCCCCTCTGCAGTATATGATTCCATCACATGCCTGGCCTGGGAGGCGAGATGCAGCTCAAGGGTGAAACTGCCAGGGTTCCCATCACAGCCAATCCTCCTCACCCCACTGCAAAATTGTGGTTTCGGCCTTTGCTGCGAACCATCTATATTCAACACGACAATGGCTGCTCCCTGCCCCAGATTTTCGACTCTCCACTCTTGGCCTTCAGCCCACAGTCGCCCCCCCCCCCAAAAAACCCTCTGAGCACCTCGTCCTTTGCTTCCCCCTCTAATCCCTTCGCCTCCCCCCACCTCCAAGCACCACCATCACTACCCAGCCAAGCTGCACGAGGCCTAGATAAAAGTCTCCTCCCCTGGAGCCCAGCCCGGGAGCAGCTCCAGCCTCGCCACCGCCACAATCTCTCCCAAACAGGTGTCTGTCTGTCTCTCCCACCCCAGACGCAGCCGCCCCCCGCCCCTCTTCCTCCCCCTTCAGGCGAGACTGCGGGCCAGGACGAGGCGCCTGCCAACAACACACACAAACACCCCCCCCGCTGCTGCTCCTCCCCCTCTCCGCCAACCCGGGCAGGGGCTCCGGCCGCCGGGCCTCTCTCTCTGCCTGAGGAGCCGGGTGGGGGCCGGGAAGCGAGGCCTGTGAAGAGATAAGCACCGGGGGCTTAGACCTCGGCTTCTCTCCCTGCAATGAGAGACACACAGACGGGCAGAGAGACCCTGTCGGCGCACCGACTCCGAGCGAAGGCCGGGAAGGAAGCGCCGCGAAAGACTCACGTCGCTCTCCACCTCGATGTCATCGTTGTCGCTCATGCTGCCGATGGTGCTGCCGTCGCCCGGCCGAGCGGCTCGGGGGCTTCCCTGGCGCGCGCTGCGGGCCCAGCCGCGGAGAGCGACGAAAACAGCCCCCGCGCAGCGCAGCCAGAGCAACAGCGGCGGAAACAGCGGCGGCGGCAGCAGCGGCAGCCTCCGCCTCCACCGTCGTCGTCGTCGTCTCCGTCTCCTCCTCCTCTAGCATCAACGGCACACGCACCTCGTACTGCACGTGACTGGCTGACCCCGCGCCGTCGGCTTGCCCTCACGCCGTCGCCTCCTCCCCACAAAGCATGCTGGGGGATGGAGTCCACCGCGGCGTACTGCGCCGCAGACGCTGCGCAGCTCCGAACTATACTTCCCGGAAGCCTCTAGGCAGCGGAGGGCCTTTGAGGTCACCTCATGCGCTTGCGCAGTGCCTGCCGAAGTGCATTGTGGGGGTCGTAGTCCTCAGCAAAAGAGGAAGGACTCTGCTTCCCGGCAGCCTAAGGAGGGGACACGTGGATGGGAGGAAAGCGAGCACGGTCTATTTAAGCATCATCTGTCTCCTCCCTCCCCCCCGCCTCCTATTGACTTTTTTTTCCCTTTAAAGAGCGAATAGCGTTGTTATTCTTAGGAAGAGGAAACACAGCAGAAGGCCACTTCTGGCAGTTATCTACATAAGCCAAACTGGGTTGTTTCATTGCAAGATATCAGTCAATACATGGAAGGAAACGAACCAAACGTTAAAAAAATGGTGACACTCAGAAACCACCGATGGGAGAATTTTGGTCTCCCTGGATATTCTGTAACAAACTGGAAAGTTGTCTTACTTCAAAAAGGAGATTCTAACAGAATGGCTGAGTTTGAATTCATTTCCGGTCTGACACTCCAGTCCAATCGACTAAGAATGACCATTTCATTGCCGAAAGTTGCTGCTGTTTCTAAGTGTTTATGATTTTTGTTTTCAGTTGTGTGTTTTGGTTTTTCCCCATATTTTTTTAGGAAGGCTCTTCTACTCGATTACATTTGTGTAGCTGAGATTACTACATTGGCAGGATCTGGGCTGCCCAGATGTAGAATGTTACCTGTAGTACTAGAATCCTCACACAAAACATAGTAGACAAATGTACACTCAGACATTTGTTGGCAAACCCTAAACTGCCATTCTGTGATAAGAATTTTGAGGTCTTAGATATATGTTAAATGTTCATAAGTGTACCAACCAAGCACATACATAGATCAGCACAGGAAGACAGACCTGGAACCATTTTTGATCCCAAACTCTCCCAAACTGACCAAATGTTTTCTCTGCAAGGTCAAAGGAAAATGGAAAAGCCTCCCCATTGTCTTTTCCTTCACAAATCCTGTCTTAAGGGTATGCCTGTGTTTGAACAGGGTGAGCCTGTGACCTGACTTAGGAACTAAGTATTTATCATTACTAAGTATTTATCATTACAAAAGAATGGCCAGGCTCCCCAGGGTATCTAATCAAGTAAGCAGGCAATCCAATCAAGTGACCATTAAACAGGTAACCTGTCAGACGAGATAAACAAGTCATTCAGATTTCTGTTTTAGACCACCTTTTCTGTGATGTAGGTCTTTGGTTACTCCCCTTCTGTGATGTATGTATGATATATGGAGGGGTGGTCTTGAGCTCCAGGGCAGGGAGCTCCAGGGCAGGGAATTTAAAATGTCTATATAAGGCCTTGCGCGCCATTGTTCTGGGTTCCTCCTCCTTTCCTGCATGTGAGGGGAGCACCCTCTTGCAACAGATTAATAAAGATCAGGCTTACTAGCTGCTTTGCTTCTCAATATTCTCTGGTTGGCCTCTGCTATTTTCTCCTACCAATGGGGAACCTACATAAGGACTCTATATGGGCTCTTGGATAAGGGGAAAAGGGCAGATTTTGTTTACACAATACAAAAGTTTTTCATAAAGTTAGTCTTCATAACCAGACTTCCCAACTGTCATAGAAAATTTAGGGTTGGCTTTTGCACAAAAATATGAGTCACGTTGCTCCACTTCACTCTGACCCTTAACCACCACTGCCATGCAACACTCTTCAGGGAGATGTGGCCTCTGCGCTGAAAAAGATCCCCTACAACAATTTTAAGGTTGTTCCCACATGGTATCAGTACAAATGAAGGCTGGTCTATAAATATTTTAAACAATAAACAAGCACATAGATAAATCTCTGCTGAGCTGCCTTTATAATTGTGAGGCCTGAGATTATGATGCAGCATCCTCAGCTGTTGCCATTGGCTGCAGACTGTGACATCACAAAAGAACATGGCAACCTAGTGAATATAAATGTGGGCCTTTTACTCTTTCCCAACAGAATACAGAAAGCAACAGCTGTGACATTCAGCATTGCCTGGTCTTTTTCCACATGGAGGATGTGAATTGGCAGATGGACAAATGTGATCATCTGGCTGTGGGATGCTATGGAGTGATAAGGCAACCTTACCTGATGAGCAGGATCACAGCTTGAAAGTGGCTGATATCCATGGTAAGGAGCTGGCTGATGTCTGGTGATCTATGTAGCAAAAGCTGGCAGATACTGGTGGATGTAAGCTGGTGGAGTTCATATTTGGAAGCCCATGGGTGTCGGAAGGCTGAAGCAGGCTGATATTTGGGAATGGAAGCTGGTTGAAATTCACCTTCAGAAGCTGGTCAACTGAACCTGGTGGATGTTTGTGGAGTAAAGGCTGTTAGGATATTTCCGTTCCTCCTTAAAAAGGGAACAGGCTGTTGTGTGTCACAAACCTGCATACCTCCTGCTCACAGGGAGTTTCCGTTTTGTATATAGCCTTTGCTTCTGGCTGTTTTCTCGACATGAAAGTAAGCAGTCATGTTTTTCCTTTGTTCTGACCAACGTTGAATAAAGCTGTAAATATGCTCTTCTGGGTGCATCTTCCGTTATGGAAACTCTGCAGAAAGGGCGTGCATGAGTCTTGGAATGTGTCTGAAGCTCGTGTCACTAATTGACTGATGCTGTTCTATGGGAGATGGAGAGATTGTCTGGAGACGACGTGTAGGCTGCCTGATGCCTTTGTCTCCCTGGCAGTATCCCAACAACAGGTTATGGGCCCAGCACGCTTCCACTGGGCCATTCTGCTTGAACGTGAATGCAGAGTGAAATATGAGTGGATGTGTCTGCTGGAATTATTCATGGGTGTTGGTTAGCTTATGCCTGTCTCTCTCTCTCTGTGTGTGTGTGTGTATGGAAGGTTTCAAATATGGTCATGTGAGTGTATGCATGTGAAAGGAAACTGGTGGATATTCATGAACAGATGAAACCTGTGGAAGTTAGCAGGTAAATATTTTTCTATATACCTCAACCTGTAGTGTCTATTCTATCTTTTTATTCAAAGACAGATAATGGAAGATCAAATACCTGAGTTTATTATGAGACCTGCCTCACCCATATCAGCAAACATGAAGAATGGGCTGTAAATATTTTTAATAGTTGAAAAAAATTACTGCTGAGGTGTCCCCAGAATTTTCAGGCTCAGGGAGGCTGTGCTGATACTGTTATCTACAGACTGCCTCTGATGTCACAAAAGGACAAGGGGCAGTTAATAGGGGAGCAGAGGGAAGAACTCCAAGAGAATGCGGCTGAAGGAAAGCTGGGGTAGGACCAGCTGGAGGCACAGAAGAGAAATGAGGGTTGGCTCCTTCCTGTCTACTTGAGTTGCCAACTTTTTGGTCTCTCAGGATTCCCATGCCTGTCACACCTACACAGATGTAAAACATAGATGTGCCTTTCAATGAGAATTCCTCAATCCCAAATAATTTTATAAGGATCCCTAGGTTTGGAAAAATTCTCCTTTCATTGAAATATATTTGCTGCATCTCTTAAGGTGTTTGCTTCAAGCGAACCTTTACTAATGTATTTTATTTAAAATCATTTAGAAACAGTTCCACCATTTAAAAATATATACAGTGTTGAATTATACAACGTAGAAACACTATAAACAACTAAAACAAAAATACAAAACCAGTAAAACAGTAGTATAAAGGCATATTAAAAATGATAAAAACAGGTTTTGAGGGAACTGGAGCATATAAAAATAGGGTCCGATCTTAAGGATCAGAGAAAGTGGGGGAGGGGATCCTTTACAATCAAGAATATTCCTGGTGCTCCCAGTGGCTCACTGTCTGAGGCACGATGAGCAATGAAGATTTGCGTTTGAACCTCACCTCTGCACACATACCCAACTCAAGAGATTGCCTTGGGGAGGATGTTCTTTCCACAGTGCCCCTACTTCTTCCCTGCCCCAAATATGTACAGTATTGCCTGATTTCCTTTCGGCTGCCAGTGTTATGTCGAGGATTAAACTTGGGTCCTTGCACCAAGAAGACAGGACGCTGTCTTGCATCCCTTCAGGCCACTGGACTACCTAGCTCAGTGTTGCCTTCATCCGGCTTTGCCAACATGGTCCCTGCAGATGCCATGGTGCCCACAATGCCCTGCCAAGCTCCCCTCTGCCCCCCAGTTCAGGATTCAAAGTCTAAGCTTGAGGAAGCTAACCAAGATTCTCTCCTTACTAGGGTTGTCAAACCCACAAGGCAACCTGAAATCTCCAGATGACTGACACCTGTCAAAGCCTCCTTGCACATCACTTCCCAAGCAGCTGGCAGCCAGTCAGTGATGTGCAAAGTGCTTCCCATGTCCTGCACTCAGCACTTCCCAAGCACTACACACAGAGCTGGAAAAGCTGCCCTCTGCAGCGTGTGACTGTAGAAGTTCCTCATGGAGAACCCAAGTCATACAGCCAATCATGTTGCATCTTTACCTGCCCTGCAGCTGACATCAGGTGTGGGGCAGGTGAGTGTAGTTTGGGGAAAATAGACCTCATGGGCAAAATTGGGCACTGGCTTACAACCAGAGAGCAATCACTGCATGCATAGTGCTCAGGAACTGTGCAGTTGGAAGTTCCTGCTAAGTAAGACAGCTGACACACAGCTGCTGCCAGTCAACTTTTATGCTGAGTACAATTTATCAACAGTTGAAGACAAGGTTCTTTATTGGTTTATCATGTGAGCACTGGGTGTCAAATGAGCAGGATCAATTTTATTGCAAGGTCTTTAGTGGGTAAACTTGCATATTATCAGAGAGAGAGAGAATACCCACCAGCAATAGGGCCAACTGTGATAGGCCACAGAAACACCCTCAGGAGCCAACCTACACAGTAAAAGAACTTATGAAAATGTACCAAGACTTTACTGCCATTTGTTTCTAAAGACTAAGAAAAGTTCGATCTACCGTAATCCCCCTTCTCCCAACCTCCAGGGGCTTACGCATCTAAAGCGTTGACATTTTGTACCTTGTACTTATTTCTCACAATCCACCTAAACGTTTCCATGGGGAGATGCCTGGATATATTGTACCACTCACAGTCTGAAGCTGGAGATTACGATTCCTGCCACATATTAGGCAGGGGAGGCGTGAAGAACTTTTGTCAGGAAGTGTGCCTTTGAAGCTTCACTCTCTTCCAACTGTAGCTGAAGTGTCAGGAGCGAGGTAAGGAAATGGCTCAAACACAGCCTGTGGTCCCAACAAAGTTGAAACATGGCAGAAAGAGGATTCAAGTGATGGAGAGAGGCTGATGCCAAAGGCACCTGAGAGTCATGTCCCAACCCAGACAGGTGAGAAAAGGGCAGGCACTAGCCCACATTCTCTCCCCCTTCCCCTCCCAAGGCCTGCTCATAGGAACATCTGTTCCTTCGGCGAGGTCGATCACGGAGGCCACTGGGTTCCTCCCCTTCTGCCTCTTCCTCAGAGGAGTCGCTCTCCTTATCGTCTTCCTTCTCAGAGCCAGTCTCGTCAGAGTTGTCATCGTCCATGTAGCGGTAGCCCCGCACCTTGTGACGGGGCTTGGGAATTTTGGGGAGGCGATGAGGGATCATCTGGGCTACTTTACGCTCCATCCACAGGTAAGATATTACTGCAGCTACCAGAGTAGCGAGCACGATGGATAACTTGGCCTAGAAGGAAGAGACTCCATCAGTTAACACAAAGGTCAGTTCTGCAAATATGACCTAGGCAAAGGAGAACTATCACCTAGGCGCCATTCCATTAACCCTTTCTGCTCATTCCTTCAAGTTCCTTCACAACACTACTGGCTTTAGATTTATTCTCTTATTATCCCCAGGCCAGAGGAACTCTCCTCCTTTCAAAGTCATCTTCATATGCCACCAAGAGCCAGAGAGGTCAAAGAATTCATGCAGTGCCAGACTTCCCACTCACCTTCATGGGCAGTCCAGACCAGAGATAAACAACGAAGATGGCTATGGCTTGCCACCAGTGATATATGGTGAAGACGAAGTCCTGACGCTCCTTGTCTTCATAAAGTATCCCCAGGAGTGCTGTAGGGAAAGGGCAGGGGACAGGGATGCAGCAACTAGATTCAGAGACTATTAGCTTTCATTGCCTATCTTATTCTTCACAATCGCCCTTCACCCATATGTGTGTGTGTATGCGCATGTCCGTGCGCGCACGCACACACACACACACACACACACGGACCTGATAACCCTTCATGATTCTGAAGAAGCAGACTGTAATCCAATAAATCTTATGCCATAATAAATGTGTGAAGCCTTATAAGGTGCTACACCACTGCATTATTTCTGCTGTTCTCAGTACAGACTAGTATGAAAGGTTAGGAAAACAATGCATCTTATAAAATGCTCCCCTCCAAAATCTGTAACAAACCATGGAAAAATATCTTGGGGGCAGTTACTAGGGGTGCTCACGCATGACCAGTCTATAATGCATGTAAACAAAGGAGCTGTACACTCACACAGTTGTTGACATGTAATGTTCAGCTGTGTACACAATAGATCAACAAGCATACAGTGTTTCATATAGACACTTGTACAGATGGAGAAACCACTTTCATCTGTGTTGAGTGCCATGTGTGAACAAGCCCATTATTTTGCTTTACTAGTGATCAATGACACCGTCAAGGGAGACTGAAGTTCGCAGAATACACTACCTGCCATTCAGGCAGTTAGAATTGAGCCTCTTCCAGGTAACAAGCATCTATCACACTATTTCAGAGAGTTGTTGTTACCATGGTATTGTCCAGCTCAGCTTGCTGTACCTCCTAGTCCAGAGGAAGCCAAGGTGATGTCCTCCAGATGTTGTTGGACTCCCAACTCCTATCATCCCTGATGATTGACCATGCTAGCTGGGGCTGATGGGAGTTGAGAGTCCAACAGCAGGGCACAGCATTGGCTACTCCTGTCCTAGTCTATGGAAGGTACAACAGCTACTACACCAAGTGCAAGCACTGTTTGCAGCCTCTGCTTCGCATGCAGAAGGTCCCAGGTTCAATCCCAGGCATCTCCAGGTAGGATGGGAGAGAACTGTGGCTGAAAGCCTCGGAAATTGCTGCCAGTCACTGTAGACCAGGGTTTCCCAAACTTGGGTCTCCAGCTATTTTTGGACTACAACTCCCATCATCCCTAGCTAGCAGGACCAGTGGTCAGGGTTGGTGGGGATTGTAGTTAAAAAAAAACAGCGGGAGACCCAAGTTTGGGAAACACTGCCATAGACAATAGTGAGGTAGACAGACTAATGATCTGACTTGGTATAAGGCTCCGACACCAAAGGGGTATTGTTTTACTCACAGCTGAGGCCTGTCTTGTTGAGGGCACTGCCAAGACCCCAGAGTGCAGCTACCAGGTAGAGCAGGGCTTCTTCGCCTAAGCTACGGGCCTGAGGTGCCCAGCAGAAGAGGCCGATCAATAGGATGGCATGGACCGATGCTCCGGCAAGCAGGGGAACTTGGCGAGGCAGACACAACATAGAGAGACCCAGGGTGGAGCAGACAGCAGAGGAGAGTCCATAAGCGGTGAGGATGTACGCCATGCGCTCCAGGCCAATGGAGCAGACACCATAGTTCTGGGAAGTGGAGAGGAAGGACCTTTTGTTAGCACAGAGGTACCGTACTTGGGTGCCCAGCCCTTCCTGTCTCCAAACCTGAAAGGACTTCGCATTACCAGAGTGAAGCCAGTGCAGAAGAAGACCACCTCAAATCCACTGTAGATGAAGAAGACAATGAGGTGGCGCAGGCGGTAGTCCCGCATGTGCTTGAAAGGCAGCTGGAAGATGTTGCCCCAGCCAATGCTGCGCAAATCTATCTCCTCTGTGGGGCGATAGGCTGAGCCACACAGAAGCAACACCTGTGGAAACAGAAAGGTGTGGCACTGAGATATCAGAAGCTGGGCAAAAATGACCAGGGCTCTCCCTGTACTCTCCTTGTTAAAAGGAGGAATGGGGGCAGAACTCAGCCCCAGCCAGCATGGCCAATGGTCAGGGATGATGGAAGCTACAGTCCACAAATTATAAGGAGGGCCACAGATTCCCCATCTCTGCTGGGAATGTTTAAGCATAATTTCCTGCATTGTCCCATCACCTCCCCTGCCAAACATACACATCAGCAGCAGCCAATGATGTGAGGCAGAGAAATATGAAACAAGATGACATCAGAAGTCTGTCTGAGTATTACAGATGGGGCAAAGAGAACTCGACATGGGGCTGCTGTTTTCAATGGCAACCCAGTATCCATATTAATTCTGCCCCTTGCACGGTAAAATAAAGAAATGGATCACATTTACATAGACCAGAGATTTTGTTTATTCATCTCATTTAACCTCATTTCCACCTATGTTAAGGGACAGTTTTGATATGGCTGTATCTTTGCATAGTACCACTTGAAAGCTCTTACCTGGGTCCACAATCCATGTGGCAACAGCAGCAGCAGCAGCAGCAGCAGCAGCAACAATGCTTACCCTATGCTCCAGCCCATACAGGTAGAGCACCCATACCTAGCTAGGTAAAGACAGAGGCAATCCTAGTGTGTGACTGCTGCAGATATACAGGTCAATGCACTGATTCATAGTTGTTTCTGGCTGGGGCATATTCCTCAATATGCAGCCACATAACCTTTACAGTCAAGAGACAATATCCTTCTGAATACCAGGTACTAGAAACAGCAGGAGGGGACCATGTTGTTATGCCCATGTCCTGCTTGCAGGCTTTCCATAGCCCTCTGGTTAGCCTATGTGAGAACAGGATGCTGGACTAGATAGGCCACTGGCCTGATCCAGCAGGCTCTTCTTATGCACGTAGGGGGTTCAAGAGGATTGCCCTATCACGTGCACAATGAACACATTTGCTTTGTATGTGATTTACCTGCCAACTGTGTACACATTTTAGGGGCAGAGGAATCTGGGTTGCAGAATGTATTGCTTTTACTACTGATTTCATGATGACCACAAGCATGGTGAGTTAATCCATGCCTTTGCCCTTGTGCTTTTTTGTCCCTAGCTTCATACCAGGAGCATGGAGAGGAAGGCCACTCCCATGAGAACACTCTCCACCGTGATGAGCTCATTGCTGCGTGGCAGCTTCTGCAGAACTGTGGTGTTGAACCCTGTGAGAATCCCATGGCTGTTGGTCCCTGCAAGGAAAAAACCCAGCACTTTCAGCAACCACAGGCCTAGTTGGGAAAGGGTCCCCAAAGATTAGGATCATGGGTATAAAGGGCAGGGGTGGGAACACTTATTGCCCAGAGGTGGCCATGTATGGACAGTAGGAAGTTGCATGCCAATGGATAAGGCTGGAGCCAGCAGTTGGGAAGGCCTAGACCAGGGGTCTGCAACCTTTAAGACAAAAAGAGCCACTTGGACCCGTTTCCAAAGGGAAAAAAAACTGGGAGCCGCAAAACTTACAAAACAGTAGAAAACCAATTGGACTTCAGAAAAGAGCAACTGAAATGATCCAGGCAGGGTTTTCCTCCCCACCCTTTTAGGTGGGTGCCATTGCCAGTCTAAGAGAACAAGGGAGGCATTCAGGGCGAGTTTTGGCACCGCTTTCTCTAGAAAAATAGCACTGGAATCCCGGGGACTCCCCTGCGAAGAAAGGTTGCAGCATTTGGGACTTTTTAGTTTTGAGGAAGGTTACCAGACGTCCCCGTTTCCCGGCGACAGTCCCCAGATTTACAAATCAGTCCCCTGGCAAAAGCTATTTAATAGGAAGTTGAAAAGTGTCCCCGGATTCATTGAAAAAACAAACTGGTAATCTTAGTTTAGAGAAGAGGTGACATGAAAGGAAGTTGGCAAATTATGCATGGAATGGAGAAAGAGGGTAGAGAAAAGCTTTTCCCCCTCTCTTGTGGACCACCAGAACTTGTGGACATCCCAAGAAGCCGACTGTTCAAAGATTCAGGGCAGAGGAAAGAGAGGACTTTTTCACCCAGCGCACAATTGAACCATGGAACTCCCTCACACAGGCGACAAGTTGGACGGTCTTAAAGAAATTCACAGAGGTAGTAGTAGTAATGGAGCTGGGGGGTGGGGGTGCGAGGGGGATACGCGGATGCCTCTGAGGGAGAGGATTTTGTCTGTCAGGGGAAGGAAATGCAATGGAGAAACCAAAAGGGATAAGGTGCTACCATTAAAAAAAAAAAAATAAGGTTTTAACCTAAGAAGCGAGTGGAGGTTAAACTGAGCATTAAGTGGCAAGGGCTGAGGTCCCCTGAGATTATATTTAATTAAGAAAAATGACAATGAGGCTGTTAATGATGGTGGCAATAGTAATAATAGTATTAATAGTAATAATTGCCGTGGGCAGCAAGCCCCGCCCTCACCTCCTCCACGTTGTGGTCCAGGGGGCCCCCAACCTCCACTTCCACCACCGCCGCCTCCGATTGGAGGAGGCGGGTCTGGGGGGCGGGTTCGAGCTGGCCGAAGGCGCCTGTCAAAGCCGGCGAGGGAGCGTCCGACATGTGGCAGCTTCGTAAGCGGGCGCAAAAAGTCCTGTCTGGCCGACACGGCGCTCAGGGACCGAGTCCCGGCAGGCTGCGTTTTCACAGGCATTTTCTGGCAACCGCCGCAAAAGACTTCACGGGATGGCCAGGTACTTTCTACGCTTCTCACGCCAGCAGGAAATTGAGGGACACTCCCTCACCTCTGCCCCTGTTTGTTTCCCTGTAATGTGGCTTCTTGCAGCGAGAATGTAATGTATATGTAATGTAAGCTCAGTTTATTCTTTTTATGTTTGTTGTGTAAATTTTTTGGGGGGGAAATCATTCACTCATTTTGTGGCATTTTGTTTTGGCTGCTGGGGGTACATGGGTAGCTCTAGTATCTGCCCCGAGCTGCGGCAAAGGTGCAAAAGAGCCACATGCGGCTCCGGAGCCGCGGGTTGCCAACCCCTGGCCTAGACCATTCACTGACTCACTTGTTCCAAGACACTCCCAAAGAAGTTTCTCCAAATCCCTCCATCCTCCTATTTTCCCCATTCATTTTTTTCATTAACTGCACAGGTGATTTTGTTTGGTAACCCAACCTCCTCCCAATACATAGACAGGTAAATTTACAACAAATTCCTCCTTCAATCTGCCCCACCCCCAAGATCTCAGAGAGGCAACTTACATTAAGCTCCATTTGCTCAAGGAATGGGGGGTGGAGGTAAATGGCTACCTTACAGCAAGTCAGCCAGCAAAACACCTCTTCTGCATGCAAGACAGATGCTCTCCCCACTGAGCTACAGCCCCTCAGCCAGGATACTCACCACAGTGCTGTACGCTGAAGAGTGTGTGGTTCAAATCAGAGAGGTGCCCCTTTATGAAGAAAAACATGGGAAACTGGGCACAGACAAAGCTCAGCTGGAAAACAGAGAGAATGCAAGATAAACCAACCGTGGGCAGGAGAGAGAGAGAAACCCAACATGTGCAGAGAGTGAGAGGGTGTCTCCTCACTGAACTATATCACTGAGGGCTGCCATTTCCCAACAGACAAGGAGAGACAATGGGGAATACACACACATCCCACTCCACCCCAAAGGTGCATGAAAAAAACCCTTTTAATAGAGCTCTCACATAGAAGATGGCATAAAAGACAGTCTGGAAGCCAACAATGTAGGAGTTGTAGGCCCCACGTGGTGCCCTTTGCTGCTCCTGGACATGTTCCAACTTGTAGTTCGCATATTCATAGTACTTCTGTGCCATCCTGTTGAGGCAAGTCGAACATATCAGATGACCAGGTGAGTGCAACCTGCTGCCCACCTGCTCTCTCCAGGACACACTCTGGGACAGGGTAGGGAGCCTGTGGCACTCCAGATTTATTTGTTTTATCCATTTATAAAAGAAATATGTATACACTGATACATCACAAAAATACATCAAAGCACGACCGAATGAAAACCATACAATAAAAGCATAACAAGTCAAAAACGAAGGTCAGTACAGCCATACTTCAGAAGTTGAATGGAATCCGTTCCGGAAATCCGTTCGACTTTCAAAACGTTCATGAACCAAGGCATGGCTTCCAATCGGCTGCAGCAAATTGGAAGCTGCAGAAACCACAACGGACATTCAGGTTCCAAAGAACATTCGCAAACTGGAACAATCACTTCCAGGTTTGCAGCATTGGGGAGCCAAAACGTTTGTCTCGCAAGGTGTTTAACTTCTGAGGTACGACTGTATGTTTATGTATGCTGTGAGATGCTCCCACCACCCCTATGCTGGCTGTGGATGATGGGAGCAAGAGTCTAAGGACATCTGGAGGGCCACATGCTCCTTATACCTGCCGTAAAACTCCTCCTCCCATGGAAGCTGCCAAGAAATGCTTCTGCAGGTTGGTGCAACCAGAACACCCAAAACCCATTCACCACACTGATGATGAAACATCTCAATGCCAACACTGGTCAGGAATTCACAATATTGTTAAGGAGAGTCGCTAAGTGACCAGAATGGTACTTATGTATGGTAAGGGCCATGCAAAGACACTCGGGGGAGGTCTTTCAATCTAGTGTCTTTCCCTTCTGCAACAGGCTCACCGGGTGACATAATTGCCCATGGAAGCCCAGAGAGGTATAATGGCAGCCCCGATGGCCACGGCCGATGGCACCAAGGTATAGTAGCGTTCCCAGTAGTTGGTGGAGACAAAGAGTGTGTAGACACCCACGGCCAAGAACAGCATCCATTTGGTGCCAAAGAATCTGGAAAGACAGAAAAAAAGAGGTCTGTGTTCTGGGCAGGGCGAAATGTTTTTACAACTGTGAGATTACTTGTGTTCTAGCTACATCAGGACACAGGATTCAGGTTTTTTCACCCCTTCCAAAAGAATGGTGCGTCCACACTGAGGGTTTTTAGCACTGCCCACTGATTGTTCTCATACTATAAGCTACATAATCTTCCATGCTTCAGAAGGTGCATTCCCCCCATCTCTTGTCATGTTTTCGCCCACTTTTGGCAGGGTAAAGTGTGAGAAGTCTACGAGAAAACCCCTAGCATGGGCGCACCCAAAATTTGTATTCCAGGCACAGCTCCACCCCCCAACAAAAAAAGTATGAATAGCATGAAAAGAATTCAGAGGGGGTGATCAGGAAGTCACAGCAGAGGAATACCTGATGAGCATTGGAGTGTAGAACAGGGCAACAATAGGTGTGACATTGATGCCCATCAGCATCTTGCTATCAATGTTCTGTAGTTCCAGGTTGCTGTATTTCACCTCTCGGTACGTTTCGTCATAGTGCAGGATGAGCTGCATCTGCAGCAAGCCTAGGGGAGATGACAGGGGCACTTAAGAGTTGGCACAACCTTGTTCAGTACAGGTACCACACTGCTAAACTAGCTCCAAGGGGGGAAAAGCTAACAGTGGCTGATGAAGGCTCTTCTCTCCAAGCGGCAGGGAATATTCAGAGATTGCACCAGGGCTGCAAGATACAGTCATGTTCAGAAACAGAGCTGACTTGTCCAGGATCCCTCTGCTTGCTTCCTCAATGAGTTCAACACCACACTGAGACCCACACCATCCAACAGGACCAAGTGGGTGAAATCGTTAAAAAGACACCCGTTTTAATATACTCTTGGAAGCTGAGGCAGAGGCCCAGGTTTCATCAGGATGTCAAGCATCATGAGCTGCTTCTCTTCCCTGCCACTGGATCTGCTCCTTCTAGATTGGCAGGATGATACTATTCTGTTATTCTGCTGCAGAGGAATAGTAGGATGCAACTTGCACGTCCTGCTCCTTCACAACAAGGTAAGGTCCAAAACCTTTTGATCTGAATCAAATGTGCAAAATGAAAATGAAAACAGATAGTGCTCCCTCTGGGACTTTGCCACCAGAATGACCTTGTGAGGAAGGCAGCATATTTTTAGTGCTCCCACATAAAGATACACATGCAGTTACCTAAACATCAGTGTTGCCTCCCATTAATTACCATGTACAAGGACCATGGAAGTGAAGACAAGTTTCAAAACAGTGTTGTTTGGTGGACTGAGCCCCTAAAAACCAAGCAAATCAAAACCTGTAATCCCAAAGGGTCTTTATGAACTACAAAGTAGCACTTTCCTCCATTTTATGAAGTAACGGGTGTGCTCCATGCAACGAATCACCACTAGAGATTTAAGTTTGCAACAGGTCACCATTTCGGATTTAATTTTATCACAGCAAACCAACACTTTTCTGTTGGGTTGCAACTTCAGCTTCAACTGAAAGAGGAAATAAAGGTTTCACCCAAGCAGATGTTGCAATCCTGGCTTAGAGACCAGAAATACTGCAATCGTAACAATTGTGGCGGTATCTAAGAAACACACGGCATCATGTCCTAAGCTGGTATAAAATAGCTGTGTTCAGAACCACAGGAAAAGCACTGAGCTGTCACAGGACTGGATCAGCCGCTGAAAACAAAGACAGGGAACCGAACCACAAGAAACAGACAGGCAAGAACACAAAAAGAGCTCATCCGGATCAGACCAAAGGCTCATCTAGTCCAGCATCCCCTTTCCTGTAGTGGCCTCTGGGAAGGCCATGAGCAGAACATGAGCACAAGAGCACTTCTCTACTCGCCTTCCCAGAAACGCTATTCAGAAACATGCTGCCTCTAGTCCTGGAGGTAGTTATGTAGCCATCATGGCTAGTGGCCACAGATACATTTATCCTCCATTCCTGTGTTTAATCTCCTTTGAAAGCCATCCAACATGGTGGCCATCACTACATCTTGTGATAGAAAATTCCAGAGTTTAATTATACACAGTATGAGGAAGTACTTCCTTTTGTCTTCCAATATTCAACTTCATTGGATGGCTCCAGCTTCTAGTATTGAGAGATGCAGAAACATCGGTCCATTCCAAATGGTTGTCAACCTGTGTCTGGCTCTACATCTCAGCAGGCTATAACCTCCCTATGGTGGGGGAGTCCTGCTAATCATCCACTTTAGCCAACAGATCCTGGAGTTTCCCATCCAGCTGCCTGGTCCTTCCATGCCTCACTATACCACTAAATTTGGAAGCTGCAAGTTGCCTTGAGACATCGTTATTTCAACCATTTATATACCACTTAATTTCAACGACTTCTAAGTGATGTACAAGAAGCGCAATATAATGCAAACATAAATCTCGTTAAAATCATAAAACCAGAATTCAGCTAAAATGCCTGATGCAATATATTTTTGAAAAAGTCTTCAGTTGGCACAGGAAATTCAAAAGGGCGGGATCCTGCCTGATCTCAACTCTGCAAAATTAGGTCCACAATGTTGGATGCACAGTTCCTAATGGATACAAGCCATGCATCTGAACCAGAGGGGATTACTAACAGTTACTCCCCTTGAAGATCATAGAATAATAAAATTGTAGAGTTGGAAGGGGCACCAACGGTCATCTAGTCCAACCCCCTGCAATGCAGGAATCCCAGCTAAACCATCCATGACAGATAACCATCCAACCTCTGCTTAAAAATCTCCAATGAAACAGAGTCTACAACCTCCCAAGGGAGTCCATTCCACGTCAGTGATTAGGCAGGGATTTCAGGGATCAAATTATTTCAAAAATAAATATAAAATAGCTGGTGGGAAAGTCTTTTCGGAAGGCAGCCCTGGGAACTGCAGTTTTCACGACACCCACTTTTACACTTTGCCCCAGAATCTTGGCAATGGATCAATATGACCAGAAAAAAGTTAGCCACACCTGACCTAGAGGTACGGCTGGACTTGCAGGTAGATGAACATCTGATGGAGACTAGGCTATGGGTAGCAGCAGGAGATGAAGACGATGAAAGTGTAGCATACCTAGAAAGACCCCGTAGGTCAGCATCCCCCCCAGGCTGGCCGCCAAGAGGTTCTTGATCACACCAAAGCGCTTGCGGCGGAAGTACTTGCTCTCCTCCTTCTCTTCGTCGTACTCGGCGTGAGCACCCACAAAGTCATCCAGCTAAAGACAGAAGAATCACATGGGGGTTAAGAGAAACACCCTGGTAAACTCGCCCCCCCATGGCAGAGAGCCAGCATGCCACATATCTCAGAGAGGTAAAGGTAAAGGGACCCCTGACCATTAGGTCCAGTCGTGGCCAACTCTGGGGTTGCGGCGCATATCTTGCTTTATTGGCCGAGGGAGCCGGCGTACAGCTTCCAGGTCATGTGGCCAGCATGACTAAGCCGCTTCTGGCGAACCGGAGCAGCACACGGAAACGCCGTTTACCTTCCTGCTGGAGTGGTACCTATTTATCTACTTGCACTTTGAGGTGCTTTCGAACAGCTAGGTTGGCAGGAGCAGGGACCAAGCAATGGGAGCTCACCCCGTCGCGGGGATTTGAACTGCTGACCTTCTGATCAGCAAGTCCTAGGCTCTGTGGTTTAACCCACAGCGCCACCCGTGTCCCATCTCAGAGAGAGAGAGAGAAAGAAATGAGGGCCACTGTGAGGTAGTGGATAGAGTGCCAGACTAGGAGCTGGGAGACCAGGTTTCAAAGCCCCACTTGGCCATGAAGCTCACTGAGTGACCTTGAGTTAGTCTCTGCCTCTCAGCGTAACCAACCTCACAGGGTTGTTTTGGGGATTAAATGAGGAGGCCGTCAACCATGTTCACCACCTTGAGCTCCCTGGACAAGAAAGCAGGATATAAATGCAATAAATATGTTTAGGGAAGTTTTAAATGTTTGATGTTTTAACGTGTTTGTAATATTCTGTTGGGAGCTGCCCAGGGTGGCTGGGGAGGCCCGGCCAGATGGTCTGGGTATAAGTAATAAATTATTATTATTAAAATAAATAAAAAGGCCATGACTTAGGGTGAGGAAGGCACTGCTAGAGAGGGCTGTTCTCCATTCCAAGGCTGTTTTTTGAATTACAGTGGTACCTCGGGTTACATACGCTTCAGGTTACAGACGCTTCAGGTTACAGACTCCACTAACCCAAAAATAGTACCTTGGGTTAAGAACTTTGCTTCAGGATGAGAACAGAAATTGTGCTCCGGCGCCACGGCAACAGCAGGAGGCATCATTAGCTAAAGTAGTGCTTCAGGTTAAGAACAGTTTCAGGTTAAAAATGGACCTCCGAAATGAATTAAGTACTTAACCCGAGGTACCACTGTATTATTATTAGGCTGCTGAGAATAAGTGGTATGCACGTGTTCTTGCATGCATGTTGAAGAGCCAGAATACATGCCCCAAATAAATTTTTTAGCATGTTGATGTGGAGGGGCTTTCCCCCGCTCCACATCAAAGAAAGCAAGCCCCTGTTATCCTCATCTTATCCTCACAACGACCCTGGGAAGTAGGCTGGGCTGAGTGAGCGAGCTCCATGGCCCAGTGAGGATGCGAAACCTGGTCCTAGTCTGACACTCTCTAACCACTGTGCGGAACTGATCGCATTCTTAAACGCATTGAAAGACAATTTCCATCCATTATGAATACTTTGCTGGGGAGTGGGAGGGGCTTCTTACCTGAACCTCAGGGCCATTCAGGACAGGGCCGTTTATAACGTCGATCCCCTGGCCGTCGGGGGGCGGCCCGTGGCCCGGCGCCTCTTCGTACACATTGCCACCTGCAGGGAACACGCGGCGAGGAAGAAACGAAAGCTGAACACTCCGCGCCTGCCTCTCCCTTCCCTCGGGGCTGCAAACTCCGCCGCAGACTCGGGGGTCCCGGAGGAGCAGTTCGACCAGCAGCTCCCCTTTTTAAAAAAGAGACCCCCCCCCACACGTCTAGACCACGTCAGGTTTTCTGCTTGCACCGTTTTACGGCTTACCGGGCAAAGAGAAATACACGAATATACAAAGGGAAGTAATAAATAACTAAATCTTTCCTTCATCAGCACTGACACCGATTTCGCGCCGGGACAGGTGGTGGTTACGCTCGCTCCACTTTGGGAGAAAGGATGCTAAGATAAGGAACGTCAGAAAGTTGTGTTGGGATAAAACGGGATTCTAGGAAAGAGAGGGCGCTTCCAAAAGCACACGAAGGGGAAGCGGCGCAAATTCCCAGGTTGTTTCCCCCACCCCCACCCATCCCGGATCCTGATCCAGCTTCCCCTCCCACGCAAGGATCAATTACAGTATACCTGGTTCCATGGCAGCTCCAGAGGCGTCACTGTTTCTCAAAAAGTGGAGGGTTCGCTGCGCTTTTCCGGCTCCACTGGGGTGGGCGGGGTGGAGAAAGGGAGGGGGCGAGCTCTTAAAGAGGTAGGAGTATCAGAAAGGCAAGCTAGGGGAGTGGATTCTAGACGTATGTCATATTATACACAGTAGGCGTGTGTGCAAAGCGGTTTCTGTGCTTGCTCTACTTAAACGGCTGCATTAAAACATTGAAATAGTTCGCCCAAAATACTCTTGATAAATCGGGGAGCAGATTACTACTACTACTACTACTACTTTTAATATAGGTACTTATAACAACCGATTTTAAAAAGGCACCTACTCTTCTTTCCCATCCATTTCTGCAGCCTAGATGTGCCTTGCGAATATAGATATATAGATACATGATATAAATATGGTTAGAACGGTCATAAAATTGAAACAATAACAACGCAGGAGGCATGGGATGGAGGAAGAATGGGAGGAGAGTAAGATGTTGCAGTGGAGTCAGTTGCTGCACCCTAGAGCTCTGCGTCTCTGTCTCTCTTTTATCACAGTACCTTGACTACTGCAGCGACTCAGCCCCACTAGTCTTCAGGAACAGAGTAACCCAGCCTTTCTCAACCTAGGGTCCCTATACATTTGTGGGACTACAACTCCCATCATCCCTGACCTCTGGTCCTGCTAGCGAGGGATGATGGGAGTTGTATTCCAACAACACCTGGGGACACAAAGGCTGGATTCTAACCCATTCTCTTCCCCTGTTCCAGGGTCCCTGCTCACAGTCCAACATCCCTACTTTCTTCTGCAGTAGGCAAAGCAATGTGGACAGCTCCCAGGGCAGGATAATTCCTACCCCATTCTATATCAAACAGTTTACTGTGGAGATGAGCACATATTAAAGCAGGACATCTAACTGGCTGGCAGCTGTCAGCTCCCATCTGCACCAGCCAGTATGGCCAATGGCCAGGGATGATGGGATCTGGAGTCTAGCAATATCAGAAAGGCACAACATTTGCTTTCTCTGTAATAGAGAGATGTATGCTGCAAGGCTCAACCATTTTTCTCAAAGTGAGACTTAGCAATAAAGCTTTGTTTTCTCCTTCATCTCTCAATTCCTACCCCCTTCACCCCCCCCCCAAAAGCCAAATCTCTCATTCCTTGTAAACATGTAATGCAGGAGCCCAAGTAATCGGGATGTGTTCTGCTGAATTCATTTCCTGTCCTTCAGGCAAATCTAATTTAACGTCATCACTGGGGTTCCTAGAAGAGTTATTGTAGCTTTAACAAGCAAAAATCCAACTGGCTAAATTCTCTCCAGTGTTGCTTTATACCAAAGGAAAGTTTTGCCTATAGAGTATCTCGCTATCATATTCAAGAATGGGAGTCCATGCCAGAAAACAAAGGCGCCCGCTAATCTGGCAAGCTCACTTCTTCACTTGGCCTGTGACACATAAGGATTGTTGCCACAGAGAAAGGCTGTAGCGTTCTCTTCTTCCCTAAACCTTTGCTTCTGCCTTCTGCTCCATGTGCACCTGATCGTGGCTCCTTCCTTCCCCTTTTCCCCTTGCTGGGCATGCAAATAGGTCTGAAAGGGAACAGGGGTGCTGATGGAATGGCTGCTGATGACATGGTCTATTATCTTCCCCAAACTTTCTGTTTTCAAAAGAAAGCTGCAAAAGATGAAGAAGAGGAGGTAGAGAAAGAGACCTGCAGAGATTTGAGGTATTATTTAAGATGCTGGAGTCTTACTATATCAGTTGTGGGGTGAGCGGGTCCAGTAAGGAGGCTTCCCTACTTAGCCCCTGAGCCATTTCAGTCAAGCTACACCCACCTGACCTACATCAGACATCATCTATGATATATGTGTGGGGCAGGCAAAGACATGGCTCCCTGCTGAAAAGGGAGGTGTCCAGGCACCACTGATCATCTGATTGTTGGTATTGGCAAAGCCCTGCCAACAATCAGATGATAAGTGCTTGCAAAACCCTGTGCCTTTGCTAGGGTGGTTTGATTTCAAGTCACACAGGCAAAGGGAAACATCATGGGGATGTCAGGTGGTTGATAAATGGGCATCCCTACCCACCTGTCAAAAGTGGTCAGTGGGGGTTGGGGGACCTAAGCATCCAGCCCACTGCATGTTCCCCACCCCAGTAAAGACAGTACAGACAGAGGATTCTTCTTTGACACAAAGGATTCAACTAAAAGTTTCTTCTGCATTCCATCTGCCCCTACATTCAGCTATCATAAATCCCAGGATAATATGAATGAAATGTGATTTTTTTAGCAAGGGAAAGAGAACGGCTATCTGATGCATGTATCTCACAGGGATCCTGAGTGAGTTCACAACAGTGAATAATGACACTTCTGCACAAGTGGAGCTCAGCTTTTTGCGGACTCTTCAGCCACCTGCAAGGGTGAGTAGGTGGAAATGGCTCATATAGGTTTCATTTTCTCCAAGTTCCATTTCTCCTGTGTGTGCTCCCCAAGTTCCCTTTTAACTTCTGCTTTTAAGCACAGTCATTCTCAAACTTTCGTTTTCATTTCTGTATACTTTGTAGGCAATGTGATAAAAGGCTTTTGTGCACATTTTATTTCGACACATTTTTTTTATTTGTAAGTTGCACTTCCTCTGAAAGATACCAGGGTGATGTACACCAGACATATGAACTAAATACAATAGAATAGTGCTAAGCACACAAACATAAACAAGTTGCAGATTATTTAAAACAGCAATTCATATACTGTACATGTTGCATTGCAGATGATGAGTGCACCTCTTATCTATCAACTTGTGAAACCCTGGACAAATAAGCATTATTACGGTTGGTGTCTGAAGCCCAACAATATGAAAGACAGACACACCGTGGCACCCTGGGGTGCCTTGAATGATAGTCAGCGGTGCTGTGGGCAACACTGGCTTCTGTCCCTCTTTCCTTCCCTCCTTGCATCTCTGCCTCCCAAAGGCTTGCACAGCTGTTTGTTGCAGCAGCCCTGGCTACAAGCTCCTTAGGCAAATGGTGCCTCGGGACTGGCCGGGGGTACTTCCCAGGCCCCTGTGGGGCAGTGTGAGGAGGCACCTCTCTTTGGGGAAGTGGGGGGGCAGCTCAGAGACCAGAGGCAGCAGCAGCTGCTGTCCCTATAACTCCCAAGGAGACGGGAGAGAAGGCTGAGGGAACATTCCACAAGGGAGGGTGTTTGAAAAAGGGTGAGAGGCTCCCAGCTCTGCAGGCAAGGGGTGACATAACTGGGTTCCTGAGCCCCACAGGGGTGTCACAGAAAGAACGTAGTTGGTCAAGGGTGCTGTGGACTCAAAAAGGTTGAAAACCTCTGCTCCAAGGGGAAACCATGGAGAAAAACCTTCTATGCATCCTCTCACCTCAAATCCTGATGGGACCGTGAGCAGAGTTTCCATCTTCCCTGCTGATCTTGAGATCAAATTCGCTGGTTTTTGGAGGAGGTTGTCTGCAGGTATTTAGGATCCAAGGTTTGTAAAGCATCACAAATCCCCAGTAGCCAATGCAAAGCTTTGAGAAAAAGTATTGTACCATTCCATCCCACTGCCCCTGTTAATAACCTGGCACCTGCATTCTGCCCTAGCTGAAGCCTCTGACCATTTTCAAGGGCAGTCCCACATAGACAAGCATATTGCAAAAATCCAAGCAATAGATCACCAGAACTTGAGTTATTGACAGCAAGCTATCCCAGTCCAGGAATGACTAGTTGGTGAACCAGGCATAGCTGGAAAAAGGCACTGAGCCTCCAGTGACAACTGTGGATAAAGGAGTACCTTCAAGCTGCAAATCTGCTCCATCAAGGGAATGCCACCCCATCCAAAATGGGCTGTTTCTCCAATTCCTTGATGAAGGAACGGCCTATTCACGGTACCTCTGTTTTATTACAATTCAGCTGGGATTTTGCCAGCTCACCCACCCAGGTCTTCATTAAGTGCCTACTTATGGAACTATGAGTCTCTGCTTTCATATATAACCAGAACAGTATAGAGCAGGACACATGGAAGTGGCTCCTCCAGTGCAAAACTTAAAATTTAATCCTTCCTTAAAAAGGAATCCTAATTTTACAAATTTGTTTAGAAGTAGGCTTCTTTAGGCTTAACTTCCTGTTTAAACCTAGTGCATCATTGTAAGATAAGGGAGATAGGCAGACAATTCATTAATTGACAAGTGGAGCAACTCCATTATATATTGGTGCAACAAGATGCAGGAAAATAATCACCCAAAAATATTACCGGAAACCATTGATCAGGCTATAGGCTAATATAATTTGCTTCTCCTAAATTAAAATAATTAAAATGAACTTAGCATTTCACAACTGTTGTGCTTCCTCCACCCCTAGCTTTGGTAACAGCATGCTTGAGATTCCACAGGTGCAATGTGCAAAAGGTAACAACTCGAGCAGTTGTAGCAGTTAGCAGAATTAGTGCAACCATTGAGGAGACCTAGTGCAGTACTACAGAAATTCATATATAAATCAGCCACTAGAGGGAGTAGGTGTGCCACATAAATTTTAGCCTTGTTTATGCATGCTCTTAGAAAGGACATGGGATGAGTCCTAGCTTCTAGCGCAGTACAGTGGTACCTCGGGTTAAGAACTCAATTCGTTCTGGAGGTCCGTTCTTAACCTGAAACTGTTCTTAACCTGAGGTACCACTTTAGCTAATGGGGCCTCCTGCTGCCGCCGCGCGATTTCTGTTCTCATCCTGAAGCAAAGTTCTTAACCCGAGGTACTATTTCTGGGTTAGTGGAGTCTGTAACCTGAAGCGTCTGTAACCTGAGGTACCACTGTATATCTCTCCCTTCACCTAAATCTAGCATAAGTGTTTACCTGAGGCACCTGCCAAAACCTTTATCCCAGTAGAGACCCCACTGCCAATCCTGGGAGCCTCCTGGTCTGCTGCTTCTCCTCCATGCTGTTGCATAATTCACCTGGTCTACCTAAGCAGGTAAGCAGTGTAGGGAAGAAGCAGTAACCTCTATGCCCCTTGTCCCTTTCCTCTGGCAGGGGATTTGGACTGGGCCCAGAGGAAGATGCAAGCGG